ACGCGTACCAGATAGATGAGCAGCTTCATGCATGTGCACTCAGCATTCAGAGCAAACACAATGATCGATTTGGCCGGAGGTCAAGCTAGCGTGATCTACCGCCCCATAATCTGATAATAGGGGACGGTCCAAAAGTAGGAAGTGCATGGTGCTTGTCCTCCCGGGTCATACAATCAGCTCGATCGCGGGTGGCAGCGCAACATTCTAGCCACGTACAGCTGGCTGCTCCTACGTACATGTTCGTGCGCGCGCCGACCACAATGATGTGATTGTAGGCTACCTTAATTGGAAGTATTCGAAGTATGTATCAATGTATGGGCTGAGGAACGGTGCGCTTCCCGTGCGGGGCAGACTCTATTTCTGTAGCTAAAATTAAAAATCTCTCATATCGTCCTTGCAAAGCGTTGAGACACATGAGTCTACTTCCGATCTGCCGATCAGATGGTAGAGACAAGCGCGCGCTGCATACAGCTATTGACGCCGGACTTCAGAATTTTTGTAATTCACAAGCTGACGCCCTGCGTCGAAGTCAGCACAAATTACCATTTTGATAGCTATCGCTCGCTGATCTGCTTTGTGCCTCGCGCAGGAAAACCAGCTTTTGTCATCCTTAAATCACTCTTGCTCCACACCGTCTTCTATATCGTCCTACTTATACTCTTATACCACAGTGAGGTATTACACTGACGCTTCCGACTCCACCGACCTCTTTCCCCTGCTTCGTCTCGTAGTGCACTTTGTGCGTCACCCAGTGCAGCTTCTGGTGCTCCTTGCTGCAACAACAAAGAATATCTGCGCTTCTTAATTATTCCCACTTTTGATTGCGCCAAAGCTAAAGGGAGGTTCTGCAAAGTTTTGAGTACTCAGTACTTGCTTAAAATGAAGGTTCCGTTGCAAAGAAAGTCGTCGGATCTTCGACGATTTCGAACATGCCGGGACAATATTCGGCATCTTCTTGATAAGAACAGCACTGTTCGCATCAATCGTAGATTCACCTGATGACGCTCTGAGAACCAGGATGACCGGGAAATTGACTGAGAAGCTAATCGTGGCCAAAACGCAGTACGGATGATCAAGCCGACCCGGATTTGGCCAGACAAACCTATCGCCAAGGCTTCAAACTGAGGATTGGAATCCTATTTCGTCTCGCCCGACATGGCTTCCGCAGATCGTATGAGTGTGGTCGAAGAAGGTGCACCCTACAGTTGTAAAAAGTTTTGGAGAATTGGAGAGGTTGATTGCAGATACGCTGGGGTCGTACCTGCAGTAGCGCGCAACTTGACAGCGGCTGCACCTGCTATACCCCTTCCCCAGCAGCGGCTCGCGACCGGCCGCGCAGAGCTTCCACGAGCACACGACCGGGACTCGAAGATAACCGTTCCACCCCTGCTCTTCGTCTTTCCAGGCCTCAGCGGACAGCTTCGTTCCCCACGGTTCATCCAGGCCCTGAAACCGCCGCTCGAACAAAGCCCAAGTATTGTGCTCCGGTTCCGCGCCGTTGATCTTTCGCCTGTGGGGCCGGAAACCCGCGAGCGCGTTGTGCGCGCGCAGCTTTTCCGCCGTCTCTTTGGATTCGAGCAAGCGGAGCAGGATTTGGTTGCAGCGGAACGCGGGAGACCTGCGCCGCTCGGACGGTTTCGAAAGCTCCCGCAGAGGTGTTGCTTCGTAGATTGCCGCTACCAGCTTGAGGAGGCCCATGTCAAGGGCCCACATCTGACTATCCGCTGAGAATGCCAGAGAGACAGCCATACTGGCTAGGTGAAACCGAACCATCTTGGTTTCGCTGGCAGGCGACTCATCTGCAGAACTCTCCGCAAAGAGAAGGGCTTTATACTGTTCAAAGATGCTGCCATTTTCAGCGCACTCCTTCATGGCGTTTCGGAAAATCTTGGATCCTCGCGCAAAGTTCGTTAGGCATTCCAATGAAGGAATTATCACCAGGGTGCGAAACGTACTGTATGCCCTGTCCCCTTGCAAAGTGCGGGCAATCCTGACAGTCAGCCGAAGCAGCCGCGACAAGATCTCCCGAGCGTTCTCCTTTTCGTCTGGCCCAGATCCCTCCCTCAAATAGCGCTCCACAACGACCTTGCTTGACGTAAGCATGGCAAGCGCCAGAATGGAGTAGGTGAAGTGACGGAGTCCTTCCGTCAAAGAAGTCTCGAAGGATCGGCCTAGCGTTGAAGGCAGAAGTCGCTTTAGAACTCTGCCTCCCTGATACGCAGCTATCTCCTGGACAACCCTAGCGAATGCTTCCCCCCTTCCATTTCTATAAGATCCACCATACAGCTCGGGCAGCAGGTCGTATGCCACTTTGAGCTGGTCAGCGTCGTTCGACGTAAGCAACGCAGCGTAGCGCTCTACAGTGAGGTCAAGGATTTTTTCCATCATGGCAAACAAAGAAAGGTGTTCTTGAAAAGATACTCCAACCTTCCGCCGCCCTCCAGGGACATGCCTCTTGTTTGCCTCGAAAAATAAGATGCGCCACAATAAGATGCGCCACTGCTTCAGCTCTTTCTGCCGCTGCTCTTTCGGTTCACATGCATGCAAGCCCCTGGCACGCGCCGATGAAGTCGAATGATCGAGCTCTGCTCTTCTAATTTGTAATCATCTGTACTGGCAAGTGGCACTCCTGGAACTGGACTTCACACCATAAATTCAAGCCCTCGATGCGATGCGACTGGCGAACTGAGCGCCGCCCGCTGATTGCAGCATATTGACGATCGCCGTTGTTGATCGCGTCAACGTACTGGTGCACTCAATCCTACGGCCGTAAAATATATCAAAGAGGTGAGAGATGCTTTCAACTAAACGGACGGTCATTTGAATGAGAACCGCAGCTTTGCGCCAGCTTTGCGCTGCCGGTATGTGTATCGACTCTGACGCAACGTGATTGGTAGGCTAAAGTGATCATGCAAGTCGAAATTGTGAGTGGTTAACAACCCTTTCCAAGACAAGACTTTCTATGACAAAATTTGATGAACATAAGATCTTGCTTCATTTTGCATGTGGTCAAAAGAGCTGTCGAGCCTGCCTTTTAAAAGTGAAGCTGACTGAGTATCGTATCATTCTCATCGCTTGCCACATCACCTGCAAGATTGACTCGATTTCCCCTATTTGTTCAGACACGGTAACCCTGTGCTTTGCAGCTCAGACATCCAAACCCAGGACGTGAACAACCTTATTTACAGTCTCAGAAGCAAACAGCCTGCTATCAGCTGAGGATTTCTTTCTCGATGATTGTTGGGTAAACCGAATCAGCCTGACCTATTATAAAGTCCGAGAATATTAGCTACAGCATGCTCAGAGTCAGGTAGCACCAAACTCTTGATCTTCGTGCGTGTTGATACAATGGTGTGATTGTAAGCTATCTCAGGAGGAAGGCTTTTGAGGCATGTATGCATCGAGACGCTTCGAGCGGGTCAGAGTTGACCTCTGTGTGACCTCTTGAAGTCAAGACATCATGCTTCATCATTTCGAAGCGTTGATACACGTACAATGGCAAATCTGCTTCCAATGGGCCCGTTGAACGGTACATACAAACTTGGACCAACCCTCAAAGCCCGCAATGACACAGGATTGATGAGTCCTTTCGATCTACGAGGACGCCCTGCTTCGATCAGCGCCTAATGAGCGCGATCCATCTCTTGCTGATCTGCTTTGTCCGTGACACACCAGATCCAGCTGTTTTCCAATGTTGATCGTCACCGTCGATAGCTCGTCTTGCTCCACACCATCTTAAATCTTGCCCTACTTGTACCACAGTGCAACAGTTAGTTTGACGCGCCCGGCTCTACTGAGACCCCTTCCTTCGCGGTCGCCTGGTTTGCCTCGCAGTGGACTTTGTGCGTCCGCCAGTGCAGCTTCTGGTGCTCCTTGCTGCAGAAAACCAGAAGTTCTGCGCCTCTCGCTTATTCAGGCTTCTCATAATTTATCAGGCTTTTCATGATCATAAACGTTTGAGTCAAGAAAAGCTAATATTTAGTTGCAAAGTGGGAACACAGCACCCGCTAAGATTCACCGTCTTCATATTGGATGACGTTTTGAAATGATGATACTTCAACATTCGCCAACAAAACTTTAATCGCGTTGATCGTGGGCTCACTGGTGGCGCCTTGAGTACCAAACTTGGACAGGAAGGCAAAATTGCAGAGAATTCAAGTATAATGTTCAATCAGCTTCAATCAAGCAGAAAGAACAATGGCTCAGACAATCGCAGTCATCAAGGCTACAGGATTGTTTCCTTCCGCCCGACGAGGCTTTGTATTGTACGATATAGAGACCTCAAACCCGCTCCACTGCGGGCGTTCGCTTAATTAATTGTACGAAGCTCCCATTGAAGAGAAGGGATCGTCGGACGAAGTGAAATAGAAAGCCTGCTGCGTCAGGAGTCTAGAGTGTCGACACTGCAAGAAAGGGGAAAAGGGAGCTGCCGCCAGGATTGGAAGCCCCGTCCCTCACTTAATGTCTTCCTAAAAGTCGAACGTACCTGCAGTATCGCGCAGTATGGCAGCGCCCGCACTTGCTGAACCCCTTCCCCACCACCGGCTCCCGCTCGGCCGCGCACAGCCTCCACGAGCACATAACAGGGACCTGGAGATCTCCGTTCCAGGCTTGCTCTGCCAGTTTCCAGTCCTCAGCGGACATTACGGTGCCTATAGGTATTTTTTCGCCCTGGAACCTCCGCTGATAGAATGCCCAAGCAACGAACTCCGGTTCCGCGCCGTTGATCTTCCGCCTGTGGGGCCGGAAACCCGAGAGCGCGTTGTGCGCGAGCAGCTTCTCCGCCGTCGCGTCCGAGTCGAGCAAGCGGAGCAGGATTTTGTTGCAGCGGAATGCGGGAGACTTGTGCCGCTTGGACCGTTTCGAAAGCTCCCGCAGAGGTGTTGCTTCGTAGATTGCCGCTAACAGCTTGAGGAGGCCCATGTCAATGGCCCACATCTGACTGTCCGCTGAGAATGCCAGAGATACAGCTATACTGGCAAGGTGAAACCGGACCCTCACGGTTTGGCTGGCAGGCGACACAGCTGCAAGAGTCTCAGCTGAAAGAAGGGTTTTGTACTGGTCGAAGATGCTGCCATTTTCAGCGCACTCCTTGATGGCGTCTCGGAAGACCTTGGATCTCCGTGCAAAGTTGGCCAGGCATTCCAACGAAGGAACGATCACTAGAGTGCCGAAAGCCCTGGATACCTTGTTCTCTTGAAACTGCATGCGCGCAATTCCGACAGTCTGCCGAACCAGCCGCGTCAAGATCTCCCGAGCATTCTCCTTCTCGTCTGTACCGAACCCCTCCCTCAAATAGCTCTCCACAACGACTTTGCTCGATGTAAGCAGCGCAAGCGCCAGGGTGGAGGAGTGAAAGTGGTTGAATCCTTTCTCCAGAACTTCCGCGTAAGATTGGCCCAGCGTTAGCAGCAGAAGTTGCCACAAAACACTGCCTCCCTGACATTCAGCAATCTCTTGGACAATTGTAGCAAATGTGTCCACCCCTCCATCTCCAGACGCATAGACGCTCTTCAAGAGATTAACAGCGCTCTGGACCTGGTCTGCGTCGTCCGAAATCAGCAAAGCAGCACAGCGTTCTACGGTGGAGTCCATATCTTCATCCATCATTGCATTGCAGGAGACTTTTAGCGATGTGATTAGAACGAAATTCAAGATTGCCGCCGCTCTTCAAGGCGTGCCTCCTCTAAGTCTTACATTGATCATAAATATGCCACAACTTCCACCTCTTCCATTGCTGCCCCTTCCTTCACATGCATGCAAAAGCTGGGTTTGAGCAGGCGCCGATCCGGGTTTCTCGAACCAAACCTAAAATCCGAGTCCTGAGGCTGGCTTTTCCGGTCTGTACTGCATATGGCCATGGTCTAAAACGAGCTTTGACATGCCGTCACATCACCGATGAGATGATTGAACCAGATCCACTGTTCCGGTCTGTACCGCATCGTACCCAATGATTCTTTCATGCCGTTCACAACGCGATCCCACAACTGCGATAGGCGGCCCTATGCATGGCTTACTGACGATCATAAACCTTGCGACAAGCTCGATGTTCATGTCCTCTTTTTAGCCCTCGGCCCTATCGAACGGTCGAGAAACGCTTTCAAGTACACGGGACGGTCAGAGAGCGTGAACGTACTTCTGAGTACTGCAGCTTAGCGGCCTGCCGATCAGAGATCCTTCAAGGCAATCTCAGCTGCTTGAAGCATGACGTCGTGCTATACCATGCAAACGGTGTCACTCGTTATAGTTTATTACGACGTTTGCTAACCCTAAGTTGACAACACGTGATCAGAAAATCTTTACGTCAAGTTTTCCTTATGGTGCAACTGAAGGCGAAGTAATTTCGCCTCATCCTCATTTCCAGGGTAGCAGCATGATCAGCTTCGGCGCCCATAAGTGCCCAGACCTTGGAGCGCTGTGCTTCCTGAGCATATGGAACAGATTATCGTAGTTCTGAATGGCTTCTGATCCTCGAAGATGTAAGGCACATAAAAAATAGTGCTGAAGGCATCCTGTTCTTCGCAAGGGCTCTCTGGGCTGCTGGCTCTGCTGTTTCATAACCCGCGAAAATTGTATTCTTATTTGCACCTTGTCTGAGCACATCAACTGCGTGGCATCGTGCTAGTCCAAAAATAGCAATCATAGCTCAATGTGATCGCTAGTATTCATGTCTCCAGCACCTTTTCGAGCGCCGCATAAGTTTGCAGCCGTCTGCCCTTTTAGTAACAAAGACAGAGCATCTCAGACTCAAGCTGCCACGAAACTCTGCATGTCGACAGAGTATCGGAAGACTTCTGGAAGCCTGACCGTTATCTTGCAAACTTCTGTAGAGTTCGGACTTTTCTAACATTCTAATACCGACTACTCACAAGGAGACCGCTTCCGGCCGCCGGGGACAGTTTTGCACACGAAGCACAGTACCCGAAAGCAACTCGCTCGCACCAATCAGGCCCGCTTGCCCCGCCTGGTTTTTCACCCGGTATCCGTGCAGAGCCATCCACGTTCCAAACGCCTGCTCGACGCGCTCGGTTATTTCACCCGGGAGCACAACTTTCCGGTAAGACACGTCGTCCGACGACCCCGTTGTGACCGGGGACTCGTACCCCGACCGGTCGAGCTCCTCTTGTATCACCCCCGCAATTTCCCCGGGATCGATGCCCGGGAGGCAGAGCAGGGTGGTCAGCCGGCTGATTTCACCCAACTGTCAGGATGGACGACGTAAAATCAGGGATTTGGACGTTGAAGTTGATTGGAAGGCCGCGAAAGGTGAGAATTTTGTCTGGGGACCCGCTTCGATGCCGGATAAAGGGTCCTCTATATGTCAGGGTAGCGAAAAGAGAGGCGTCTCGGGAAAGATCAACTGGATCAAGATGGATCAGAGAATCGTAGAATTGAAAGTGAAAGTCAAAAACCATTTATTCTTTTGCTGCTGGTCAATTTTCAACAGCTTCCACTTTGGAGCAGCCGACTTGGAACTTCAAAGTGGATATCAATATCGCTTTGTTGAGCATCTCATGCTGCTGCATTAGGACCTTGTCTTTCCGTTGCCATTCTGCCGTTGTCAGACATGGATGCTGGGGCAAATCAAATCGATATATTTTCCGAAAGTCCTACAAAGCATGCCTCAAAGAGATGCAAGGCCAAGTCTTGAGAAGGCTTCGCTGTGCTCTCCGCAGAAACTGCGACATGACTTTCTCTGCACCGCGGCGTAAAGGGTCAGCTGAAGCACAACTTACAGAATCTTCGAACTGGAGCACCCTTTGTGAGGAGATACCGTTGCTGATGAACTAGCCTGATCGAATTTCTCACGAAGAAACGCCTGCTTATGCACCACTGCGTCATTACCGACGCCTCGATTAACGTCCACTGCAAGCGATGGCCCGGCGCTCTCACCGCATCTCCCGCCGCGCGCTCGTGCGCGCTGTCCGCGCACGCGTGCTGCAGCCACCTGCCGTGCTCTTGGAACGCGCGGTGCAGCGTTGGCGCGCGCTTTCCGTCGCCCTTCTGCGCGCGCTCTGCAAACTCGCTGCGAGGGTCTTGGTGCGTGAGGAAGACGTAGTCCGCCGCGGCCAGGAGCTTCGCGTCGAACTCCTCCACAGCCACAATGGCGTACGGGCTCTTCGACAGGATCTGCACGCAGAATCCAATCATTTGATTACTTGCTTGTCGCGCCGTGAGACGCCTTGTCAATTTTCGAAACTCGGTCTACAAGCTATCAGAAGCTCGGGTTGGAAAATTTCTGATCTCGGGGCGACGTTTACCGGTCGGAATGTTCTCAGCAAGTCTAGTTGATTCCTCCGTGTCCAGGGCGTTATAGTCAGAGACCTTGGGCGCTGCGGTACGGGTTCCTGGATATTCCGTGGTCCAGATCGACGAGACTGCGGCAGCAGACACTTTCGGAATTTCCTGCTTCATCGACCTCACTACAGATACTTCGCGGCCACTTGAGTTTGAAGCCGTCAAACCAGACTGTTGCGATTTGACCAGCTCTCAATATACACGACGGTCATTTCGAAAACCCGTCATACCACCCGTGATACCAGGAACGTTGTTTAGAACCTTGCTCGTACTCAAGAGGACCCCAGATGTTGAGAAGCTGACTTACCTCGAGAGCCCGGGTCCCGTTCACTGCGACGGACCCATCTTTCCGGCTCTCAGCCAGCTCTTCCTCCCCATACGCTGCTCCGAGGAGCGCCCTTACGGCCGTTAACAACCAAAGCCGCCCCGATTCGGACATGCCCGCCACCACCACTCGGACACTTCGGCGGTCCGAAAGCTTGGCACACCGCCTGCAAGCACAGACCTGTTGGCTTGGCACACGATTTCTTGAGTCTTGCCAATGATGTTTGCAGATGTTTGCAGATGTATGCAGATGTTTCAGTGAGCCTTCAGAAGACGGCAGGCCGCTCGAAAAGACCCGCGAACAACGATGGTTGGCACGTATGCAGATATAGACTGGAATCTGATCTTCACTTGAGTTGAAATGATGAACGGCGACCCCTCGCGATGTCTGTCAGCGTCTTGTATGTTTCGTTGGTCGAATTTGTAGACTCTTCTAGAATTCTCAAGCGAGATGGCAAAATAGCGGGCTACAGTCTGCAGACGAAATGGCCCGAGAAAGGGCCGAGGTCATCTCCAGTGACGGACCCCTACAAGCCGCTCGATTGTTTTGGAAGGCTATCGCTTCCAGCGAAAACCGACGGGGCTGCCCCACGTTGATCTACTAGGACCGCAAGTCCAGCACTTCAACGAGGCGCCATATTGCTCACGAATCAGAGGAAACATTGTGAGAAGCTTACGTTGCATCTGCCTCCACCGTCTGTATGAGCGTTCGGGCCTCCCTCCCGACTGCCGTCTCCTCTAGCCGGAGCGTCTCAGGCCGCTTTGCGTGCTGCTGGCGGCGCATGTAGGACAAGCCGTGCTTCTTGGAGAAGAGCTGGAGAGATAGGGGTTTCTAGTCGGACTGGAAGAGAAGAGTATACAGCTTGAATATTGAACGGACTAGGGCAAGCTTCATCATGAAAAGATCCTTGCAAACTCGCGTAGTGGACGAGAACAAGACCGTGCAGACGTATGCAGTGGTTTGAAAGCCAAACCAGGTGTTTGCATAAGTCATGGATCGGTTGTTGCTTCAATGGATCTAGGGCAGATTGTGAGGGTCAATCCCCACACCCTGGGTTGATGGGCTCAAAGCGAACTTCATATGCTCCTCGACGCCGGCCGAGCGACGGGTGGAGCAAGTTGAGAACTGATGCAACAGCAGCTGTTTTTTTTCTGAGCCTTCTCATGTTAAGAGGCGACGCGATCATGAGAGCGAGCCCAAATCCGTAAAACTCGTCGTTGAAACCGAAACAAACCGATCACATATGGGCCTGAAAATCAGTACGAAGTCGAAATCTTTGCAGCGAGCAAGCTGCCGAGCAAGCTGCCTTCTCCGCTTCTAGATCTGAATGAAGCACAGCGGGAATCCCACCCTGCTCCGACTAGCAGCAACAGGATCGACGGCCAATTGCAAAAGATGGAACTAAGCCCACCTTAAAAAGTTCCGCATCTCGAGCTGTGGCCACTTCCTCTTGAACCATGTGGTCCCCCCGCAGGGAGCCGGGCTCCGCATCAGAGAGCCCTGGACGCCGCTTGTAGAACTGGGCCCGCACTTCTGCCAGACGGGCCTGCAGCAGGGGACGTGTTCTCAAATGGTCAGGGGTAGCAATGAAGAAAGTCCTCAAGGCATCAAGCAAAGCATCTGTGTATTGATGCGGTGTCGAATCGAGTGTCCTTTAATGAAGAAAGGGGTTAGGAAAAGCATGTTTGGATTCTCGACCAGCCGCACAGTGAAGAGACAAGAAGAATGCACCTCAACTTAATAACCATCAAGAGCTCACCTGTCGTTCTTGCTCGTTTTTGGCCCTCAGCTCAATCACCGCCTGGGGCGACAGTCCAAGCTCTTCCAGTGGCACGTCTAAGTGGGTCCCCCTCACTTGCGCATCTTGCTTCTTGGCCTTGGCGTGCTTGCGCTGGCTGTGCTTACTAGACTTCTGCGACTTGCCCTGAGAGCTCTGCCTGGCCCCCAGGTTTTTGTTGATCGAAGCGCCCACCGCTTCTGTAAGGAGACGCTCATGTGCGAAACTGATTATTTATGGGTGCCAAGAATGTTCTTTTGCATGAAGTATTCTGTTTGCATTAGCCTGTGAAAACAAGGGATTGCAGTGGTTCTACAAAGTATCATAAATCTCTGAACTTTGTTGTGGGCCCTTTAAAAAGTCTTAATGTTTCGTCTTGGTTCTTGATTTTTAATCAAATCTGTCCTGGCGTTGGACACACCTATGTGAGGATAGCCTGAAGTCTGGAGTAATCTACGACCTCAAACTGGCGGGCGCGCTTTGTAGTGTCAGGTCCGGCCTTAAGCGTTGTGTGTATGTGACTGGAGGTGAGGCGAATCTCGCAACAGAGAAGCACTTATAAGAGTTCTGTTTGGTCAGCTTTTTCAACAGCATCCTTGCAAACCTTTTGCCTGATCAGCATCAGCCAGAAAACTGGCCATGTTACTAGCTTTCGTCTCGACGCTGTTCAGCTACAAGCACGTTCTCTTCACCTGCTCCATTCACTGTTCAGAACAAAGTGTCTCTACTTGGTTTACCTTCGAGCCGTACCAAACGCATCTATGCTTGATCCTGACGTCGTTGAGTGATCCTAGCGAACTCGATTGAATCCTTAGACACCAGCGGCAACTGTGCAATGCCCCGCAAGGCAACAAGCTCAGCGATCATTTGTATGGGTTTCTTGAAACAATCTGCACTGAAGAATGGCACTAAACTTCCACTGACCTGCTTGTCCCCGAATCATGGCAGCATGGAGCGCATCCACGAAGGCCCTCGTCTCGTTCCTTGCTTGCAAAGCCACCTTCTGAGCTGCTCTATGGAGCTCTCGGTGGTGAGCTCCGAAAGTGGCACCAGCCAGAACTGTTGAGCTCACATCTTGCTGACCATCTTGGAACACAGCAGCTGGGGACTGGCCCGGAAATGTCTTCTCTGCGACGCGTGCAGACTTGATAAACGAGGCGCCACACGCCCCAGCTAGGAAGAGGGCGCAGACCTGGAGGGCCCGCAGGCCCACCGTTCGAACCCGCTTAGCACGCATAGCTGAGGTAGGTGTCAAGTGAGCTGGAAGCAGCCACCAAGCTTGATCAGGGTGTGTAAACTACTGGCTCCTTGTCTTGTGGGAGTGTCTTACTTACATATGTGAGGAGCTCGTCGCAGCACCTCTGCCGTCAACGAAGGAGGGGCGGCTGACGTGAAAATATCAAAAGTGTGAAAGACTGTTGGGTGTTGTCCATTTCTGTCCAAATCTGTTTTCTAAGAAAGAAGGGGCATCAATCCGGCCGCATGCTTTTCAACAGGGAGGTGTGCAGTGCAACAGCGTGAAGTGATGTGCGTGTGCGCGCGTCCGCCTGCAAATCATGACCGTCGATATGGCGCCACCCAACACTCGAACTTCGCTACCCTAAAACCCTAAAATCGGAGGCCAAGGGAGACGAACTCTCGCGATCAGGCTGGAAATTTTCCACTTGTCCTCAGCACCAAGACTCAGAGGCGCTTGGCACCCCCTCCACAGCAAGTACTTTCCTCCAGGAACAACGTCCTTACGGCGCCCAGGATGTCTTCAGCTGCAGCTACCCGGTATTGGTGTCACCAGTGCATGCAGGAGGTCCGCGTTGCGCCTTCGTCCGATGGCGAGCTCGTTTGCCCAACTTGCGGGGGAGGTTTTATGGAGGAAATGACCGAACCAGCGCCAGGGGTTCAAGCTGGCGGCGCAGCGCAACAGCCGCCCAATCCTATGGCCCCTCCTTTTGGCACTGGCTTAAACCCTTTTGATCCTGGGCCTGCAGTCTTTCGGTTTGGGTACGACTCCGGCCATGGAGGAGGAACTTTCCGAGTGGAGACCAACGCGACTGGGTTTGGACCTGGAGACAATCCCATTGACATCATTTCGCAGATGCTGGCAGGGATGGGGGCACCTCCAAACATGGGCAGGGGGCAGTCAGGACAGCCTCTGAACGCGCCGAGCCCACTTCAGGCGATCCTTGGACTTCTGGGCGGGAATATTCAAGTAGTGGTTGACGATGGCACTGGGAACAGAGTACCTGGACAGATGGGGGATTACCATTGGGGCAATATGGAGCAATTGCTGGAGCAGCTTGCAGCTCAGGTATGCTCACTGCCAAACCCCATAACGCTGTGCTGGTGTGATCCTTGTCACTTGCTTGATCATTGAATCCTGTTCTCCATGCTTGAAGAGGCCATGCAGCAGCTTGCAGAGCTGGCTCTTTTCTTGATTGCTTTTTGGTCCATCGTTTGTCATGCACTGGTGCCTCTTCTTGGAGTTTTTGTTTGGGTCTTCTTTTAGTTTCCGGAACCACTGGTGAGTAGCATCCCATTGCATCTTTCAAAAAGAAGAAACACCATGAGAGGGCCTGTTCATCACGGCACTTGTCCTGTGATCTGTGTGCATCATATAGTTGTGTTTGGAGCATGCAGTAAGGCTGGTTGGTTCATTGGACAAGCAGAGGCACGTCCATGCTAAGTATGGCCATGCTTATTTGCATGCTTCTTTGGGGCATTGAAGGCTAGTGTTTCTGATGAAGAAGTTTCATCTGTGCTGCGAAGGCCACAGACTTCAAGGTCCTCCGAAAGTAGGCACACAGCATGGTGTTTACTTAGACCCATTTTGATGTTGCCACCGTCTGTGATGTGACCATTTTTACATTTGCTGACGGACAAGCTAGCATCAGGCAGTTCTGTAGACTCTTTTGCCTGTCTGTTGAGCTCCTGTTGGAACCTGCCTAGTGGATGCTTGTTTGACACTTGCTGTTCGAACTGTACTATGGTGCCTTTCAAGCAAGTCTTAGAGCTTCGTGCGTTGTTTTCACTATGGATGGTCAGAGCGTCAAGGACGGAGGATCAAAGGCCCGCCTCTGCTGTCTTGTCTTTGCCCAAAGCATCTTCAGTGGCTTTCCAAACAACCACGTTTTTCTTGCAACCACGTTTTTCTTGCAAAGCCTTATTAAAGGAGTTTCATGGTTAAAAGTAGCGGACTAAGCAAAAATCTGGATTTTTGCTGCGGCAAACAACGCCGATGGAGGCGCTGTAGAGAGGGCATTCTCTGATTGCTTTGCGTCACTTCGAATTGATCACTGAGTTTCAAAGAGGCCGTTGCTACAGTTTGGCAGGCTCCCATTGCCCCTGTTTTGCTTCGTCAATGTGTTGGAAGGCAATGTGTTTGAGCACTAAATAGTCGTGCAGAATTCATGGTTTGCCTTTGTGAGCTCCTTGCTGCAGGCGCTACTCCCACTTTGGATACCTTTTCACACAAGGGGTGGTTTCGGTGTGCAGGATTTGAATATGAAGGCAAGTTCCGTACTAGGTATTTGACACTACTTTTCACACCTTGCAGGACCCAAACCGGCACGGGCCACCCCCCGCCTCAGCCTCCGCAGTGGCTGCACTCAAGTCGCTCAAAATCACAGAGGAGGTCTTGGCCAGCGGTTCAGAGGAGAAGCAGTGCGCCGTGTGCAAGGACACGTTCGAGCTGGGGGACGATGCCAAGGAAATGCCGTGCAAGCACCTGTACCATCCCGACTGCATTCTGCCCTGGTTGAAGCAGCACAACACATGTCCCGTCTGCAGGTCTGTGACAAGCTTTTCAAAACGGGTTTCGGTTTGGAGCATTTTGGCGTAGTTGCAGGAAGTTGTTTGGACTTGACACCAGCCAATTGCGACAGGTCTGATTATGGCCCTTCCCAACCCGAGCCATATTCGCGATTGTGCCCACTTCCGTAGTTACACGTTTCAAGTAGAGTAAGCACCTTGTGAAAATTGTTGTTTTGTTAACGGGTTTGTAGGGAGCCGGCTTTGATTGAAGCTAAGTATAGACACGCAGGTCAACATCTTCGGTTGCAGATTCTCAATTTTTGGGCAGATTCGGTGACCATTCGATCTTCGCGCCCAGTGTTGACCTCAATCTCTTCATGAACACTCAAGAGAACGATTACAGACCAGCAGGAGGTTCTGCCCTTGTCCGTGCCTCCCTGTGTGTAACTCGTTAATTCTTGCTATCATGATGGAGGCTGACGTTGAGCCTGATCCTGGATAATTGCAGATACGAACTTCCGACAGAGGACCCTGACTACGAGAACATTCGACAAGCGCGCCAGGGGGGTCAGTGGCAGGCCGGACGGGGCCCCGGTCAGCCGTCCACCTCAGCAGCAGGACAAGCGGGGGGCGCATCCAGGGGGCCGAACCAACCGTCGGGGGGCTTTGTGAACAACATGAGATTCTTCTCGAATCTGTTTGGAGGAAACAGGGGAGGGCAGGGGGGGCCTTCGACATCTGGGTCGGGTTCGGGTTCGGGTGCGGGTTCAAATGGAGGAACCGCAGGTGCAAGTGGCAGCGGAACGCAAGACAGAGGGACGGAGCAAGGGGGTGGTGGTGTGGGGAGAAGGAGGGAAACGGGCAGAGACGAGGATGGAGATGTCGAGATGCGGGATGCTGGCATTGATTGATTGTTAGGTGGGCTTCGAAGAGGGCTGAAGGAACTTGTGTGATGATTGCGTACTGTATGATAATTGCGTCCTGAAACAAGTGTCGGCATCATGACACTTTCCGAGTGGAGCACGACACCTCTTATCATTTCTTGTGTGCCCTCAATACTTTCAATCTGCACTATGGTGCCCCATGAGTTGATGCATGGCTGGACCGAGTCAAGTTATTGTGCTCACTGAGGAAGTAGGACCACAGCAATGAAGAACATTGCTTCCAAATCAATGCGCTATACGCTCCTCTCCTCGAAGAAGAGATCGGGAGGGTGGCCGGCGGCCCGGCCTTATATATATAAGCCACAAAAGTCGGGCCGTCAAAAATATCAGTCCTGGTACGGTGTTTCTGAACCAACAGGATCTTATGAGGATGATGCTTTATGGACTTTGGATCCACTACAGTGCGATCTTTGTGAGTATACGTCGCTCATTGATGCATGCATATTCCTTGCTTGGCACTGAGGCTGTACTACTTGGAGTAGCGCAGGAATCGACATTTGACTTGGCCAATGGACCAATCAATCTTTTCACGGACGAGTACAAGATATAGAAAACTGTTTTCTCATCAGTATTCAATTGTTTATCGGATCGGAAATCGAGAATTGCAGATCAGATCTCATTAAGAAGGAAAGTGAATGTATAGCCTCTCAAAAAGAACTCAGACGCGTTGTCGCTTGCGCTTGCACTCGAAACTACTCCCAGCGATTTTCATTTGCCAGGCAACAATTAATTGCTGAAGCTGACCGCGAATCATCATCAGCATCTCGGCGATGCCAATCCTCAAGCTTGACCTGATCGGGGTCAAACTCTTGTATACTCATCTTGGATTTGCTCTTTCGAGCAAAAATTCCACTTCCTCATTTCTATCATACCGTTCCTGCATGCAAGACCGGGCACATCGAGGCTCTCAACTTCTGCACCAGGCATGATGCTTGAGCACATTTCGCAGGGCATTCCCAAAGTTGGGGACGTGCTTCTACAATATTCTTTACGGTTATCTTATGCATTAGCAGGCTTGGTTCTAGAACAACGATCAGACTGATACAAGCAATCTCCATATAGAACCAGCCTAATAATGGGGGAGGAGAAAGGAAAAGATTCTCATGGTAGGGGAAACACTTTTGAGGAGTGATTGCAAATGCCGACAGCTTTTTTCCTACGGCGTGACCTTGATGCAATTGTATTATTGGCAGATAAGCAGGTCTCTTTTGGACAGACTGAAGTACCGACAAGCAGCAAAGAGCATTCTCTACGCTGAAGTGGTCCATAAGGCAAACGCAGACGACACGTCTTCAAGGCAGCTGAGATGGAAAAGATCTTGCCAATCAACGACTTTTCCGGCCTTCCGGTTCTTCCCAGATGTACAAGGAGAAATGATGATTGGCCACCTTTTCTATCGTAATGAAGGGCAGAGCGTCGGTACTCACGTTCACCTCCTCCCTCTGTTGATACAGATTCGAGTAGTAGAAGGTCCACAATTTCAAGCTCAGGAACAGGCGCACTGGTCGCTCTAGCGAGGCCACCTCCTGGGCCCAGATCCAGGAAGCGTGGCGAGCTTCTTCCAGATCCCCTCGGCATCTTGACCTTGGCTTTTGGTGTCCGTTGCCCCTCTCCGTCAGAAGCACCCCCCGGTGTCCCTGCCCGGTTGCCATCGCTTAACAGAACCCCTGCGGACATTATACTACTCCTCTCATCTGCCAGCAGTTCTCCGTTTGGCTCTATGTTGACACGAACGTCGACCCCTTTGTTCAGACCTGCCTCCGGCCCTCTCGGGCCATCCAGATCCGACTCGACGGCGCCCCCAGCGCCAATGCTTAGGCTGAGTGGTGGTTTGTGCCGGGCTGATGGCTTTTGGCGGTTTCCAAAATGTGAGAGCCGGTTTGGAGTCAACATCATGAAGCAGCTCATCAGGCAGGTAAAGAAGATGAGGAGGGCAGGGACGAAGAGCACCAGGAAAAGGGTCACCGGCACAGCCATGGTGCCTTTCTACAAAAGAAAGTCTGCTGGGGGCTGAGGCACCTCATTCTATGATTACGTTGCTGAGTAAGAACCCCTCTTGTCAGCGACCGGAAAGCGCCTGATAGCAACATTGACCCTTTCCAAACGCTGTATCGGCAGCCATGCCAGGTCCACCTTCATCTGCATCACATCAGATGATGCCCCATTCTACCATGATAGATGAGGCCCCAATTTTCACGAGAGTGCAGAATTTCACCACCAATCAGCGCACGGGCCACAAGGGAGGGTACCCCTTCTTCAACGTCCGCTGCAGATGCCAGCTGAACTCTGCATGGGACCTCGCAACCTTTTCATTGAGCTGCTGTGCTTGCCACTACACCGCAATCTAGCGCCTTACCACAACTACTGCTATCTACCTAGTTGCTGAGAGAGGGAGATTTTGACACAAACCTAGGACGCATCGTGATCGACTTGCGTCTCAGCAGAGTAAGCAATCAGCCCTATGCCTTTCATGGGCACCGGCCACATGAGAAGAGATTCGAGAACATTGTCATCAGCGACCACCTCCTTCACACTGCTGCCAGTGCCATGCAGGAGTCGGGACAACTCCAGAGTCCAGACTGGAAATCCAGGCAATCCCTTTGAAAGATCCGTTTCTGGTTTGCAAATGTGGTTTACTTGCAAATCGATCCTCCCAAAAATGGGTGTCAAGGATATTCAAACTGGTAAGGATACAACCAGCGCATGACATCCAACACAAAAACAGGGCTCCGACCGGCTGGGTGATGATACAATAAACAGGACAGACCAAACCCAGCCGGCATATGCACGCCGCCCCGGCGCCCGCGGCCGTCAAGATTCAGGAGCTCATGGACAAATGCACATATGCAAGAATGAGGCTCAACTTCTCAAGCCCACATGGCACATAGGCTACGGGCCGAGTACGGTAGTACGGTACCAATCCTAGCCTCTAAGTACCGGTAGTACCTACTTGGGGTCTATAGAAACACACAGAGCGGGTGAACTTCTGGTCAATTCGCCGAGAACCGAAGGTGATGTTTCTTCCGATCTGACAGAGTCACAATCTTGTCCGACAAGCCCGGTCAAAGTCTCCTTCAAGCCCAACTCAATGCTCGGTTGCATGTGGCATTGTGTGAAGTCAACTGCATGCACCACTGCGTGGTTCAATATGCACAAACAAGCTTCATCTCAGCTTGCACAGGCAAAGAAGTATGGTTGCATTCCCGATCTCCGAACGGTGTGCCGGATCTTTCATTGTACCCAACAACTGCTCACAAAGTCTGCCAAAAAACGGACTGAAAGTCCTACCGACGATCTCTATCACGACCTCTTCCTCTATCATCACGATCCCTGCAACAATGAGCAGATTACCAGAATGAGGTAGACCGAGATGAACTCATAAAGGGACCAGTTCAGGATGGATGCTACGGTCACAACGATCTGAATTCAGAATAATGTGAAACGAACATGATGGCAACACGAGCTTGGAGCCACTTTTTGCAAAACCCGCTTGCACAATCTGCAGTAAGTTACTAAGGACGCTTGACAAATCGATGCTGATGTTCTGGGTAAAAACTGAAGGCGAGCGACTGGGCCATCACAAATGGTTTGTTAGAGAAAGTCAAAATAGACTTACCTGTACCTTTCATGGTCCCTGTCGCGGTCTCTCTCACGATGACTGTGTCGCTCGCGCTCCCGTACTGGGGATCTCGACCTGGAAATTTGGAGTGCGCATTCAAACACAACTAGAATTCCGGCCCAAGGGAAGAGACGCTGTTCCGGGCTAACATGAAAAGACGCTTTTCCAGGATAACATGAATGACATCTAAAGCCTAGATGCATGCTAGAATGTCCCAAAAGCTTGAGATTCTTTAGCCGAACCTTGGAAGAGGCTCGATTGACCATTTCAAGAGCCGCCCAGAAAATAAAACGTTAATTTGCAAACCTTTCAAATGCTGCTTGACCAGAGGAACAGATGTTCAGTCATAGGTTGTTACTTCAAAAAAAACAGAAAGCCGTTGATCTGGAGAGCTGCTTCGCTTCACTTACTGGCTTTCGATCTTTCCCTAGAGAGTCGGATCAGAGACTCTGTTTCGAATCACCTCTACAAAATGCCGGGCTACCCCGTTTCCTGATATGAATTTCAATGAAGCTTCTGTCAGGATGAGACACAACCTTTTCATCCGCATGCCAGCAGATTGCAATCGCGCTATGAATTGCATGCAAACCCCTTCCAACTGAGCACGCTGTCTAAGCTCTACAACTGGCGCTACAGTCATTCATAGGAGCAGGTCCGTGAAAAAAAAAGCCTCACCGTTCCCGCTTCCTTCTGTCCCGGTCTCTGTCGCGCTCCCTGTCCCGTTCCCTATCTCTGTCGCGGGGGCGCTCCGGGTCTCGCTCGCGCTCCTTCTCTCGAGGTGGGGGCGGCGGGGGAAGCTCATCTCTGCCCTTCAAGCGCTCGTCCTGCAAAAAGGCACACCGTCCATTTCTCTGCATTTACGGCTGCCAGTTTGCGCGGGTCGTGGAATCTGAAGAAAAGAGTTGCCCACAGGGAACCGGGTGAACGAAGACTGAGAAGAATGATGCCCTAACAAACAGGGCGACGAAACGTGCAGAGCGAGCGTTTTGTAACCGAAATTTCGAAGAGTCAGCCAGCCTGTCTTCAATCTCTGCTCCGCAACAGCCTTTACGACCACCTCAAAAGACGGGCAGTTATGTTGCCTGGACCTATAAACGCTGGAGAACAGAATCACGAGGATGTAGTGAACTATAGAGAAGACATACGCCTTCTCTTGCTTTACGAGGACGAACTTCGTGCAGAAAAGACGAGTGCAAAAAAGAACATGTTGTTCTCAATATCCCGCTTCCTGAAAAATAGCACGGTTCCAGAACAGTTGCATGGTTTATCGGTCAAATGAAACAAACCACCAGCATTCAACGCTGTAACGATTCCCCAACAAGTGCAGACCGGACGTCATCAAGCAAACAGCGTCAAAAGCTCGTGAGCGAGATCCGACGGGACCGTCCCATACTCTTTGCGCGTACCCTGATCGCGTGTAGCTTGTTGCGCACTTCCATGTAGCCCACGTGCAGCTTCCCCCCCAGGTGGTCCGTTAGCCCCGTGTTCGCATTCCTTTTCACAGGCAACACAGAAATAGGACAGGCTCAGACGGGGTGAGACGCGAGCAAGAAAAACGTGCACCCACCCTGAGTTTCAAGAGTCTTTCCCTTAGCTCCCAGTAACCGATGTGGAGCTTCCCCCCAAAGTGGTCAGCAAGGCGCTGGTGGCTGCAGCGACGGACAGGCGCCCTCATCAGAGGAGCTTTGCAGGGGGGGCAACTTTTGCTTGACTTTAGATAGTCAACTGGCGTGTCAGTTTTGGCTCCGACCCATCTGCCGGAAAATGCTGAGACACAGAGAAGTATGCCCCACAGCCGTGTTGCCTCGAACATAAGAAGCTTGCGGGGGAGATGCACTGTCACCATGCCATCGCTCCCGATCGATGAAACCGGGAGTAAGAAGAAAGCAGAGCCTACCAAGATCAAGTAAAACGCACACTCCAGAGGTCGTTGTGTGGCTAAGAACAACTCTCTCAAGAATCAACAAAGCCTGAACCGCAAATCACGTTCTGTGCATCGAAACGAGTTGATACTTCGTGCCCTCTGTGCGCAGCTGCTTGACTTAAACCTCGATGGTGTGTCCTTCACTGCTGTCAACTTCGGCAGGGTTTGTGAGCTCAATATGCAAATGCGACCGGAAGTGCGCAACTCGAATCTCGTAAGTAGTACTCTCGATGACATCAAGCAAGGGTGCCGGCTTACTTGTCGTAGATGCTGAGGAAGGCTCCGCAGATGTCACAGACACGCAGCTTTTGATCCGTCTGCAAGCACCAAGGTACGTCAGTGAACACCCAATCTGACGATTCTGCCAGAGCCTGGTAACTCAGAAGATAGAAAAAAGTTCGAAGCGACCTTGGATTGAAGCGCGAGCGTCCAATCAATCGAGGCATGCAAAACATCAATCTTGACGGATATTGGCCACAAGCAACAGCAAATAGCCTCGAGCGAAGCGAGGCAACGCAGGGTTGAAAACGAAGAGTGACGAAACTTACAATGCGGCTGTCCACTTGCTGCAGTACACGAGGAGGCTCGGGTACAACCACAGTCGTTGCTCTCTGCAAAAGCAGCACGGACAATTAGTAGGCGGGGAGAAACATGACACTTACTGCATTTCCAAAACCTATGCAAACCGAAAGCCTCGACTTGCAACCCTGCGCTTGCTTTCAGCATCTCTGGTTGTCCTGGCAGAGAAACTGGCATAACCAGTTGACAGAAAAGATCAACCGGAGCAGTCCCGAGCAGGAGCGCAACAATCACTGAGCACTAAACAGAGAGTGTTGCAGAATCAATGCACTCTGCGAACAATGCACATTTTCGGGCCCATGCCAGGGAATGATGTTTCTGCTTGTTCACTCTGGATTCGGAGCTGCTTACCTTTTTGAGGGCCTCTGCTTCGTCCATCAAGCGCTGCGCCTCATCCACCTGGCCAGACTCACCTGCAGCAACCACCCCCTTTTCAGATTCGAGACTTGTGTAGCCCACATTCACAATTCTTCAAAACTTCTCTCTGTGTCAAACCAGGAACGACTTCTCTCTGTGTCGGACCAGGAACGAGCAATGGATGCTTTCCCGGACTTTGTACGAGGTAGTCATTGATATCAACTTGCAAAGAGACATAGAATGAAACCATACCGGCTTGCTCTGCTTGCTTCAGTTTCTCGTCAATGTGCTGCTGGATCAAGGGGTCCACCGGGGGGGGCTTGACTGGGGTCAGGGGGAGGGGGGGAGGGCAGCGGGGGAGGGGGAGGGGGCGGGACAGGCACTCCCAGCTGCTTGTCTTTGTTGAAAGCTTCCAGGAGGGCGGCAGCCTGCAAAAACGAGAGTGGACCCTTACAAAAACCGGATTGAAGTAGATTTGGCCTGTTCACTGAAGCCCTCGTAAATACTGCGTGACCAGAACAGACAAACTGGAGCATGGAGTGCTGATGTACATTTTTCTTACGCAAAAAGCTACTGTGGCGGCTCTTGTTGAAAGTAGGGAGTGTAAGTACCTGGATCTCTGCCCTCTTTGCCTTCAGCGCCTCGATCACGTCCATCATTTTAAGCTTGTCATCAGACTTCCCCGCCAGTTCTGCAGACAATTGATGAGCGTCAGTATGTCAACACTCGTAGGAAGGCCATGTACACTTGTCAGCTGGTAATCCACAGACGCCAGAAGAAATCGTCCTTCTAAGCGTGGTATACAAGAATTGAAGCGCTGCTAAAAGAGGTCTGCAAAGTGGGTATTTACAAAAGAAATGAGCCAACGTACCACACTCTTCTGCCTCCTGCTGCTTTTTCCTGATCTCGTTGCTGATCTCCAGGGACTCGGGAGTCTGCGAAGAGAGAGCAAAACATTGATCATCAAAGAGATATATCGCATACGTTCTCCCATACCATACTCCCTGGGGGACAAGACGGGACTGGCAGATGGTGGAAAGCAAGAGTTGGCATCCGCAGAACATTGCACTGGTTTAGGGACTCGACAACCAACGATGTCTTAGCTCTTCTCTGAGCAGGAAATAGGTCGATAGAAGCCTGTTCTTCCCATTGACCAATCCGGCTCATAACCACCCTCAATCTCTTCTCTAGACTCCTTGGACAGCCGCATTCCAAAATGCGCTCCCGATGTGAAACTCTAGTACCTATCTCCTTTGCGCTCTCAGAGAGACAATCCGTGCTCTGTAGATCTCAAAAAGTGCACCAGTACGAGATGTCGTAAAATAATGTGCGTGTGCTGCACTTTGACTGACCTTAGTCGACCTGGATACCGGGACTGCCGTAGCCACACCCGTGTCCTCGTCCTGGAGTCTCTTGAGAGCTCGCTGAATTTTGCGGTCACATTCGTCGATGATCTTGAGCAGCGCATCCTCCAACTCCCGGTCGTAATTTTCCTTGCCTTTCTTCCGCGCCTCCTCGTAATCACGGCGCAGTTTCACGGAATGCGCCTTTGGGCATGGGCCCATGTCCATTTTCTGTACAAAGCCGGTACTCAATTTGAGGAAGCGTGCGGACACATGCCCCCTTCTTTACTTTCGAGGGTTTCTTCAGGTCCTTGCTTTTCAAGACCACAACCTCAGTGAAATGAAGGGACTTCTGGTATAGAAAAGAGCACCCTGATGTGAACAAATTTGCTAAGCAGACAGATATGCGCCGATCATAAAGAATTTACCATAAGGACAAGTTGAAGATGACAAGCGTGAATTTCCATGTAAGTCGCAGAGAACAACTTTGAATTGGTCATGAGCAAACCAACACGATGCAACATTAAGGTGGGCTGGATTACGCACTGCATGTAGAGTGTATCCAGTCAGCACAACCCACACTAGGCCACAGCTAGAATCGTTCCTCGTGCAACCCAATCAAAGCCCCACATTTTATTGACCTTTACCACAATTATTATTGAGAACAGAACATCATTCGTACAAGGAAGACCACTCCAATCAAACAGCTGCCCAGGAAAACCTTGACATTTGCGAATCACGTGTCCAGGCGCAGAAGTAAGGAGTTGACAACACATGAGGAGGCTGATGTTTACCGTGTTGACGAAGAGCTCATGGGGGCAGAGACCGCACAGGTACAATCTACACACAGCCCGGTCATAATACTTGTGGTCAACCTCCCGGCTATCTCCATTTCGATTCGCCCCCATCAAATCATCCAGCTGCTTCCTGAATGCATCCATGATTGCGGGCAACTGCAACAGTGTGCCAAATTCCTCAGCTTAGCTGCTTGCAGTCTGCGCACACTACTTTTGCGGCGTGCAGTTCCAAGGCTCAAGTCACAGCTACAGCAATCAATGCATTCTCAAGGAGACCGATGCGAGAGCTCCCCCAAAATGCCCAATCCAACCTGCTTCTGCACGGGCTTCAGCGCCCATGCCTGCCCCCGCGCCTTCCAACTTCTTCAGGTCCGAGTTCTGACTGCACAGACGAGGGAGTCGCAGTGCTCTCTCTCCAATACCTAGTTTATGCATGTCGTGCAGTTATAATCGGGCGCTCTGGCAGTATCTCAGTTTGTTCAATTCTGTCAATATACGTATGTAGAATGGTATTTCCCCAAGTAGATAGAGACAACAGACAAATTCTGTACCCAGTAGCGGATGAAGAGCTACATATTAGCACTACAGATAACTATAATCTAATATTCACCGGTCAGATACGCGGTCGCGGTCACGGAAAATAAACGGTATGACAAGTGTTGTGAACTGTGACACCTGCTGTGCTGTTCCAGCTTCAGAGGGAAGAGAAATGCAGAACTTCTCAGCAAGGAGGCCCGTATGATCAAGGTCGGCACTCTCGTCACAAGAGCCTGGTAGGACTGGTACGAGCTGCACGCATTTAAAGAAGGGAATACCCATTTGATGCAGGCATAAATACGGGAGGAGGGTTTTAGGATCAAGGCGGGGTCAGGGTGGTAGATTACTGTGGTAGGTACAGGGGTTTGCTGACGGAAAAACGCGGTGGGGGAACTTTTCAAGCAACTTGGTCGACCGCCTAACAATCAGGCACAATGTTTTGCTCAAGTGAGTCCTCGCATATGTTTGTGATTCTGATGAATCTGGAGGAATTGGGCCATGTTTTTCCTGATCCCTTATATGCTGAACAAAGTCAAGAGAGCAGAGACGAGAGCCATGGGTCGTTCGGCATATTTTGAAGCAATGCGGGTGAACAATTCAGATGAACAGGCTCACTCAAATCGCTCCTGGCGGTAATGGAATGTATCAGGCACATCCCCCTGGTGTGTGAAGAGGGAGTGTTGTCCAGTGGTTCATGTCGGGTGATCTTGTGTTTCATCTTCTGGTCAGATTGCTTCACTGGTTGGGGTTCAATCGATGAAGCTTCCTTCTTGCTCGGAGTTTTGTTTGCTACAATGTGTTTACCTACAGCTACTTTAGCTCCAATGGTTGCAACAGATGCTTCCATGTGCAAAGCCGGCGCAACCTGGTAATGATCGCATGTTGTTTGCTGTCTGTCGGCCCTCCGTTCGCAGGAATTTTAGAGCCCATCGTGTGCACATTTGTTCTGCTTTAAGGAATAGAATAGGTTGTTTTTGGCTATTCAGTTCAACGGCCTTGCTTTGATTCTGCATGCTCGCTTATGATGCCCGTACTTGCTTACACTGCTTTGGCGGATCAGGGGCCTTATTTGCTTCTCTTGGTCTGTAAACGATGGCTGGCGTAATTCAGGCAGAGGATGCTAGTTCATTTAGCCACGCCGCTGCAAGCCAGGGTACACAGCACGGCCACTTCAAGGAAAAGTTGCAGATGCCAAGCAAAAGCGCTCATTTTTGTCTGAGCAACCTTGTCTTCCATGGATGTTGCCAAGCATCCGAGAAGCAGTCTTTCAGTCTGTAGGCAACTTGGTCTTGCGATGTTTGTGTAGTATCCGGGGTGACTCCTCAAGAGCCGGTGGTCTCAACAAAGTCGGGGGCGCTGTTTGAGAAGCGATTGATACTCAAGCACATCAAGGTGAGGGCAGCTCCGGTACTTGACATGTGTGAGTTGTTGGGGCGATGCATCTAGAAAGCTGAGTGCGGTGGTGTGAGGCTTGGTCCGTGCAAAAGTGCTGAGGTTGTTTGAGGAATTGGTGTGCGATCTGTATTTGTCTGCTTCAGCGCCCAAGTGCATCGACAGACTCCAGACTTGTGCTCAAACTGACGGCAGAAAATGACATGGCACCCTGGATTGTACCAGTGCCCAACTTCCAGGTGGCCTCACTCCTTGGGTCGGCAACCAGACGTTTTCTTGCTCGACAGATGTGTAGCAAGTATTGACGCCCACTGAGTGCCCTTGTTCTCGCTCAGCGTAGGCGCGGAACTCTAGACGGATTCTAACCATACGCCTTTCCTATGCAGGATATCGGCGTGGATCCGGTTAGTCAAGACCCCCTTACGGAAGATGACCTTCTCGAGATCAAGAGTAACAAGGTAAGGCGCTGGAGCAGGCGCGACATCTCGTGGGTTGAAGTTGCAGTGCAGTGCATCAGGGGCCTGATCCTACCTACAAGCAGAACTAGCTCAGGTCCTCCCTCTTGTACGCTGAGGTGATGCTCAAGGAGAGCTGTATATGAGATGCATGCTAGGCGCTGGGAAGAACTTGCAAGGTGCAGGGAATGTTTCATGACTTAGTGGTGCATGTGTCTCAAGTGCAAGTGCATACGCCCTTGGATGTGCAGTGATGCTGTGCACCATCCTTAGATGGTGGTAGTTGTTACTGGACAGCTCGCTTGACCAAAAAGCAAAGTACTGGGGCGCACAAAACTTCGTAGCTTTCAGGGTGAGCTGCTTTGGAATCCATGTCGTCAAAGAGTCAACGACCAAGGCTGCGCCTGACCGTGTGCTCCATGCTCCCTGCAGGCCGTCAAGCCGCGGCTTGCGTCGGGTGCCAGCATTCCGGGCATGCTGGCCACTTTTCAGAACGTGAGTTCTCACTGTTGCTGCTGGACTGAGTTACTTTGCATGAAACGATTTGCACATGAGGACTACTTGATTGTGCCCCGTTGGGATTCACACACAAATGAGCATTCGATGCTGATACTTGATCATGCTCCAATCTGGTCTGAAGGTTGAGTGCATGGATCGTCTCAAAGCTTTCTTTGTGTTCCTCGAACTTGCAGCATAGATTCGGGCCCTGTGAGTTGCAAAGGCATGTTCCTTTTGCTGAAGAGGACCTGCATGTGTCAATCAACAATTGCCCCTGTGTTTGCAGGAATGGGATGCGTTTGTGCTGAGCACCTACTCTCTCGAGCAACAGCTGCACACGGCGCGACAAGAGCTGAGCTATTCCTTGTACCAGGTACCATGTCCTACGTTTTGCCTCGTTCTTTATCCAGGGGCCCACAATCACCAGCTCTGCATGGTCTAAAATTCAAACGCTCCTCGTTTCAATGTCTCTTGCATTGCACTTATTTGCAGCCCTAGCCAGGTTTGCTGGCCAGATTGCTCCGAACACTGTCATCCTGATCGAGAAGCTTGCGCAGCTGCTAAATAGCGGTTCTGCCTCCTAAATATGAAGTTTCAAAGCTTCCATTCACTTCAATAAGAATCATTTGCTGGTTGCTGAGAGCTCTTTTTGCATGGCCACACAGCACGACGCCGCAACCCGTGTCATTGCCCGCTTGAAAAAAGAGCGCGACGAGGCGCGTGCTCTCTTGGCGGAGACGGAGGCCAGGGCCGCTGCAGCTCCGGCTGAGGTGGCGCCACATCGGCCAGACGTGGCCAACGGTAAAAGGGGTGAGGCAGCGTGCAGACCTTTCTCAGGGGGAGAGTTATCCCTCGCAAACTTATAACGAATCGAAGCAAGTAAAGCAACCACGAGGGAGAACTGTTACGGGCCGAGGTTGTTCGAATATGAAACTAACATTTGTTGGATTGGAAGCCGATAGGACCTAAGGCGTTCTGATGGTCGAGGGGCGTCTCTCTGACCCCTTTTCGTCGTTTCACAACCGGCTTGAAGGTTGAGGCGGGCCTTCTTCAGGTTTCTGGGCCGGGCTGCTGCAGGCCATCACGCGTTGGCAGCAAAGTCGAACAAACACGCTGCTTCTTACTTTGTATCCGTGACCAGGTCGAACACATTGACCACTGACAAGTCTCTGAGTTTCTTGCAAGTGTACTAATCAAACCTGGATATGCTTTGCTCGAGAGTGGTCCTGTCCGGAATGCCGTGCGCGCGTTCTAACCGCAGTCTGTCCCGTTTTCGCGCAGCTCCTGAGGAGCATGCGGAGGCGGCGCCCACGAAAAAGGCGAAGGCCGGCATTACGCAGGAGATTGTTGCCGAGATGACTGCGTGCAACGTGGAGCTCTCGCAGAGCAGGAAGAAGCGACAAGTGAGGCCCTGCCTGCCTGAATTTTATGCTGAATGTTTGCTATTGCGCATGTAAGTCAAGTTTTGGAACTTGTTGCGAGCTTTGGAGATTCGGGAGTCTCTGTCTCTCCATCCTTTCCGCTAACCGGCGAACCAATCAACACTTTCGCGAGGCCTCGTATCGTTCTTTTCTCGCTCTTGGATTGCTTGCACGGTCTGTTTGTACAGGATGAGTACCCTGCGCCCTTGCGGGCGTGCCGCGAAGCTGATAGCAACTTGAAGGACGCAAAGCAGACGCTGGCATGTTACGAAGTCCTGCAACCGTTTTGCGGGGGTGCCCAGGTTATGGCACCCGCCAAACACCCGAGTTCACCCGGTTTGACGGAAAATGTGTTTTGGTCTGCAGATTCCGGCCACTCTTGCGAGCGCAGACGCGCTCGAGCGATACACCCAGCTGTCAAGCCACCCCCTTCATAAAACCGCGAAGCCAGGCATCATTGCGTGCGACATCAATTCTGACAAGGTGGGGTTGAAATCAGGGACGGTCGCATCACGAGAAACCCTGGCGTAATCTGCGTTCGTTCGCGAGGTGGAAAACGTGGACTTTAGAGGTGTTCAGGAAGATATTCTCGTAGTTTCGTAGCCGCTTCGCTTCCTCGAGCGGACCTTCTGCCTCTTCTTTTCGACCACAAGGTTATGTTTTCTCTTGCTTGGGAAGAAGGACGGAATATTTGCCGCTAAAAATGTTGATGGCCTGTTTCGATGCAGGATTGGATTTTGACGGGCGGTGTTGACGCCCAAGTGGTGGTGTTCGACCGGCCGGCGGGGCAGATCAAAGCCACGCTGGCGGGCCACACCAAGAAGGTGAGCGCAGAGTTTGAACAGGGCTTAACAAGTTGCTTCGCAGATTTGCTTCGAAAATTTTGTCAGGAAGAAGGAAAGTGCCTCCGTGCTTCGTTCGAATAGCATTCATCTCTCCTTCCCGTCCGTTTCACTTCGACCCAAGAAGTGCGCCCTTTGGTTTTCAAACCTGCCAGGACCAATCAATAGGAAAGGGATTTTTTCAAACGGAGTGTCAGATGCACTCCAGGAGCGTCGTTGTATGCGAGCTTGGAGCACTTCTCAGATCAATGCTCCGAAGAAAAATGATCAATTGGGTTTAGACTTACTCCCTCGTTGTCTTCTACATCTGTTATTCCTTTGCAAGATTCTGCTCTTATTGCAAGTTCTGGTGCACGACCATGCAAAGGCTGCGACTCACAGCTGAGACGTGCGGTTTTCCCTCTCACTGTCCGTCGGAGTTTTCATCCCCCAAGTCATTCCTGCACTTCTTAGTCTAGCTCACCCACTGACTTCCTCGTCGCCTACACAAATCTCCCGTCGCAGTTTCCAGTCCTCTCCTTCTTCGCAGGTGAATGCCGTCAAGTCCATGCCCCAGACGGACGTGTTCTAAGAAGGCGCCCCACAACTAGTCGAGACCAACTTCCGACTGTCTTGCCTCTGATATAAATTTTCGTATGATTCTCAAACTTTCCTCCTTTTTAGGTGAACGCCGTCAAGTTCGTGCCCCAGACGGACCTTCTCCTGTCCGCATCCTCAGACAAGACGGTGCGCGTGTGGAAGGGTTCGGACGAGGGAAAGTACCAATGCGTCCACGTGCTGACCGATCACGCGTCAGACGTCCGAGCCCTCACTCTGCACGCGACCAACCATTACTTCGTCACCGCCTCCTCCGACAAGACCTGGGGCTTCTACGATCTCGCCTCGGGGCTGTGCCTCACTCAGGTGCGAAACGGTGGCACGCTCTGGTTTTCGATGATTATTCAGTGTTGGAATGCTCCAGGTTGAGACGAGAAAGAAAGTCGAAGGTGGCTTGCTGCTTGCCATCTGAGTCTATCACGTCGTTGAGGTTACCTTTGAATCTGCACATTCTGGCAGGGGTAAGAAAACTGCAGACTCCTTTTGAAGCTGCAGAGAAACAAACTCAAAAGTGGGCACAACAGGCGCTGAGTGTCTGGAAAACAATCAGATCGGAGCTGGCTTCAACGCTTTTAGAGAAAGGAATCCCCCTCCTTTGTCACTCTTCGGAGTACAGAAAGTTTTAGGTCAAAGGGTGAAAGTTTTAGGTCAAAGGGTTCTCACGTTCGTTGGGACCATGATCAGCGTCTGCTTTCGATAAGTACGTGCCTAGGCCCCCTCAGCGGCTCAGCCGTTAACACGAGGTCCCAGTATACGGCCTCACATGACTCCTGTGTGCGCAGGTCGCTGACCCGTCAGTGACCGACGGATACACGTGCGCCTCCTTCCACCCCGACGGCCTCATCCTCGGCACGGGGACCGCCGAGTCTCTGGTCAGGATCTGGGACGTCAAATCGCAGGTGAGCCGAGCGTATGTGGCCCTAGGTTGGGGGCTTAACTGGAGCAGCGGGGTCGGTCATCTATCATGTGCTGGACCTTTAGCCTGAATTTCTTTGGCATTGGACAATGAAGCCTCAGAAGAAGGGCCGACTGATTCACTTCGTGTTTGACTTCTAAATCACCGATTGTAATGGGATTATAATTATACCGAATCATCATCCTGCTCATTGACTGGGATGACCTAGCAGTCAGCGCATGTCCCTCCCTCAACCTAGTCTTTGCAAATTGCTTGACTATGTTACCAGACCACGACTTAGTATGGTCGATGCTCTCCCCGCAGGCGAACGTGGCCAAGTTCGAGGGCCACTCGGGCCCCGTGAACGCGATCTCGTTCAGCGAGAACGGTTACTTCTTGGCGACCGCCGCGCGGGACGGCGTCAAGCTTTGGGATCTGCGCAAGCTCAAGAACTTCCGCACGTTCGCGCCCTGGGACGCGGACACAGACTGCAACACGGTCGAGTTCGACCACAGCGGGAGCTACCTGGCCGCCGGCGGAGCGGACGTCAGGTCAGCGAGCTGGCGTGAACTTCTGAGTCACATTTTCGGCGACTTGTCTGCTGGATTGCTTCGTCGCCACCATAAGTTGACTCGTGCCGATCCGGCACGGGAAGGGCTGGCAACGTCCTCGTGTTTGCCCTGGTGCAGAGCAGAGGGCTATACTTGAGCAGACTTTCCAAGCAGGTCTTGAACTTCTGCCAGGTGTTTCAAATCCGATTCTGAGCCAAAAAGCTAACTCGTGCAAGCGTAATAAGCCTTTATTTGGCCGCTAGGATTATCCCTCCCGCCAAAGTGCCTTAAGGATTCACGAAGACACAAATCCGGGGCTTGGTGGTGGCTTTAGTTCGTTTGACTTGCTGAGCTTGCTAATCTTGTTTGCAGGATCTACGCTGTTGGGACGGTGAAGCAGGAGTGGAACACCGTCAAAACCTTCCCGGATTTATCAGGAACAAGCAAGATCCTGAACGCCAAGTTTGGAAAGGATGCCAGCTATTTAGCCGTCACGTCCATGGATCGTAACCTGAGGGTCTTTGGCTTGGCGCCCGAGCTCGCGACTGTTGGGGAATAAGCAGGGTAATTGTAGCTAGAACAGGAGCAAACATTCGACGTTGATGCGTTCAGTTGTCTTCTACCCTATTTGGTACCGGTCAGTTCTGGAGAGGGGCTTGTGGGGAAGCATTTTTCGTGATTTTGACACGAAGGTAAAGCCGACATGGCAGCGACCATTCTATGGGCGCATGGCTGGAGTGAGTGAGGTTAGAGAAGGACTTCCTTCAGAAACGGAGCCCATGTGCTTGACTTTTCGCACGCGTTGGTTGTCATATGGCGATTGCTGTTCTGCATTTGCCACTATGGTAGCTAGGTCGTAACAACTGGTTTTTGAGATGTCGACTGAGCGCGGTGCGCGTGGAGCAGCTGTTACATGCCAGAACCGCAAGTATTGAACATGACATGCATGCATGATATGCTCAGTGCAGATGCATGCCTTTCATCTTGATGCACTGGTGGCGACTCTGCAATGATTCACCATGCAAAAGCATCAAAATTGTGTACACGATCTTATTGCAGGGGAACCGTCTGTGAACATGCAATTTGAACTTCCACATGTGCTAGCAGAGCATGCAATCAGAACTTTGATTCCCATGTATGCCATGGAAGCCTATGGCCCGTGTGGCTACGGCGTCTGAAAAGAGAACATCAGAGATGGGAAGCTTGGGGTAAGCATTGAGTGGCATGCCCAGTGGGATTGTCTTTTGTAATCATGTATACGGTAGGGACATGTGAGCAGCTGCCGGTTAATCATCATGTGGACCCAACGTTGGCTGCGGCATGTAAAGGAAAACATTCTTTGCGCATGAAGCGGTTGACTGGCCAACCGCAGCCTGTCATAGCCTCAAGCCACAGACAAATCACTGTGTACAGATGCTTGCAAGGTTACCTTCTGAGGTCGATGCTGCCAAGTCGTCCTTGTTCACTGTTCTTTTCCAGGACAGTTTTCCGCTGGAATGCTTCCTACGTTCACTGCCCTTGCTTTCATGGGATGCCCCCAATAAAAGCGATCAGTCACTTCAAAGAAGGACTGAGAACCACCAAAGTTTCAATATCTCAAGCGGATCTCTGATCTCGACAAGCTTCAGTGTATTAGCAAAGCACTCTGCCCTACATGATGGACGTGACACCCATCAACTCAGCCAAAGAGTCCTTGAACGTTCCCCCAAATAGGCAGTTATATAACAATTGCGTAAACTAAAAGAGGCTAGTCTTCTTCATGATTCTGTAGAACTCCTCTTCATTAACCTCACCATCACCTGCACAATAACACGCATGTTCAGCTGCCTCACGAGATCCAAGCAAACCAATTCATAGAGGACAGCTCACAGCTCTCATGCATATTAGAAGAAGGTCCTGCACAAGCTTGCTTTCAGAACGGCAGCAGCTGGAAGCTCACCATCTCTATCTGCCTCCTCAATCATCTCTTGTAGCTCTTCGTCAGTCATATTCTCGCCCAGCTCCTTGGCCACCCGTTTCAAGTTCTTGAAAGAAATCTTGCCCTGCAGAAGGAGAAGTACGTCAAGCAAGCCGTCCAAAGTGCTCTTCAGCAGGTAGCCAGAAACTTGGCCTTAGAGCTGCCACCCTGCTCTTGCTGACCTGCTGCATAACAGAGCTCTCAAGCTGCATGTGCCGCTATCGAGCTGCCAGCTCACCAGCTTGCAACCCAGCTCATTTTGCTCTGCTTTCCTATTCTTCCACTTTCACCAAGTCATGAGCACAGGCAGCTGCTTTGAAGTGAGAGCGAAGTAAAGGCTGGTCCTCACTGTCTCGTCATCATCAAAAAGCCTGAAAGCCTTCATGATTTCCTCCTTAGAATCCCTCTCCCCCATCTTGGCCGTCATCATAGTCAGGAACTCCTCGAAATCGATTGTGCCGCTGCCATCTTTGTCGATATCAGCAATCATCTTCTTGATCTCCTCCTTCTTGGGTTCAAATCCAAGTGCCCTGCATCCATAGATAACCATTTAAGCAACCAAATAACCCAAGTTGTCTTGAAAGCAAGCGAGGACTATGCATATGCAAGATATGTACGGTGTCTCTATGCAGCTTAAACTACTTGATGCTATTCATCAAACACCACCTGAAAAAAGCTTGCAGCAGGTAATTCTACCAGCAAGGTGGCACCTTTGATTGTTTCAAAAGCAGCACTGGTGGAAGTCTGTGTTATCCGAGCAGCGCTTACCGCATAGCAACCTTCAGCTCCTTTGCATCAATTGTCCCTGGATCAAAAAGTTATGGAGTTTTAGGCATTGCTTTCAAAGAGAATATTCAGGCACAATCATGCAAGTCAAACATGTCGGAAATTGAGCAAGCTAGCCAGATTGACATACGCACAAAGGATGCAAGAAGAATAGTAAAATGCATCTTACCTGAGCCATCAGTGTCAAAGAGATCGAATGCCTCCCTGATCTCCTGCTTCTGCTCTTCTGTTAGGCCCTGTGTCCTGCCCTTTGCCTTGTCCCTTCTGGCAGAACCGACTCCCTTGCGGAAACTCTGCAGACCAGAAGAAAGACTTGTTAATGTGCATTTAAAAGATGCCTAGAACACAGCCTAAAATCTTGCTGACTGTCAGCTTGCCAACCGAATCTGCATCAATTGTCACTCGTCCTGGCACACTCTGCTTCATCAGTTGCCAAACGTGCTCACCATGTTGGCGGTGGCGGACTGTAGAGAAAGCGTAGGCGTTGTTGGTAGGTGCAGGTGGCAAAAGCACGAACTCCTCTTGCCAGCTGACTACGACTTGCTATGACAATGTAGGCAACGCTTCAGCTGAGTTTCTGCAATCAAAGTTGCTTCAACTGCTCCCACAAATCAACAGCGTGTGAGCCGCTTCCACCAACAAATTGCGGCTCTTTGTCTACCTGTAGGACTAGGACTAGGACTACCTACGGTTCTCCAGACTCTCTTGAGGATGAGAAAAACTCAAACCTTGCAACACCAGTCCCGAGCTGATGCCGCCAGCAATTTCAATGAGCCAAGTAATAGAGAGGAGTGTTCAGCTGGTGGCAACCGCTTTTGCGCCATTGCAACATCAACCATATTCCTCTGCCTGTCAACGGCCCAAGAGGCCGATTCAGACCACAGGTTGCAGCACACAGCGTTCTCACTTTGCAGAGGAGGTAAAAGGAGGTTCGCGCGCGTTTTGGTCTTCACGACCGTCAACGCAGGCTTATGGCTGAGCATGCTGCGCGGCCGCCGCACGGCTTGGGCCAGCCCAGCGCAGCTAGTAAGTTGCGAGGTTCTTGAAGTACAATGGTACAAAGCAGGCTAGAGATTAGTAGAGAATCACCTATCTAGGTCCTCGAGATTAGCTGCCAGCAAGCGCAGGTTCAATTTGTGTTTGAAGACCCCCGCGACGCCGCCCGGCGCCTACTATCTAGATAGCAGGTAATGCATAGACGGGTAAGCTTCTGTAAGATCGACTGCTCGTACATGACGAATACCTTCGTTTTTACACTCGCATGCGCACCGTCAGAATCTTAGTTGAAGCACAATGAAAGATCACGTGCAGCATAAGCACTCATGTAACAAATCCCGGCAATTTTTTCAGGCTCTGGCTGCTGGTTAAATGAAGTCAAACGACCGGCCCAGCAGATTGATTATCATTGATGATGGTCACAAAAAGTCACGATGATGATTATGCTTTTGTATGATGTGTTTCTTGTGTACACCAATTTGCGGAAGTTCAGATAGCTCCATGCGCATCTCCGCGCCATCAACCGCTCATGTTTCGAACACAAACGGGTCAACGCCGCATCATGATGGAAACATTTAGCGCTGACAATCGAAAGCCGAAAGTGACTTCCCCAATCTTGTGAAGCGGCATTGAGAAGAAGCATCAATCAGCGCATGTCCAACCTTCCGGAAAGAATCTGCCTTGATCCATCGCTAATCTAAGCTGAGGGCACTCGGGCTTTATAGAGGCAAATATAAGCCATGTGCCAGTCACCTGCATGATAAAGCAGGACCGAGTCAAGCTTTTCTGGGTATAGATTGGGAGGATGATCAGTCAATTCAGCAAGGCTGCAGCACTCCCTATCTAGCAGCGTGCCAAATTTTCCAATGAATCGGAACGTGCTCAGCAACCTTCCTTCAGGCAAGATTTGAAACACAGAACTGACGATTGGAACAGACTTCAAAGGCTGAACGAAAGGCAGTCTCACCTCCTCCAGCAAGCTTCAGGATGTCGTCCTCCCTTTGCGGTATGGGCTTGTCGTCATCAAACAACGTCCACCCTCCTGAATGATTTCCATGTAAATGGATATCAACAAGCAGCGAACTCTCCTAGGCTGCTATCGGCAAAACCTGCCGGCCTTACCTACTGCTCTGCCGACTGCTTCCAAAACCTTGAAATCTCCTGAAGCCAACCAAGTTTGGTAGCTACTGGATTGAAGAAGGGTGAGACACACACAGTATGTGAAAGCAATGCTCCAAAACAAAAACGCAACAGGAACCGCCTCTGACAACTTCTGTATCTGTATCCGGAACAAATGACTCAAGCACCTTAACGTTGGCAGAGAGACGGATGCAGATGGTGCAAAGAGGGCTGCACGCACAGCTGGAATGGTTCGTATCCTCGTTCCAGATGCTGCAATTAGAACCGAGACCCTTGTCCAAGCTCCGCTGTACAGTAAACAGCTAAATACGCTGCCACGTCTACCAGCTGTCGTCAAAAGCAACAACTGGAAACAACGATGACAGCGCGCGACTAAACAACTTACCCTTGTCTTGCTTTACCCACGCAGTATAGTGTCCCGAATCAGCGCTCCGCCCCTTGTGCGTGAGAACCGCCCACAAGTCGTAGATGCCTGTCAGTTCTTTGCTGCTCCCCGCTGCTTCCGATGACGACGAAGAAGGCCCCGCGCCTGCGACAAGGTCTCGAGTACGTCAACATAGGACCAAGGCGTTGGTGGACGTGCCAGCGAAGTTGCTCGCAAATGTGCTTCACGAAGTACGATGTCGCGAAGTCGGAGCTTCACCACAGCGAAACATCATGCAGTTCGAGAACACGGCACGAAGAACGTGATGCCAGACAACACAGAAGAAGATATAAGCTTCATATGAAACAGCGGGGTGAACTTGCAATGCTTTTCAGTCCGATACAGGCACTTGAACGCTTCAAGACATTCACGTACCTTTGCTGTCTGCTGTAGACGTCTCTTTCGGGGCATCCGCAGTCGCAACCTCCTGGAAAAACCAATACGAAGTTTTAATGCACAGAGTTCCGTGAAGGCTTGCAACCACGATGTTCAATCAACGCAACTTTATGACCTGATATTGCACAAGCCAACAGACCAACCACTTGAGAACAGAGAGTTGCACCTTCCTGGCCCTGAGGAAATGAGCAGAGCAAATTCGAAGAATGCGGGAACAGCACAAATCGTGCAAATTTGCAAAACGAACTGCACGAGCAACTCTAAGTATACGAAGTAATATTCTACGCGGCGCAATGTTTCCCCGCAAGATTTGTCGGGAAGTACTTGCACAGGCGCTGAAAAGTAGGAAAGAGGGCAGATGATCGCGCTTGAAACCTTCTACAACGTCCCCAACTACCTTTTCCTACTTGCTCATACATCAGGACTAGAGGCAAACACGTTTCGACGACCGGGATGCACGCCCAACGTGGAAAACATGCAATCTTCACGCTTACATGCGCCTCGCTCATCTCCGTGTCTCCGGCCACCTTCTCCTCCTTCGCATCCGTTGCTGAGGTTGCCCCTTCGATCCCCTTTCCTTTGTTCTTCTTCTCGAGGCCCGCTTTCAAGTCCTCTTGTTCGCGTAGCTTCTGCAGAACAGTGATGGCGTTCTCAACCTACGAAACGCCTGTGCAGACAGCCCCAGCTCAAACTTCCTGTGGCGCTCTCAGATTGCGTGACAACTGTGACATCGCACTGACGGACTGTTGAAAGTCTCCCGGCACTCTGGCAACCTGCCAATTCTCAGGCATCTACCACTTTTCAGTGGAAAGATCTGAGGATCGGGCACTAGCGTCTTTGAAGCGCTTGCTCGAGATGCCCGCATCGGACGACGACTCACCTTTCTAGCGGGCTTCAACTTTTCTTGCAGCTCTTCCGTACAGAAGTCGAACACGTCCAGGTTCATCGGATAATGAACGGGCTGCATACGGTTAAGGAAGACAAAGGGTGACGCCGAGCCTTAGGCCTTGAGCCCATGAATACATAAAAGCAGTCAACGCAACAAGCATCTCATCGTCATATGTCTCCGGCCGGCTTTCGGATCCTCTGTGACTCCCAGAGACTTTGCAGACCATCTCGCGATCAACAGCGACACAATTCAAGCGCACACAAATAGAAGCGGACTGCTAAAAGGTGCCCCCCTCTCCTCTTGGTCGATGACTCAATCCCCAGCACGGAAGACAATGACGTTGACAACAAGAGACCACGACTGTTGTACTGACATGCGCTTCTCAAAAGCTTCTCAAACGAACTGAGTGAACGCGTCCTGAGTCTGAGCTGCGAGCTCAATCATTGAAGTCCTTTGCCACGAGAGGATTGCACCAATTCCCAACCAGAGCCTCGCCAATGTAGCTCACCCTGAGAATCTTGGCCTTCTTCTGCGTGTCCTTCTTCCAGAAGAAGCGCACAAACTGCACCGTCAGGTACTGCGGCAGCTTGCTGATCCGGGACGTCTTCTGGAATACTGCGCTGCGCCCGAGTACCGACGAGTTCTTCTCGAGCTCACCCTTCAAGCCCTGTAGAAGCAGTGATAAGGTGAATATTAGTGATTCTGGAACGTCAAGAGGTCAAGACCTTATATATGAGAGACCTTTCTTCCCGCAAGGCTACCCAAGTAACAGGACTCTTCTCGAAGTTCTTAAATTCTACGTATACTCAAATCGACACCAACACCTGATACCAGTTTTCAACAATGTTGCGACGCAAGTCGCTGGCGAAGGGATGCCGACTATCTTCAGCAGGCAGCTCCCTTTTTATCAGCCTGCCGAGCTTCGGAAGGATAATGAGCAATTTGGCAACGGGACGAAGCTGCTTCGTCTTCAAAGTCGCCAACCGCTTGTAGCTCGAAGTGTCGAGGGGACCCACGACGAAAGGACACATCGGGGCAGACTACCAATCAAAGCAAATCTGAATGTTGTAGCGCACAAGAAACATGGACACAACTGGAATCCTGACTCTAGTCGAGGAACTGCCTTAAAAGGGGAAGGACTTTCGATGCTTCAGGACACCGGGATGCCAGCGGTCGGATACAAACTTCCCATGTCCTACCCGAAGTAACCAACCAACTCTGTGTGGAGGAGCGAAGACGAACAGTGTTACGATTAACTTTTACGAACAGTGTGACGAACACTGTGACCTACATGCTTGATGCCTTCATGGACGTAGTTGACCTCCGATGAGATGTGCACTCCCAGCTTGTAGACCGTCTCCGCCTCTGTGCTCTCCTCCCCGCTCTCCTCCGACCTCAAAGTGCTCGTCATGTCGATACCAAACAGGTCGTTCACTACGGCACTTGACCTGCGCCGGAAGGAAGAACACAAAGCCTCTTCAACCAACCATCTGACCCGCTAAAAAGACAAGTGCACTCATGAACATGAAAATAATTCAAGCCGGGCTTTGCAAAAAGAAAGCATATGAGCCTCCTTGCTTCGAGAAGTGCATAACCGCAGGAAGAGCAATTCCAGGCAGCCCAAAAGACTGTGAGCGAGGGACAAGTTTTGACTAACCCGCCACCCTGAGTGTCTCGGAGCCGAGTAGACAGCGCATAGATGAACTGCGACCAGCATTCTTCGGCGTCCTGCAACAAGTAGACCGACGACTGAGAAAACCGCACGAACTGACGAGGCAACACCCGCGAACAAGGTTTGGGCACTGCATCGTTCCTACCTAGGAAGAAATCACTCCCGCACTCGTTGCTGAAACTTGGCTCGGTCGAGGCACAGCCACAGACTGAGCTGAATCCTTGGAGTGCAATCTGGCGCCTTTGAAATGGTCTGGAAAGGTCAAGCGACATATCAATCTGACAAAGAAAAGCACGCAACATGACGCCCCAGCTATACTCTCAAAGTTCAAGCTAGCAACATACCTGCTGCATGTACGCGCCACCTTCGCCCGTCTGTGCAAACTGAGGGTACAACTGGCGGAACAGCTGCGGAGACAGGAGCACCAATTAGATAGATCTCGTACAGCTTCCTGGCAGCACAGACTTTCATCCACCAGGTGCACCTTAAAACAAATGAACATACAGCGTATATGTCTACGTAAGTCCCAAGTTTGCGAACCCTTCGCTCAAAGGGTTGAATGCTGTTAAGAGATTGTCTATCTTGCTTCATGTAGCAATGAAGCGAGATAGCGACGTCCAACGTCATTCTCCTACTGTAATACTCACCATCAGAAAGTTGAACGGCATCACTGGCTTGTAGCTAGTGTCAAGCTCCTTGAAGAGGGCCTTGGCTGCGAGAGTCAGCTTGTGGTTGTTGTCTGCGCCGATGCCATCCTGTGGCTTGTAGAGGGACAACGCATCCTTGAGCTCCGGCACAGAGTGCAGGCACTGGATGGTGGAGTTCATGTAGCACGTGTTGCCCAGGTTGATGAGCCCGACGGATGCATCTTTCTGCGACAGCGTATGACGGCAAGACAAATCAGTAAACACGCAATTCTGCGTATCCAAGAACAACATGCGAAACAGGACTTTGCTACAACGTTAAATCCGAGCACTTTGAGATCCTCATGGCCACCAAGAAGTATATTCCGGGTTAATTCTAAGCTGGTCGAACACAGTCACTAAGGTGCAAAAGCAAGGAATGCAGAGTTGCTGAAAGATGAAACCTTTCGGGAAGCTTGAAGGGCTGCAATACGCCTTTTCCATGAGTCGGCCATCTTTGCTTCGATTGATTTTTACCATGACATGAAAGACTGGTTCCCAAAAGGATTGCCATAACGACCAGATCGGCTTGCACTCAAATCCCTCTATTGCTCACCGTAAGCGCGGCTTCTTGTTGATCCTCCGGCAGATCCTCAACAAAGACAGGTGCATCCTTCGGCGCCTCTGGTAGCTTGTCGGCAGTCCCCATCATCATCAACTTCTGCCCAGCCTTTAGCCCCACCTTGTTCCAGTCTCCATCATCCTGGAACAAAGGACGCCCACACGACATCAGAAACATTGCCAATCTGTCCTCCGCCAACAAACCTTCACCCAACTCTCCCTTCATCCAGGAGATTGTAAGCAGGGAGCGATAAGAAACCCTAGACTTTGAGCAGCTCGTCTACACCTACAAGAGAGCATGAAAAGCCACAAGGAACCCTGCCCAGGAAGCTGCTAATTGCTGACCTTAAGCAATCCTCCTTTCACCATAATCTTTTGGCGCTCCGGTGGTACTCCTGTCAAGCTGAACAACTGTGTCTTGAAGACCACCGGTGGCTGCGTCTCGTCCACCTCCAGCGCAAACTCCTCCTTCTGCCATTTGACGGACACTGCAATCCAACAGAAAAGGAGTGGACCAACACTCAGAAGGTACGTCACGCTAATTTGAAATGCTCAATAATACCTCATCAACGGTCAGGTCCTTGTTGCCAACTTTACACGCGCACGAAAGACTCCAAAGACAATTGCTGAACCACAAAGAAATAACCAACGTACGAATACATGTCCGCCAGAACTGGCTAACGTTTTCTTCTCCATCCTGCATCCGCGCATGTTGAAGACAAGCGAACGTCTCCTCCTAGAGAGAATAGCAACACATGGAGAATTGCTCTGCCTTACCTTTCACCATTTTGGCTGACTTGACTGCAACTCCAGGTAAACGATACCACCTAGAATCACACCCAATCCAAAAAGAAAACGTCCAAAATGAGTCTCCTCCTCAGAAGGCGCCGCTACAACAAGTACCAAGGGACACAGTACCTATTCAAGCCACCATCATCCGCCTCCTGAGTCCTGGTCGCAAAGTTGGACAAATATTGAACTGGAAAGAAGACGATCCGAACGCAGACTAGAGACTTCAGTCTCCGTATTTCCCGCCGCACTCAGTCACTGTCGTACAAAACTTGTGAACTCCTTTCGTTTTGTCGGACGCCGGACGGTGGGGCTTTCAAACAGCGGTACCTACCTCTGTTCCAGCAGTCGGGTAGCCCTGAACACAACAAAACCCTAAGAACAATGGCTTGGCCGTTAGTGGGAACCCTAATCTGAGAGCAGTCACAGGGAAGGGGTGTAACCCTAACAAACAGTCAGAGGGAGTGGCGTAACCCTAACACACCATCACTAGTTTGTGAGTTAACCCTAATGTCACAGTGAGTGCCCGGCTGCCTGGCCAGGTACCTGACGGGGTATATACCGTACGCTTAGGCACTTCTATCGTACGCGGTACCTTCCGATTGAGTGGAAAGTAAGCGTCCGGCGTCCGAAAAATCGAAAGGAGTTCACAAGTTTTGTCCGTTTTGCCTCCTGAGTGTTCAATGTTGCGTTAATGGTTGAGAGCGGTAATGCTCACAATGCGAGTGTGGGCCTTGCATTTATCTAGAATCTACTTCCGTTCGTATCAGCTGATGAGCCGCCTTCTAAATCGAACATCTCGATTCAAATTTTTGCGCGCAACTAGACACGGCAGGATCTGGCCGAGAAGCTATCGCCTATAAGTTACAAGCCGCGGCGCGGCCTGCTTGAGTTGAAGTTGGAACTCCTCATGCAGCACAAACGCCAGGGCGGGCCGGGCTGGCATCAAATGGTTGAACGTAATTCTACAGTAGCAGCAGAAGCTTGACGAGATGCTCACCTTGAAGTTGAAGTTGAAACAGGCGCACTGGACATTGAAAGCTTTGGGGTTGAATTGAGGCTGGACGATGTGCTCAACCCATGGCATCAAAGTGGTTTCATTTAGTAGGCTTTGTCGCAGCCATTTCAATCCGACTGACATTCAGTCTGAGCGGCGCCTCCAAGGTGTTGCAGCACCGAGTGGAAGTGGTGACTCCTACCAACAGCTTAAAGAGGCTTGCGGAAGCCCGATGGTTGATTGACAATGGGATGTCTCCTTATGAAGGTGATGTTCCATTGCACTGTGACTTGAGCTGGTTGCGATGAATAGACACATCTTCAAAGCTGTGATTGAGTGGTGTGTTGAATCTGATCCTGCGTATCTCTCCAATCAGATATTTCAAGAAAATCTGATGGGCTTAAGGCAATTCTTTTCATTCTGAGCCCACTTGATGGGCGCTCTGCTTAATGAAGGGTGAACAGCTTGTAGACACTTCTTCATGTGTCACAGCTGAGATACGCTCATTTGGCACTGAATTGGCTGCCGTGCATTCTATGCTTGTGCCCTGCTGTTCGAATCTGAAGCTGGGTTGATCGAATTTCTTTGTCCTTGCAGGCTGGGCATATCATGCATCTCCTTGCTATGTGTATCTGCTGCAGCCTGTCATTGGCGCCATTCAGAGACAAGATGCAAGATTGTCAAAAATCTCAGGCACCTTGCTCTGCATCGCCGCTGATCTTCTAGCAGCAGTCCTCCTTCAAGCTATTGTTTTTAGAGCTTGCAAGCCAGGAAACTTCGAGTCAGCATCGGGACAAGATGTGCCAAGCTGTTCAGCTGTAGAAGCTCATGGAGCAAAGCAGTTAGACTTGACCTCACCTGAAGAGAGGAAGAGCGCATATGTTCACGACGGCGCCAGCGGTGACGCCCCATTTAATGACTTGGCTGGAATCTTATATCTATTGAATCCGTACACAATAGCTGCTTGCATTGGGGGCTCAACAGGTTCCATTGACAATTGTGCTGTCCTTCTGGCGTTGTATGGCTCAGTAAATGGTGAGTGCAGTATACTTTGCCCTTCCAAGGTGTTTCTTAATATCGTGAGAAAACGTCTGAAACAAAAGACTCCACCTCCTCCGACTTTTCCTTTCTGTCTGGTGCCTCCTCTGCCTTTATCAAGCGGCCCCAGTCTATCGTTTAAGCCTAGCATTTTCTGGTGGGCAAGCTTAGATACCAGAGGCAAGGAGTACAATCAAAAGTACAGCTAAGAGAGATCCTGCTTGAATGTAAGCATAGGGGTTTGCCACAACAATGAAGAGGGACTAGTGGCAATCTGAACACCCCCGAACCCTTGCTAACGTAGGACTGTTCTTGCAATCATTGGGATTGGAGTCTGAGCTCCTTTCTAGCCAGACTCCCTTGACAATCTCTTCTTGTACGGAAGCACAGCATGCATTCCTAGACCTTTTCACTCTGTGTGTTGCAGGGAGCATCCCCCTAGCCACTTTTGGACTCGTCCTAGCCAGTCATCTCACACTACATCCAGCCCTGCTCATTGTTCCATGCTTCCTTCTCCTGCACCAAGGTCTGGATCGACGAAAGCCTTGCCAACCACCGCCTGCCTCCGACACCATAGACATAGCTCCTCGTAACCAGAACGAGCCCCCTACTAAAAAGCGTCCCGCTATGGTTGACATCAGCACATACAGAGAATCCAGGACAGGCTCAGGCGTCATTTTGTTAGCGGCCTTCTTCTCCATCGGGTTAGGTTTTTGGACAGTTGCTCTGCTGGCTCTCTGCAAGGTCCTGCTCGGAGAGCGGGGGTCTCTGCTACAAATGTGGAAAGCTACCCACGGCTTCATCCTGGCCGCTGATGACCTCACTCCGAACATCGGCCTGTTCTGGTAAGCCTCCAAGACAGAAACCGTTTCGACTTTCCGTGGTGGTCTCGATGATCTCAGTCTTTGGTGTTGGTCTCAACTTCGAGTCTTGCTGATGATTTAAAACGATTCGGCGATCTTCCATCACGGCTGTCATATTACAAGAAAGGGACAACTCTTCTTACAACGTGCAGTAGCCAGGCTGTCTTTCGTCATCCTTCTTCTTAGACCGACTGCATTTCAACCACTCGTTGATATCAAATGAATCGTCCAGAGTTACGAAAACGAAAAAGTGAGACAACCTTATAAAAGGTTCACATACCTGTTTTGGTTGAATAGTGACGAAGTGCTGTTCGATAGCTTGCTCAAAATACTTCCTCAACACTCTCTCGCTCGGAATACGACGTGCATTGCAGTGAGGAACGATGGCCCCCTTTTTGGGGCGTATCTATCTCGTCTCGCAGATTCCTTCTGCCAGGCCTCCGTGGCGCGAATCCAGGCTTCTTAATGACCCACTAAGCCGTTGAAGATTCTCTTGATGCTTTATCGGACCCAGGACATGTTGCGAGGCGTTTTCTTCTCTCGGCGGTGCCGCTCGTGTAGTCTGCTGTATCCATCATCAGTTTCTCCATGAAGGCTGCCAGAGACCGTCAAACTTTTCTGGCGAACTTTTCACGATTACGCCTCCTCTCCAACCAACTTGATGCTACGCCTGTTTGCCGACCGAAACTAATTGGTCTGGAAGAGCGTATGCCTCTTGAGGTTTCACTAATGAAGTGGCGTCCTCTACGCCTCTGTTCTCTCGGCCCTGCTCTCGTTACTAGCATCCCATCAGAGCCGATCCGCAGACTCCTAAGGCTCTAGGTGCTGGTGGAGTTGTTTCTTTCCGGGCTTGCGTCGAAGAATTGGTCCGGCGTTCCTTGAATCCTTCCTTCCCTGTTCCCTGCCAGGTACTTCTTCGCAGAGGTCTTCGACCACTTCCGCACCTTCTTCCTCTTCGTTTTCCACTACCTGGTCCTGGTCATCATGCTCCCCCCCCTCACCATCCGATTCCACCACCGGCCCCTCTTCCTCGCTTACGTCATCCTCGGCCTGACGTCCATCTTCAAATCGTACCCGTCCGTTTCGGACGCAGCCCTCTACCTGGGGCTGCTCCCCGCTTTCGCCCGGGAGCTGCGGCAGATGCGTTTCGTGTTTGTCGGTGTGAACGGGCTCCTGGTGGCTAGCGTCATCGGGCCGGTCATGTACAACCTGTGGATCTGGAAGAACGTGGGGAACGCGAACTTCTTCTATGCCATGACGCTCGTCTACGCATGCGCGCAGGTGAGGGCCGGCGTCGATCGATCTAAAGGCTTGTGCTCGACTTACTGTTCAGGCCTTGTTTGTTGGTCCATCAACTGGGCCGGGCTTTATATGACCCGCGGGGTTTGGAGACCCTCATGTCTCAGCAGACAGGCGCTAAGGCAGTTCGTTTCTGCAGCGTCCCTTAGGTCATCAACGCTGAGCAAGTGTATCGCTCTTCTGGAAAGTCCCATGGGACCATAAACCAGATTTAGTGGGGGCACTAGTCGATGTTGTGAACGGCTTCTGATGAACCTTCTCGATCGGACGGAGTCGCATGATTCTGAGCGCGTTGGCATCTGGCCAGTAGCTTCAGCAGTCTGAATCGGAGTGCCGTATGTTGGGCAGCTCTGACGAGGCCAATATTGTGCCTACTCAGTGAACGTACTTTTCTTTTCAGGCGGTGTTGCTCATCCAAAGTACAGCGGCGGTACTGCAGTATGATAAATCCAGAAACAGCCCTCAGGACTTGTCAACGTGATCGAGAAGCTGGCCACTGAGCCTCGTTTGATAGGCACGCTTCCCACAATCCGCAGCTTCTCAATTGCCACTGAGCCGAGCGTACGTTCTTGGCGACTAAAGCGCTGTAGATTCTCACAAACGTGTTGATTGATGGTGTCGGGGACTTTGTCGAAGCTTTTCGTCCATTAAATGTTTGCGGCACGCCTGTGAGCTATACGTGCTCAGAATGTTTTAACCTCGCATTGGTGCATGCAAGGAATAAGTCTTATGCCTCTCGCGCTCCTACTTGAATGGCTTATAAGATCAAGCATGCAAGAGCGTCGCAAGCCTGGGCTCACGGACTGCGTGCTTCTTCGTACGCAACGCTCAATCTCCTAAATGTATGGTGGCAGGCTCGATCAGTTCCGATCGTCATATATGAGGTAACTGCATAATGCGTCGCCGGGCCAGGGACCTGTTGGATGCCCTTTGAAGTCTCTCGTTGTCTGATCGTTCCGAACCCATAGCCCATGGGATTTGATTGCGAACAAAACGTGCTGACAAGATTTGCATGTTGCATCAACTGATCACTGAGCGCTTGCAATGCAAGTAGCAGGAATACTTAATTGGCCTTCTTCTATATAGCCCCATTCGAGGGTCATCATAACACAGATGTTGGGCCGGGCCGGCACATTTTAGAAGCTAATCGCAGATATCGCGGTACTGCGCAAAATCCTTTCTGCATGGCCTATGATAAAACCTGTTGATGATAGGCTATTTTCTAATACTTATGTCTGATCGTCAGGTACGATCATTTCAATCTTGTGCCCAGGTGCAACAGCCTGGTTCAACACCATAGTAACCGGAACACCGAAGCGCTTTGCACCCAAGCCCGCCCTGAGGAACACGGTAACCCCACCCGTCCCTCGAGATCCATCGATGGCCTTACGTATACAGCCCTTCGTTATAAAATCAGCTCAGGTTTGAAAGCAATACGAGGATTTATTTCTCTGGACAAGATTGATCGAAGCCCCTTTCGAAGTCAACGCGAGTAAGAGGTACCGTATGTGTCATAAGCTATGACTCAAGTCATAACTTAGCAGCTTGAACTGTTTGGACGGGAGGATGCATCTGCACCTTAGGTCAGGTTATACAAGATCACTTGCAGCTAAACATCCAATGGATTCAACAAGCAGAGTCGGATTGAGTTTACGTCTTTCATGAGCAAAGTTTCGCTGAAATCACGATAGAACGCTTTGATTGGAAAGACGAGCACCAGACCTTCTTGCCCCGAAGGCAGCTTAGATCAGCTCTCGGGCTCTTTGCCACGATCAGACTGCAGCCTCGTTTGCCAAGTCTGTGCGACAAGGATTCTCTAATAGGCCCCAGCTTGCTTTGACGTCTAGCTTGTAAGGAAATTTGTTGTCTGGCCGGCAGGCTTTGTGTTTTGCAACTCCGCCAAAATGGAAGGTTTTCTCCAGCATGTCAGGTCTCTTCGGATGCAGATCTCAGGTAAGGGTACTCGGTGCCACCGACGGTGGCTGCCGAGCAAGACATATCAACATCTCCATGATAAAGGACCGGCATAATTAAGTAGAATCACATTCAAGAAAGTTGACTGAATGCATGTACGTTTTAGAACGCGACTCTGAGGTCCTCGAATTGAAGCAGATTACTACGAATTGACCAAATAGAGAGAGAGAGAGAGAGAGAGAGAGAGAGAGAGAGAGAGAGGGAGACGTTGGATTTTTGATTCCCAAGAAATGTCAAAGATACAACCAAGGTGCCAGATGCGAAGCCTTCTCGGTTTCTGCCTTCTCTTTTTGTTGCAGAGTATGAGGACAAGGCGGCAGAAATCAGCGCCAGAAAGCAGCAGGAGCAGACCGAAATAACTTCAATCCAACGGGACTTGGATCGAAGTGAGCGGCCAAAACTTTAAGACCACGTAGCAAAAACCATCCTTTGAGCAGACCATCTCCTTTTCCTCAATCACATGCATACATCCAGACACGTGTGTTCCGACGCCCTGAAAGAGAGAATCAAAGCCAATATTTTTCTAACTTCGTAGTTTCTCATTGTCTGGGCACGGTACATGATAGTTGTGAGGGACAGCGAATCATCGAATCGTGATTTGAATCTGCTGCGATTTGACATTGTCAGTATCTCTCTATTCAAAGGAAGGAAGCTTGTCGAGTGTCCAATACGGAGTGGATTGAATAGAAAGTATCAACCAGCTCATTCAAAAGCTACAATATTTCTCTCCAGAAGTGCTTGCTTTGAATCGCTTCAAAGTGCAGTCTCATGGGAGATCAAGGAGTGTTCACAAACAACGGAGAAGTTGTTGAACGATTCTGGGACCATCGGCCGCACGATCCTGGCGGCACAGCAGGAGCAGCTGCAGGCGGATCTGGATGTCGCATCTTTGGACCAGGTAGGAAAGCTCTGCAAAGACCTCGACTTGTACCAGTTTGACCATGTCTATAGCATACGCGTCTAGCTATGTTTCAACGGCAATTCGTGAATGAGCTATCCTCCCCCTCTTTCAACACGCAGGCAATAGAGTTGATGAAGACGGGTCTTGAAGCTGATGCGATCAAGCAACGCTCGAAGGAACAAGAGTTGGATACGGCCTACGATGGCATGTTGTCCCAGCTGGAGGATTACAAGGTCAGACCAGAATATAATGCTTGTCGAAAGAAACGGAATGGAATTTGACGACCTACCCTCTGTCCAATGCTTCATCACCATTCCTTGGCATACCGTATTCCAGCATTGCGGACTGATTTCTTGACTTCTTTTGCATGCTCTTCATTGCCGTACTGAAGCTTCTTGTTGTTTCAATTGCAGAGATACTACATGTCACGAGAACTGGCACTGTCAGTCCGCAAGGTAAAACTATGAACGATTTGGACTTTCGCATGGCGCGAGAGTATCGTTTTCGGGGAGTCACAGCAATGTTCACAATCAAACCTAGCTGCACGTGAGGGTCTGCAGTTGGAACTCTGTAAGTGATTGTGCTGAAATAGTACGATCACTTGGTGTTCTAGTCCATAACACTGTGCGAGTATAATTTTCCACTTTGACACAACTGTATCATTTGCTCAGAATCTACTTTTGATGTCCGCAGATTGATGAAGTGATTGAGAACCTGACGAGCAATGTCTCTGGTGAGTCATGTGTATTCTCCTTACAAAACCTGTGTAATTCTGCTTCGGCTGTAATGGTTCCAGGGAAGCGAGAAGTCGCTTGAGTAACAGGTTATATAAGACGTGTCGTGTTCCGCCTATGCAGAAAGCGATGGCGGGAACACAGCTTTGGCTGACTCGTCCAAGGAACTCCAAGATCAGGTAATGTATTCCGCGGGGTATCATGCGATCAGGAGTCAAATCTTAATGGTGTATTGAAGGGAATTCAACCAACTGCAAATCATGACGAGACACAGCTGCATCATAATCATTTTGCGAGGTAACAAATCTTATTGTTAAGCAGACCCAGATACAAAAAGTGGTTCTTTGCAGCTAAGGAGAGCGCGAAGCGAACAAGCTCGAGCGACCGGCGAGAAGGCTTCGGTTGAAAAACAGTTGCAGGATTTGGAGGAGGACGCACGAACTCTTGAGGAGCAGATGAAGGAGGTGAGGACGAATGTCAAGAATGCCTCCACCTGAATCCGCAGTCATACTCTTCTGTGACGCATTGAAACTAAGAAAGCCTTCGCTTCGGGTTGGAAATCAAATGAGGAACACGTCTTCTGTTATGAGGCTGTGCTGAAAGTCTGGTTATCATCCATATTTTTCCTATGCGCAGGTGAACGTGGATGTCATCGAAGTCATCAGGCAGATTGATGGTCTACCGGTAAGGCACCTTCGTTCCAGCGTAGCTTCTTTGCTTATTGGATGCGATTCGTAGGAAGCACTTCTTAAAAAAATTCTCCTCTTTTTATTCTCCGAGAGAGACTGTAGAAGGCATAAAAAGGCACCGTATCGAAGCCTTATAGTAGTCAGCACTTACGCAGACGCCAGCGCTTATTAGATTCACAACGGCTGATCCTATTTGGGCAGGACCACGTCAGGATGTTTGCCAGCGATGATCAAACGGCGGCCTTGCTAGAAGAGATGGAGGGGGTGGCGGAGGACAAAGGCCAGGAGAAGCAGTACGCTGCAGACTGCCGCCAACGCCTCGAAGTGCTGCAGGTAAGTGTCACAAAGCGCTCAGGCTCGCAGCGTTACGGCCCCCGCTGATGATAAGATAAGACAATCATTGACAAGGGACATGCGAGAAGGCTTAGTTGGAAGCTCTGAAAGTTCAATCAGTCCGTCTTCAGGAGCTGCCGATGGTGGGTTGTCTTCGAGATTCCTCCAAGATATGGTCTCTGCTGAGCACCCTCTATTATTGGTGCCTATACAGGCTGACCAGGTGCTGGATTGCCCCTCCTGCGGGCACCAATACGAGCTCAAAGCTGCCGCAAGACCGCTTTGCACTGCGGCAGAGGCGAACGACGAGCAACTTGTGACTCCGATGGAAGATTAGAATTCATAGCCGTGAACAAGAGTCTACTTGTTGATCCTTCAAGGTGCATCGGATCTGATGTTGCGCATCAATCACTGAGCATCGACCAAATCTGAGAACTTTGACCTGTGAGTCACGCCCGGAGCTTCACGTGACCTTCTCAGTGTAATGAGCATGCTGATGCATCTCAGTATCCTGAGGCCTTTTCCGAATGCATTTCAATCTTTTTGTGCATTTTGATTAGCCTACTCCGACGCAGTACCGCGCCACGGTCCAATTACATCAAGGTGCATGAACCAGGCCGTGTGGCCTTCAATTATGAGCTTGGGGGTCTATTATGACTACAACCCGCAAAGTGTAAAAGTGCACACGATGTGCAGGCAACCCGACATATACGCGATTCTTGAGCACGCGCGCAAATGGAAAGCTGTCGCGCGAGGTTGCATTTCATTGCCATTTGTTAGAAAGCGGCAGAGGCATCTTGAAAGGGTCATGTCAGACACATGATTTGAAGCTTTACATCGCAAGCGGCAAGAATAAGAATGAGCTAGATTTTCGGAAGGAGCCTCGGCCGTGTCTGCAAAGTTCTGGATCCACGCTGAGAATTATAAAACATTGTGTCTCGACCGTCCATGAGATATCAGATACGCATTTTGAGTTGTCCCGGAAGCGACGGTCAGGGCTGACCAGATTAACAGATCAGTAGACACTGATATGATAGTGTTGTCTATAGATTGCATATAATCTGCTCGACGGTAGCTTGCAGTAACGTTCCCAAATCTCGATGTTTGTCCATCATATCTTGCAGCCAATCCGGTTGGAAGCTACCGTCAAAGGTGCCAATCTCACACAGCGAGTGACTTAAGACAGATTCTCGCAAAGTAACCCCTTACTGAAGTTGCCCACTTCCTCCCTCACCACGACATACCTTCCTTTTCTGCCTTTTAAGTTTGACTGTTTTTGTTTGCAAACGCTTATCTCTTGCTCGACAGCGATCACTTTGAGACGAAGCTCTTCACCTCCTTCAGCCATCTGCCATATTCTCTCTCTTCCTTGTCGTTTTTAAGGTCGGCAAAGGCTTCCATAGTGTCGTTGTCCACACCACGATCTACCAGATACTTCTTGAGGTTCTGTGTCAGTCGCTCGTCCAGCTCGCTGTTGAACGATTGAACATTGAAACGTCAGCACATGACGGCAGCGCAGTTGCAAGCAACAAATGAAGAGGATAGGCGGGCAGAGCAGCGCAGAAACAGGGGCTTGCAAGGTGCTCGAGTTGCTTCTGCCGTGAAGGAACTGTAGGGCATGGTTGTTCGGGAGTCATTTGAAGCAGAGTACAGACCGCTCAGAGCTGTGCAGTTGTATGCACCAACCGCCTGGAAATCAAGCTGACGCATCACCCAAGCAATCAAGATACGTTCTTACCTGTACTCCGGTCCCGGATAGGCATCGCTCTCGTTTATGCTGGGGTCCTCAACATGCACTGCGTCGATGCTGATCTCTCCTCCTTCGAAGGAACAATCGAAGACCAGGGTACGATCTTCGCCACCCTGTGTAAGAGCGTCTTCTGTCAGGCACCTGCCTCCTCACAAAGTCAACTTTCCGGCAGAGCCATTGATACACCCGACGCAACTCGTCACACAGATCACTGTCGAATGAAGAGGCCGGGAGGTCTGTGAATGAGCAACGCAGGAGCTTTCAGAGTCCAGCCACCTCAGGAGTTCCCATCGCTGAATGCTCACATTCCCGGCAGAACAAGGCTCAGCAAGACATTCTACTGTCAGAGGCGCCCACCCTGTTTCTCGCCTGGTATGACAGATAAGATCTGCACTTTTGACTGGACAGACAGACAATCAGAGTGGAGAATGCAACGGCGTTTTGGATTGAAGTCCCTCAATCAGAAACAGAAAGTGCAACTCAGGTGCGTACCTTTGTAACCTTGACCATGAAGTGCAGGGGAGTCCCAGCATTCTCTTCACCATCTCCCTCTTCATCAGGATCATTGTAAGCGCTCTCCGCGTATGCAGCATCCATCTCAGGATCGACGTATGTCATGAGCTCGATTTCTTCGTTCCCATGCATTTTGCGCACTGTCAGCTTCCTGCTACCAGGGCTCTCGACGACCTTGTAGCCATGGGGGAGCTCCACCTGCGAGCCTCACAGAACTGCTTTGGTTTCTTGTGGGACATGAAACTGGAGTGAAAAGCAGGCAAGTCAGCATGCAGTCAGGGGAAAAGTTGTGCCACAGAGCAGGTTCTTTGCAACTCCTCATGACCAGGAAATTGAAGGCTTCGCGTTGTAACTTATAACAAGCTCATGAACACGAAAGTACAGGCCTCATACTTGTAAGATTGCAAAGCAGGACCATGACAGTGTGGTTTCAGAGTGGAAGCTGCTGAATTTTGAACCGCAAAACAAAGTTGGTCTGCAAGTGTGGAGCGGAAGTCTTAACTTCCAGATTGGGGAAGCCGTGATTGCATAAGGGTTCCCGCAAAATCTGATTTTGCACCTGCTGCACCACCTTTTCTACAACTAACAACGCAACGGACTTTTCACCGTACGCTGTGCCTTCAGAAGCGAAAAATAAAGTGGACGAAGTTTGACCAAGCACAAACAACTTCTGAGATTCACAAGGTTCTCTGTTTCTCCTGATAGTCGCCAAAAGGCAGCAGAATTGTATTGCTAAAGTGATTTGAACTTTTTGCGAGCCCACAGACAACAATAATGGACAGACTTCTGCTCACATTAGGTGACACATACTGCTTTTCTTGGTCTTGTATCTCGAGATCCAGTGCCCGCGCCAAACCGTCTGACTTTGCGCCCTTTGCGAAGTAACGAACTGCCCCCACTGCAAAGCCTGGGTTCACATTCACATCTGCTCCCGAAATTGACCTCTTTGCAATGCTTGCGAAACCCTTTGGCAGATCTGCGGCGTAGCGGCCGCTGACACTCGGGCTGGTAATGGTGGCACTCGCTCTAGCCGCCTTCAGAGCATTGCGAAGCGCCTGAAGCCCTGTGCGCCTCAACATCTTGCCTGGTAGAACGAAGTTGGTGCAATTGCTGGGAGTGCCGAATGCAATGGGCGCGTTCACGAAGTCAAAACAAAGCTGGGGCTGAAGTCAATTTCAATCTTCAAAGATTCAGAAGACAATGTCTCGTTTCACAAATGCAATGCCACCAACACTTGCACAGCACTGCACCACTTCCCATCAGGCAGCTGGGCAGCTGGCACTAGGCCACGCCCACTGGAAACGGAACCTTCAGAAATTAGAACTTTCTACTTTCTACTTTCTAAATCTTCTTAGGGCTGAAGTATGAATCTGATCTTCCGCGTAATCCGCTTAAGTTCTCTCAACCACTGCTCAACAATGTCAAGCTCCACAAGCAGCCATCTCTGAACTCTCTTTTTCAGTATGGCTCTCTGCACTTCGCAGCTCCAATTCGCTAACGCCGCCCTCGCGAGCTGCGCCTCCCTGTCGAGAACAGCCTCCTTCTCCAGCCCCATGTTGGTTGCCAGACTTCGGGTGCTCGGGCCGCTGCGCTCCCTCTGGTCGCTGTCCAACAGCTTGGTAGACCCAGTAGCTGCTGCAGAACGACTCTCCTCTTCCGCAGCATATACCAGTTCGTCAGATCAGCCGAGTACTATGTCGGCTCCTTGGCCAGGGGCAGGAACGAGCCAAGATGGGCGGAATACCCAGGCCAGATATGGGGGTGACTCTGGCTCTTCCCGAGGGGGGAGGGGTGGTGGTCGGGGACGGAGAGGGGGCGGCACCCGTACAATTGAGCAGGAGAGGAGCTACCATGGGGGCCGTCCTCAAATGCAGAACCCAGGGAGAGGTTACCAGGAGAATTTTGAGCAGGAAGGCAACGGGTATGGAAGGAATGGGGCTGGAGTAGAGAGAGGGGGCAATGGTTTTGGGCGTGGCGGTCGGGGCGGGGGAAGAAACGGGCGAGGCTCGGGGATGGTTGAAGAAAGGGGGAATGGACGTGCTGTTGGGGGGGGGTCTGGGGAGAGGAAACGAGGGCCGCCAGGTGGTTCGATGTCAGCTGCAGCTGTTCAGCAGCACCAAAGAAGAGCTCCGCCAGTCTCGAGGCGGCCTCCAGCGCAAAGCCAGCTGATTGACGAGACACTGTCAGAGTCAGAGGGGGAGGAAGACCGCCCTGCAGTTGATGCAGAGAGATCTACCACAGGGGGGAGCGGGGGCAACCCAGCTTTCATAACAGAGACAAGGTGAGGGACAATATCTTATGAATCAGAGACAATAGGAGTTGGTTACGCTGTGTAGGAATTGGGTCTAAAGCTGGTCAGTATGTGATTTCAGCTGCGATGGCAGGGTGGTGTGGTGCAGGAATGCATGTTAGTGCCAAATTAGGGTTAGGGTTTTACCATTACCAGACTCCTTCGCACGGTTGGTCAACTTCAGCGTCATCAGCAGATCTCACCAAAATGGCATCATTGCAGATATGAAAACTATGGCTTATCAACCGCCAGGAGATCTTGTAGGCGAAGAAAGGGTGTGTTAGCAGCTTGGGGGCCTGTACTGACATACTCAAATTGTGGGCATGTGTGTGTGCAGGTTTGATTCCTTCAACCTCTCACCCCCCACAATCAAGGCTTTGCACGAGGACCTTGGATACGAGAAGATGACGGTAGTTCAGGAGGCGACTCTCCCAGCGTGCTTGGATGGGAAGGACGTGCTGGCCAAAGCCAAAACCGGGACTGGAAAGACGCTTGGTTTCTTGGTGAGTGCGAGATCAGCTCAAGTCAATTCCTGAAACCTTCTTACGTGGTTGAGCGGACAGCTCATGCTTAGGCCCCAAGATTGTTCCCTGCCAGCTTGCCCTTGTCAAGGTGGTGATTAAAAGGTTTGCTAGAACCGTGATGAAGCTGGGGCTTCCATTACTTTCTATTTTGGAGCTCCTTCAGCTGATTTATCAACACACAGAATGAAGGTTTTTGCTGCCGATTTTGAGATCTGGCAAAAGATGTCTCCGAAGACATCATTGCAACCTGCCTATGCGCCCCGTCAAGCCCGTACAAAGCTGAGGTCGTTCAGTTGGAAGGTGATGGCCCAAATTTATTGGAGATCGGGAAGTCTCCTTCAATTGGCATAGGCGGAAGTCTTCTTCACTTGGCTTGGGCGGATTCTGTTCACCTGGTCTATAGGGCTGTGCAGGGGGTGTGTTTTGAGACCTGGGTCCCAGCAAAAGTTTAAAGAGCTGTCAGCCTGTCAAAGTCGCACGTTGGGGTGGACTGCATTTGAATGTCAAATGCTTATCACTGCCTTCCCTTGTGAGTGTCTAAGTCCGCCTCGACAACCTCGTCAGTAGTTCACACAAAATGCTATGTTCCTCTGATGCGGACAAGCAGCTCAAGTAGGCTCCAACCAGGTTTCTGAATGACACTCCACCTGAATTCAGCGATGACTCGACTCACCCCCCTTCTTTCCCGGCAGATACCTGCCATCGAGAGGATCCTCGCTCGCGGGGGCCGGCGCAGCTCCAACCCAGATATCGAGGTGCTGGTCATCTCGCCGACACGCGAGTTGGCGCAGCAGATCGAGGCGGAGGCAAAGGCGCTGCTCAAGTATCACCCGCTGCGGTCCGAGATCATCTTTGGAGGCTCCAACATCAACAGCGACCGGCGCAGGCTGGAGAGTCAGCCGGCAGAAGTGAGCCTTCTCAACCATTCTGCTGGTCTGTCCGGTCACCCTTCTAAAGTAAGCGTCGGCATTTGGTGGACGTCACACTCGCTTAGCAACTTACAGTATGCCATCCGGAGGAGCCTTGTGGAGGGGCCTTGCGACATCGTGACACCCAATGAGAACGTGCACATCCTACGGCCACTCTAACGGATTACCCTGATGACGTCAATTTGGAAATGTTCTGCTCTATCTTCAACCGATTTTTTTTTCATGGGGAAACATGGAACGAATTTTGAAGGCGATCACGACCTACGCTCTTGCGGTTTCCATTCGGTCTTCATGGAAGGGGTAAAAAGTCCACGTCGTGAAGCTTGAACTGCGAAACCTCATTATGCTGACATGCTATTGTCTCTGAATCGCAAAAGCAGCCAGCTATGGAGCAGCATGAACAGACTTCGCAATGCGTTTGCTCGTCGGGGCATTCGAATTGTTCATTGCTTCTTTTTTTACTTTGGAGGGGTTGAAATGATGAACCTCAGTCTTTAGATTGTTCTGTTTGAGCCTTCCTCTCGCTTCTTGGAAGTCACCGCCTGCAACGCAGGCCCCCTTCGAGGCAGCTCCATCAACACTTCCAACTTGTTCTTCTTTCACATCCTTATGGATTCGGCTAGAGACCCCCCCAGTCTTTCTCTAACTCGTGTACCCCCACCTTGTTTTCCGCAGATCCTCATCTGCACCCCGGGCCGCCTCCAAGACCATCTGGACAACACGCCGTCCGTCCCGCAGCGCCTCAAGGGCCTCAAAGTGCTCATTCTGGATGAAGCCGATAACCTGCTCAACATGGGTTTCCGCCCCGCCATCGAGAAGATCTTGCGCTACCTGCCGGGTCAGCGGCAGACACTCCTGTTCTCTGCCACGATTCCCCCGCAAGTTCACACGGTGTCAAAGTTGGCGCTGAAGCCCAACCACGCGTTCATTGACACTGTTGGGGAGGAGACGGAGCAGACCAACATTCAGGTAAGCGATGCGTCTCCTTTTAATTGCGCGGTCTCTCTGTGCTTTTGAATCTCTTGTGAATGCGTCGACTTTGACTTGTATGTGTCGCCTCGGATCTTCGTTCTGCTGGAGTTGAGGATACGGGAGGAAGAGAAGTCAGGTCCTGGCTTCTTTGGTTCGAGTCCGGTCTCTGTTGAAAGCAACGTTTCCGGAATCTTGGTTAGAGTTATTTCAGCCGAATAATCTGCCCTTGGTTTTGCGGTTGTGCTTTGATGTATTTGGAGGGGCCTCGTACATTTTACAGCGTTGACTAAGCAGTTGGGCATACCGAGAGCCCGGCACCATATCGCGCTTTGTTGGCCGTTGACGATTTTGCATTGCACTCGACTCGTCCATGCGCACGACCTCCTTGGCATCAGCCATCGGGCTTGTTCACAGCTGTGCAGGCGACGAGTTAACTGTTCGACTTCTTGCCTTCCCGTCCAATCTTCCTCGAACCGTGTCTGGTTACCATCGGGTTATCCACTAACTACTGTGTGCGCTGCTCTGCCGCAGGTGAAGCAATCGTACGCTGTCATTCCTCTGGCCGATCAAATCGGCGCCACCTTCCACATCCTGCGCCAACACATCCGGGAGGAGAGGAACTTCAAGGTGAGAAGTTTTCAGCTCTTCGACCTCTTTCTTCTCGTTCCAAATTCCCAATTGTCAGCTCTGTTTTCTCTGACAGAACCAATTTCCCGAAGCCTCCCAATTGTGCAGACTAGATAACCGCTCTTGGTTCTGGGACTAGCACTTCGACGGTTGTTGATCACGCGCAGGCCTCTCAAAGTGCACGGGAACACGTTTGGCGCTCCCTTGTACCGATGGCAGGCCCCTTCGCCTCCATTTTCTCTTGTTGATCTCACGTCACTCCCTAATCATCCTGACAACCACTGTGATATTACTTTCGAACGGGGACGTGACTTTCTATCACTGTGACGTCACCCCGCAGGTCCTCGTCTTCCTGACGACGGACCGTGCCACGCAGCTGTATGCGCAGCTTCTCTCATCATGGCCCCAAATGCGCACAACCATCGACGTCACTTATCAACACACTGACGTCACTTCGCAGGTCCTCGTCTTCCTGACGACCGCACGCGCCATGCAGCTGTACGCGCACCATACGATTGCTTTCTGTATCCTGTTGGTTTCAACCACCATGACGTCACCTCCAGACACTGCGGCGTTATTGCTGACATTTACGTCACCTCGCCCCCGCAGGTCCTCGTCTTCCTGACGACCGCCCGCGCCACGCAGCTGTACGCGCAGCTGTTCCAGGGCATTGGCTTCCCCGCGCTCGAGATCCACTCGCGCAAGAGCCAGGCCGCCCGCACACGCACCTCCGAGGAGTTCCGCAAGGGCTCGCGCGTCGTACTCTTCACGTCCGACGTGTCGGCGCGCGGCGTCGACTACCCTGACGTCAGCATGGTGCTACAGGTGAACTGACGTGCGGGTGGTTGTGTGTTTTGATCAGTGGACAGAGACAGGGCTTTCAGTAGGCGGCTCTGCGGTGCTCCAAGGAGGGCGTGTGAAGATTGCTGTTGCCCAAAACAATTGCCTTTCTTCGAAGCCGTTGACCCTTAGGTAGCGATTTAGGGAGTGGAGTCCGTTTGATAGGAGTTTGGAATGCCCTATGAGGGGGCGCTTGACTCCTGCGCTTCTGTGGTGACTTGTGCAAGCTGAGTGCTCAGGGAAGCTTGTGTATTTGACGGTCAGCTTCTCTGAACCTTTTCCCAAAGATCCAGATCTGAAGCTCCGTCTTTTCTTCGCATCTGTCTTTTTGTCCCGAGAAAAAGCAGCAAATTCGAATCCTAAAAAAACTCACTAAGTCCCAGAATCAGGCAGTCCAAGTAGGTAGACGTTGTGATTCTCTTCCTGTCACCCTCGTTGTTCCTTTCACCTCAGCTAAGTCGCTCGTTCGTTCGCTCTAGGCGGAAATTTTAGGCGATTGTGATCCCCATTGATCAGCAACTCACCGTGTCCTAGACTCAGGCAGCTCAGATAGAAACGCGGTGCGACGTGTTTCTCGTTAACGCTCTTGCAGCTTTTTTGAGCCGCTCCTTCGTTTCCTCTAGGTGGGCCTACCAACCGACAAAGCCCAGTATATCCATCGGCTAGGCCGAACCGCCCGTGCTGGGAAGGAGGGCGAGGGGATTCTCATGCTGGCGCCCTACGAGAAGTACTTCCTCAAACAAGTCGCTGATCTGCCTCTGGAGCAATACGGCCCGGTGCCCATCGAGGCGGACATCCGACAAGAGGTGAGCAGAAGCACCAGTTTTGGCTTTTCGTTTGGTTTGATGGGTTTTTAGAATGGTGACTACCAGAAACCTTCTTGTGCCACCTCCGACCATGGAAAGAATTTAGGTCACTTTTCCCAAATCATCCCCAAGTTTTCTGCCCCAATCTGAGATTCGTAACTATCAATCTCGGCATACTCAAGACCGTACTGCTCGAGAGGCAGCCCTGCGACCTGCTTTAAGGGTTACCAAACCCCACTTCTGTTAGGCAATATTGAATCCTCTCAATGGCCCTGCTGATGTGGTGAGAACCGCAGCCGACCATCGCAAGTAACTTACACATCGAATTTCGACCCAGAATTGGATCTTGCCAACCGATCAGACCTCCCCAAAAGTGGGCAGCAAAGAAGCAAGAACAACAGAAGAGGGCAGCGGGAAGTCTGCTCGGCTTCTAACTTGTTTCAATGACCAGCACCTCTCGTTATGTAGTGACGATGCCTGTGCAGATTTCGAAAGACTGCGTTCTCCCGCTCAGAATCAGTTATTCAGCAACCAATCATTCACCAGTCATCTTGAGCGGACTCTCCCGGCATTGTTTGCTCCTCTGACCCGCACCTTCTCCGTCCAGGTGCAACGCGGCATGTCGCGCTTGGAGGAGAAGACTCTGGTGCAGGCGTACGTGGCATGGCTCGGGTTCTACAATACCTTCTGCAAGAACCTGGGTTGGTCCAAGGCGGATCTCGTGCAACAAGCGAACTTTTATGCGACAGAGTGCCTCGGCATGTCGGAACCGCCCGCCCTTTTGAGGAGGACCGTGGGGATGATGGGGCTCAAGGGGGTCCCCGGGTTGAGGATAGAGTAACGTCATTTATACTGATTCTTTATGCCAGTAATTCATTTCAAAGTTCCCGCTACTGATTGGAGGATTCAAAGTTCCCGCTATTGTGTGGAGAAGCTTTATCAGCGCAAAGCTTTGCTAAGTGTCAAATGACCAAGCACAATAGTGGCACCAATTGTTGCCAAAAGTTCTCAAACTTCTTAGCCTGCACTAAAAGGTGGACATGGTTGGAGTAAAGCCTGATGTAACGGTGCTGTCCGAGTGTCATGGCGTCAGATGTTAGTACGTGGGTTAGATGCTTGCTTAAGAGCAGATTCCATGTGCATCATTCCTGGCATCGGGTTCGAAAGTTAGTTCAAAGCCGAAGGCTCTGGTCTGGGTGGCGCAAAAATCCACGGAAGAGAGTGCCAGCGCGATGCATGTGCCTGTGGGTGCTACAGAACGTTTAGAAGTTCTGAAAACTTTTCCTCGCTCGATCGTTCATCACCGCATGTAGTTATATTTGGTTGCATGATTGCTCGCTATGTCTGTCGTAACCCACACTCGTTATCGACCTCTATGCGTATAATTAAGAGATTGTCTCCGCGGTCGAGTGGCACTTCTTCGCTCTGAGATTCATCGGCGAAGTCGGAACTATAAAGTCTCAGCCTTTTCTGGTCATCAAAATTACTTGAAGTCATATTGAACGACGCAGGTTCGGTACACGGTAAATCTGATTGGCGCTCACTGACGGGTAGCAACGAGACCTACTTGTACCGTCGGGTATTGAATCACCTATATCGACGACTGGCAAAATACAGCACGACTGGCAGATCCAACCGGGACCATCCAGCACACAAACTCGATTATATAGGAATCATTCTGATATGAAAATTGTAATGCATATGTGGGAGCTTGAAACAATTATCTTTCAAATGAAGACTGACAATCTGTAGGTTACGGCAGGATACACTTGTGTATCTGCATGCAAACATAATACGTATATATTCGAGTATTGAAGACCCTATATGTGGAGAACATTGGCCAATGTTCCACACCCCTCAAAAACCCTCTTAAGCGTCAGGTTATGGTGAGCCAATCTCTTCCACCTCTTAGTTCTGAAGACGTCTGAGACACATGTGTGGATCGGAGAATGACGGTTCAACATGCACACGTGTAATTCAAGGCAGTGGATTTAGATACCGTATGTCAAACTTCGGTCTGGCAGGATAGTACTCCAGGACGGTTGGATCTACTGGCTCTAACATGAGGATATGCTGCTAGGATGCTGCTCCTGCCCGCGCCAGGACTTGGACCAGCTGCATCAAATCCGGCTAAAACTGCAGAACAAGACATCCCTCTAGGTAGGTACCTAGTTGCCATCCGTTGCCATGTCACTCTTGGCGCCGACACATGCCAAGTCGCAGGCTAACTTCAGATGAATTTGATTGGAACATCAGACAAGTTGGAAACATTTAATAGATGAATTTGATTTGCACCGTTGATGAGGACTCGGAGAGTCCGTCCTTTCAGGCGGCCGTCAGTCTGAGGGGGGGGTGAAAAGAAGACTTGCAATATAGCATACCGGTACCTATTTGGACTTAGAAGGAGGTTGAATCTGGACCTTTCGAAACCGTACGCATCGATCCGCGCCACGGGAAATTTCAAACTTCGTACCTACTGTGAAAGATTAGGATCACTCATGCAAACTCGGGCCCCTCGAACGCAGGGACAACATGTTGCTTTCGACGGGTGTTCGATACGTCTCAAATTCAAAGCGGGGAGGAAAATGTATCGTCGAAACCGGCGCCCGAGAAGGTTACGATACATACCCACTTGACCGTACCACTTGAGTTTGGCGTTTAAAACCGGTAAGGTTCCGACTTTCGGTACCACTCATCGAGCCGTCAAATCCCAATCGACGGTTCCTGTTTTGCTCTTGACTTCAATCGGTTAAAGTTTGTCGTGGAGCGCTCCGAGCTTCCCGCGAAGATTCCAACCCCCCCCCCTCCTTGAGGAAAGGTGTTGATGTCAACAGTTGCGCTCGCGATCTGTTAGATCGAGGATCATATGGGCGCCGCGGCCATTGTTGCGAGGAAACGATGGATGCCATTGCAGCATCAGGTAGCTGTGCACTGTGCAGCATTTAGCTACGGTAGGCAAGCCAGATTGCGCTGGCAGTGATCTAATATCAGCTAGCAGCCCGACTATGCGACAGTATCAAGCGCCTCGAGTTCATTCTGGAGGACAGCGGGGGGTTGCGCTGCCAGCTTCCATGGAGAGTCTTACCTAGGGATGCTCAAGCCAGCTTGGTCGAAGCGTCGATCCAAGATGCACTCTCCTCGATGCTGGTACAAGGGGAAGTCGCGGGGATGGCACTACAAGAGCATGAGCCAAAGTGTCCGCTTCAGCATCTTGTTCTCCATCCTTGCCTTCTCAGCCACGCTGGTTGTGATTTGCAAAGGGTGGACGGGGCAGGATACGTGGTATGCTGAGGCGCCGGGTTTGACTGAGCTAGGAAAGCAGAAACGGTAGGTGCAGAACTGTGCACCTTGTTCCTTTCTTCTCCTCCTTCTACTGGGCCATCAGAAAGTAAAGGAAGAAAAAGCACTTGAGGATGACCGCTCAAAGCAGGGAGTCTTGGAGAAGTGTTGTCACCTTGGTGTGCAACTTCTGATTGTGAGGCTCAATATAGTCAAGCAGATCTATTTTCCTCAAATCTCATGACTGCAGCTCGCTCAGTAAGCTGATATCTTCTTATTTGGGAAACAGCTTACCCACAATCCTCATGCCACCATGCTGAGCTCAAGGGATTGCTGAGGACCTGCGATTCTCAAGTGGCCACATTACACCCAATTTAAGGACTCGTAAACGGACTTCCTTGGGATGTCTTCAATACCCGATGTGTTCATCAACTGTAAATTTATGCCTGCTTCAACTCTAGGCTCCAAAGAGACATACTGCCAGCCAGTTGTCCAATTGCCAGGCCGCTTCAGCGTTGCTTTAGGCCCTGAATCAGCGCTTCTGACGAGGAAGCCCTTGCGATCTTTGTATCTTGCTTTCTTCAGCAATCCTGCGACTCAGATTGACAACCTCACTCCTGCATAGTGTACCATTGCTTTTGCTTCAGTTAAACACTCCAAGGATTGCCGCTCTTCGGGCGCTTTAACCTGCCTTTGCCTTGACAGGCCAATCGGACCGCGCTCATATTAGCTTCTTCCAAGCTGCCTGGAAACTTATCCAGTCCCAACTTGAAGGTTCCCACATCAACTTAGAATAGTGCATGTGCTCATGTCAACACGTATGCGGGCTGCAGGTACACCATAGTGGTGAACACATTCAAGCGGCACGACCTGCTCAAGCGGAGCTTGGAGCACTACGGACACTGCAACCGGGCTGACGCTATCCGAGTGCAGTGGAGTGAAGCAGACCCCCCGCCTGCGGATGTTGCATCCTTTTTGACGGCGGATAGGGGCATGCCTGGGAGTGACGATAGTGTGGAAGTGAAGTGAGTCAATTGAGCAGAACAAAGATTGCTTTTGTATGTTCAAGTCTGCCAGCATTGGATAGCCTGGCCACAAGCAGTCATTTTTCGTGTTGTGTTGGGGAAAGTCTGTGGCTCTCTTTGGAGATGTCGTCCGTGATCTATGTTTTCCAGGGGATTGTCTGCGCTGATGACTGTAGGTCAAGAGCGGTCTGGAAAAGGAGGCCCCTCCCCTCATCAAAGTTGCTGCACCTCCTATCCCCCTACAGTTGCTGAGCGAGGTCACACTGTGAAAGCCTCCTGCTGCTCCGGGTTCACGCAAAAGCGTTATCCAACCAATCCAGACCAAATTCAGTGAGACTGATCCTTGATGTGTTGCAGGTTTGACGTCCATTTAGAGGACAGTCTCAACAATCGATTCAAACCGCTCCCAGACGTGCGAACGGAGGCGATCTTCAGTGTAGACGACGACTTGCTGGTCCCTTGCGAGACCCTGGAGTTTGCATTTGAGCTGTGGACAAGCGCCCCGGACCAGCTTGTTGGGTTTGTGCCGCGGATGCATTGGCGGAAGAAGGTATGTCCGCTTCAGAAGCAGCAACGCAGACAAACTTATCTATTCAACCTCTTCAGGCGCCAATGTTGGCAGCTTCACGGTCTATCAAAGTCCTGCAAGCAAGTTGAAATGCATGTAGCTGCAGATCCACCAGATTGCTTCAATTGCAGGACCGCCTTTCCTGAAAGGCCTCAAATCTTGAAGCCCCTACTCTCAGCCAGGAACGTACGTTGTGGTCCTGGGAATTTTGCCGCCCATCGGCGGTAGTCAGCAGTCCCTTGAGATCTGGTGATCTGATATCATGTTGCTCAAGGGCTACAGTGGGCTTTCTGGATCTTCTTCTTTTCCCCTTTCTCTTTCTGTTCCTCGGTCCCTTCCAGGCTTCCCTGTTCTTTTCAACCGAGTCCATAAGAGTCTGAAATCAGCGCTTGAAAATCGCTTAAGCCATCATCATCAAGGTCTCTCGGACGAAACGTACTGGATTTTCCGAGCTCTGCTAAAAACCACAAGTGGTTTTACATGAGACGCGGTCCTTGTGACCGCCAGTGCATCCCTGTTGATGTTCCAGCTATCGATCACTGTCTGATACATAATCGTCGATGCTTTGCGGTTGCTGGGGATGAGTTGACACAAGCGGTTACTGTTGTCTGGGCTATCTATCTTTGCCTCGCCCCGCCCCATCACGGGCGTTAGGTTCCGCATGGATCGAAAAATTGCTAGGCTCGCCACCTTCGCGTCTCCAGTGCGCAGACAGGTTTCTACATCACCACCCTAGCTAAATCTATACCAGGTCTGTGCTTTTCATACCACGTGATTCTTTAAAACGTTCTCAGTGGTCCTGAGGACCGCAGATGAGCGCTAAACGCGGAACCTTGGCATGATTGTTTGAGTTTCAGTTGCGTGATCCTGCCACCTTGGACGCTCTTTGTGTAGCCCGGTTTCTAGGACGATCTCACCAAACGCCCTATCATTTCGTTACGAGTCAACCACCTAAACCCGACCATCACATACAGAAAAGGTCACGTGCATGCTGCTTTTGTTAAGCGTTGTCTCCCTTGTCAACGGGGGGAGAGACGTATTATTAATCTCAGGCAGGGCCTTCAGACAGTCTAGACCCAACCGAGAGCACTTTGACTTGCTGGGTTACAGTCAGCACAACCTAGCTCTGTCTTTCTCTTACAGAACTCCAATCTGCTGCGGAAAGCGATATCAACTGTTCCTCAACTCTTCTTGCAGAAATGCTCCGTCCTTTGAAAGAGGTCGTCGTGTGATCTGAATTGTTGAGAGGACCTGATGGCCCGTATGCGAGTGTTCCGAGACGCACAAGCGTCACCGCGTCTTTTATCTATCGGCAACATGAGAGCGACTTTTCTGGGCAGTGCGCGCCGTGTAACCTTGTGGTTTCACTGTCATTAAGCTTAACCGTCCTTCAATCTTCTCCCCAGCACTCCACTCCGGCGGAGTACAGCTACGGCGGCTGGTGGTCCGTTTGGTGGACGGGGCGCTACTCCATGATCCTGACAAAAGCAGCCTTCCTGCACCACAAGTACTTCGAGCAGTACACAAACGAGCTTCCGCGGGAAATCTTTGCGTATGCGCATAAAGCCAGGTGAGTTCGAGAAGGGAGGACGTGTCCCGTCAGGTATCCGCTCACCTGCTCTTGCTCAAGATCGCTCTCGTTGAAGACTTGCACCCTCCTGCTTTCTGTAGAGGAGTGCTTTTAAAGGATTCTCGGTACCCCTCGAACAGCATCAAAGCTGGGCCGTCGAGACTGAAGTCCTGCATGCGACCGGCCTTTTGCACGCACGTTGCCGAACCAGTCCAGATTCTGCTGGCGCTTTGTTGCGGTCGTTTGGATATTTTGCTTACTAACATTGGAAGCACACTGCCCGAAGGCAGGCCGGGGGATGGGTCACCACAAGTGGCGACGCTGGAAGGAGTTCAGAGTACGCCAGAGCAAGTAGTGTCGGTTAATTGCACGATTGCGCCAGAGAAATTTCGAGATGAAGTTAGGATCCTAAAGCAAAGCCAACCCGGACAAGAGACTGCGTGTCGAATGCTGAGACGTGCACCTTGTGCTGTGCAGAAACTGTGAGGACATTGCCATGTCGTTCTTGGTTGCGAATCAGACTGGTGCCCCACCTTTGTGGGTGAAAGGTATGGGCCCATTTCGCGCGCCCAAGGATGATGTGCCTCAGATCCTCTTTACGAGTTTTATTTTCTGACAGCTTTGGTTAGATGTGCGTCGAGCTCTGCATGAATTCGTTACGGTTGCACCCTGCGTGCATGGGGCGTGCGGTGGAGCCAATTGGAGATGGTATGCCCCTGTTTTTGCGTCCACTCCCTTCAGCTTTCCCGTCCAAAGATCTAGTGCACGCTTGGCAATGGACGGTGACTATGCATCTCAGCGTGTTCCAAGCTTTGATTTTTGCTGCTGAACAGCCCGGTACTGTCTGCGTTGCAGGTGCCTTTTCGGAAATTGGGTCGTACGGGATAAGCAGCTTGGGCAACCACCAACAGCGGCGGAGCGAATGCTTGAACCAATTCCATCGGATATATGGTTACATGCCACTGATAGAGGGGCACGTAAAGGCCGTTCAGGCTGTGCGTGACTGGTTCTGGTAGGGCCTTAGACACAATTAGCTTTGGTGGTCCTCCTTAACAATGAAGCAGATTCTTAACTTAGATGATTGGCATCCGGACATGTCCCATTCTTGAATGGAAGGTCTCTTATGAGATTAGATATTAGTAGTGGCAACGCTTGTAAAAGCCAGGCTATGAAGTTTAAGATCGTTTGTCCGTAGTAAAGCTGCACTCAGCCACGTACGTACAAGCTGGTGGCAAGTGGTGTTACAATCACGGCCACATGCTCCTGTAGCCAATTGAGGTTCTCGACAAAGCCAGCCGTGTATAGGTATATGCATCCACGTTCAGGTCACACATTGTGAGGCTGCGTGAATAGCCGTGGGGTGAGCCGAACTCATCCAAACGCCACATCATTTCCCTCCTGGCTGGCATTTCAAACAGGCTTGAAACCCGGTCAGACGGTTCCAGAATGCAATCTATCGCATGACATATATGCGGGTTAATGCATTGATCCCATGGCCCTTGGCACACTGCAAACTTACCTAGGCCGGCACCATAAGTTGTCTTCATTGTTTGACCTCATGGTATGACCTCATAGTAGACGTCTGAAGTAATTACCATTGGCACTATAATGTCGGGATTAAGCATATTGATGTGTCGCATACGTACGTTCGATGCGGATCGCGGAGCTTGCTCCGATCACGCCATTCGAAGATCATGTGCCGCCAGTCATGCCAGGTCACCACTGTGCGCAGGTGGTACGCGTATACATGGAATTCATATAAGCTTTCAAGGTTCATTTCATGACGGTGCGGCTATCTCATGATTTTGATCGATGACGCCGGCTGCAAGAGAATCATTTCATTGAAACTTGAAGAGCTTATATTGAGCGAACAGTGACCTACTTCCGGTCCGACCGTCGCGAGTGCCAGTCGATCCAACTCGCGTATCATGGTCACTGATGCAGCATGCACAAACGTCCTGCATGTACATCCGACAGGGCCAAATGTTGCAGACCCTCTGTTCAAGTTTGCAAAGCGAACCAAAAGCCAATTTGTATGCTTAAACGTGGCTCAATCCTGTCTGTTATTGTCGACTTAATGGCAAAACTTCCTAGAATGATCTTCGTTCCAGTCCCCCAAACAGACTCGGAGAGTTGTTCCTTGTGATCCCGCAGCGATTCAACCTAAAAATGACCCAAGCCACCCGGTATTGCCTTAATCTTTCTTTCGATGAAATTCACTAACTTACTTTGGAAAAGGCCTTTGACTGCTTGAAGAAGGTGTATGCCCTAGCAGACCACAACATACCAAATATCATTAGCATCCGTGTCTATGGCCTGTAACTAGTGTTTGTCGTGAGTTGCCTCAAACTGTCCAAATGTAGACCTTTGACGGCTTTATTTCGAAAAAGACCGCTGTCATCCAAGCCAAACAGGACATTTCAACCTGAAAACTCGCACCCTTGATCCGGTCATCTGATCCATGTTCACTGTCCACTTCCAATCGAATCCTGCAATGATCCTGTAACCCATCCCCTCCCCGCATTTCTACCCGCAGTCGAGCGCTTCCCCTAAAGCTCTTTGGGCCTGCCAAAGTTCTCCGAGCCCCTTGTAAAACTGCAGCGCCTGCGCCGGCGCCAAAAGTGCACATAGTTGCCGGCGCGTCTCTACCCGTAACCGGTCTGCGTCCAACAACAATCGCTTCAAACTCTGCAACCTCCTCGTGGCGTCGTCCATCAGGGCGACCTTCCGCCGGACGTCCGGGTCTGGCATCGCAACCTCGTCCGAATCGCCGGTCGATCCGCTGGACCCAGTCCCCGAATCCTGCAGCGTAGAAGTGTCAGTAACAAAGGCTGGAATCGCAGGACCAAGTAGAAGACCCCAGATGCAGTAAGATAGCTATACGAACCCAATATGAACCAAAAAGCGGGCAGGTCGCCAGGAAACAGCCTCCAGAGCAGACCCCCGAAACGAAGACCAGGGACTCGGCGCACGATTTCTGTACAAGTGCCAACCAGCCTCTAATCCGAGGGCCGACTTTCCAGGCTGGAAACTGCGACTGACCAGCCAACGATAACAACTTTACGTGGAGTCTGCTGCAAAAAGAAGGCTTGCAAGGCCTCCACTTTATCCGCAAGGGACCCTCTCAGACATGCTGTTTCCTCGTTGCCATCACCCTTGCACCTGTCCACAAGCATATTTGTCGGACGGTTACCTGACCCACCTCGAGTCAGGTCCGTTGTGCAAGGCCACGTGCGGCAAATTCCCATCGAAACAGCTAATATCGCAGATACTGTGATGCCCCCAGAAAACAACTTGATACGAAAGATCCGGAGAGCTCAAGCTGTCGCCGGGTGTCTCCGGACCACTTTGCATCGTCCGAACATGCAACATCCAAGACAAGCCTCCGACTCTCCGAGCAAGTACGCCGGAGAGCCGCTGACGTTGCCAGCAACGCTGGTGATGCGAAGAACATTGCAGGCGCGATAAGGAACCGGGTTTCAAAAGCGACTCCTTAACCCTACCTGGCGGCTCAGGTTATCCGCAACCCCGGGCGGCAATGGCAGCACCGGCATGGTGGTCTGCACCTCTGCTAGCTGAGTGGACAGCTGCTCCTCGAGACGGATCGTGCGCTCCTGCAGGAGGAGGGGCGAAAAAGCTCTTCGAGGGACCTCAGCATTAGAAGACCACCTACGGAACTTTGCCGCTTTTTATAAGCTTCCGCAATCGGCGTTTAAGAGAACTCAATCCCAAAATGGTTTTAGGCATCCCTATTTCCCAGACTCAAGGTTGAGAGAGGAGGCTCGAGTTGAATGTGGCGCGACTGAACCTGAAAAAGCATTTCGTTTGTCAGAGACTTGTGCTCACAAATCGCATCAGCAAGCGCCATCGAAATCATTTGAGACGGAGTTCAAAACCTCTGCTTGTTATCCTTCTTATTGAAGCATCTACCTTCAAGCACACCAGGGGTGCAGCCGGCATCTCCCGACTGATGAAGGGACTCCCCCAGAGTGGCTCCTGATAAACTGAGAAGTCTGAAGCCCTGATTCAACAAGACTTCAATCTTGGACAATTGGACCTGAGGCCCCTACCTGCAAGCTGCTTAGCGTCGTGAGCTGACTGCTCGTAAGGGATGCTAGGGACGAGGACTCCTCGCCCTCGAGGAGTGCTGCCAGGCTGCGTGAGGTTTGGGCTCCGATCTGGGAGTAGATGAGCTGGAACATGATGGTTGGGCGGACGCCCCCCAACCACGAGAAGGCGCGCTCAAAGGGAGTCTGCCATAGGCCCGCAGCCATGTAAAGGACATCCCCTGGGTAAAGTAAAAGCTCAGAGTTGACATTTGGTTGCTTGTAAACGCGACAAATTGGGTGAAGTCTACATTGCAAGGTTCGCTGCGGTGAGGCCGTCGAGGGTGGACTAGCCAAGGTTGCGTGCATTAATCTCAATCTCGACCACCCTGTGAAAGAAGGTTCAACGGTGTTCTGTACTGCCGTGTTCTGCACAGGGTCTTTTGCCGTGTTCATTTGGCTTGATTTTGCACGCCTCGCAATATTGTGCAGGGTTTTCAAGTTACCATTTGTGCCTTAAGGCTGGGCCGGGATCTCTGACCAAATCTTTTCTTGTTGGACATCTGTATAACAGTGGGGGAGGAAGGAGGGGAAGGAAGGGGGAAAGGGAAACACAGGGGGTGCGGAACCAGGAAGTGAGAATCTCGTGGTTTTAGGTTCAGATAATGTGGGGGAAGGAATGAGAGAGATAGAAAGAGGAGATGGAAAAGGAAAGCAAAAGTCGGTGAAAAGTTTGAATAATTTGACAAGAAGAGAATTCGGATTCTGGTCACGAAGCAGTAGCATCCCCTTCAGCACTGTCAAAATAAAAGCATTTTTCTGATGCCAGAAATATTCCTCTTCAATGAGGACGGATAACCACTTCAATTGAGGAAAGCAATTGGAAAAGCAAAAGCTGATATCCATCCTGATGCAGGGGCAGATCTCACTAAGATTGGTGCTCAAAGGCCCAGATATCCATGGGCAACCTGACCATGCTTCAAAACAATGCTGCAGAAGGCTGAAAATTACTCCTGAACAAAAATTTTATTAGGTTGACGACAAACCCCCTCAACATTCTCATCACCCAAATGGACGCACATTGTTGTCCGTAAGCGCGCCAAACCACCGCACCAACATCTCGGATTTGTTTACAAGTTCTACCACCTAGATCTGTACCAAGGATTTCAACGTTTGTCATGACCTCAAGATCGGAGTCACTTGCCAGCAATCAAGCGACATCGACCATGTGCGCTACAACTGTAGCAGCTTACTGCGGTTTCTCCTGCTCTAGCAATAGCTTTGGAGACATGGCACTGACCTATAAATGTGCTCATCTTGAGCTCATTTTTATTCCCCCCTTAGCCGGTGCAATGGGAGCTTGTCTACATAAGCATATGGACTCCAAAGTAGAAACCAAACGTCCAAGATCTCAACTTCTTTGTGACACACCAATATATATTTACCTGTGCAGCTAAGAGTGTTGGTCGCCTCTGGCAAGGGACGTTTTCAAGCCTTCAAAGGCTTGGCACCAAATACATTCCTCGGATTTCTAAGAGATGAGTGCTGATTGACCAACGACCTATTTGAGATCGCTTGAGATCGCTTGAGATCGCTTGAGAAGGATTTCAAACGAAGTAATGAACTTGAGTCTGCTCCCAAGGACTCGCCATGAGGCCACAGCCTGCTTCAAGTAGACAACGAAAACCTGCCAAGGTGCCTACCTTCAATTGCCTTCGCCTTCGCACTCCCCAGCTCATTCCACAGGTCCACGTGGGGCTGCACGTCTTGAGGCAACACATCAGCGTTTCGCTGAGCCTCCAACCTCCTAACGTCAGCAAGGCTGGCATCCAGCTGCTTCGACCAATCGCTGAAGAAGCTTTCGAAGAAGGCTGCAGCAGCATCCCCGTCCATGAAGTTTCTGCTTTCGCTAAGCACTATTCGGCTCTCATTGGAACAGGCTGCATTCGACGCCCTGCTACAAAGTGCAATACTGCGCCCTTCAGTGACAGAAAATTCCTTTCCCAAGGACCAGTCTTTCTTGGTAGAAGCTATATAGAGCTGTCCTCGCTTGCATATAAGCACTCTTTCTGGTGGAAGTTCCTGTGCGTTTTGTCTCCTGATTCTGCACCAAGGACCTTCGCTGAAGGATAAGATTTTAAACAAGAGCTCCTGCTCATTGACATACTTCGACGTCTATAGTCATATGATATGAGCAAGATGCAATGCCGTGGGGCAGTCCTGCAATGAATCTCGACCAACCGCCGTAGCGAACTCTATGAACACGGGCTGCTCCATCGCCTCAATGTAGGTCCTTGTTGACGTCGACGGCCATGTTGACTGAATAGATTTGCAAATGCCAACGAGGTCTCTAGAGCACTTGCTCAACAAAGCAGAAAGATTGTCTCGATCAAACAGAAAGAATGGCCAGTCCAGCTGTGGGGAAAGGAGACGATGGACATCCAAAGTGAGCGCGTCGAGCAACTACCTAGGAACACCTAGTAAGGCTACGGTATATGCAAGAAGAGACGAGATCGCAAGTACCGTACCAATTGTCCGGTTGGGCAACATTTACCTGGATATTCTTTGACTTGCCCAAAATCCTGAAGTAAAATAAATTCCAATCAAGATTTGCAGATCATTTTGCCCCGTTCAAAAAACAAAATAAGTGGATAAATGACGCTGCCCAAAATCCATGAGATACGAAATTAATTATTGGGCAAAAATCGTAGGTACAGGTTGAATAGGTAGCAATGGGTGTACATGGCGAGACGGTACCGTTTAGGACCTAGGTGCCGAGTCCCGACGCACCGTACTGTAGGCTGTCAGTGTCAGAGTGATTCTGACCTTGTCGCACTATCATTGTCAGTTTGTAGGTGTTCCTGTAGTACGTGTGCCTGGATAGGTACCTTGCCATCGCAACCGTGCGATGGGAAAATGGATGGCTGTCATGCTATCTACGTCAGCTGTCAGAATGAATATCTTGGACGGTCCTCTGGAGATCTCAAGAAGCACTCCGAATGATACCACGTGATCTGTGTGAAACACTCGGATTAGTTATGAAGGTGCCAAAGTATCTGCAATCCTCCGAGCAACCCCGGGGCTCGGATACGATATACCTATCAATTTTCCCGTCGCGCGGGAAGCCGCATTTCCTCTAATTAGCTAGCGCTCTGGTTCGAGCCCCGACTCCCTCACCCGGCCTTCCCAGGCTGCCAGCTGGTGCCTCGGAACTAAAACCCTCCTAAGTCCACGGTCAACCCTACTAGGGCTTTACTGGGCCGCGCCTGCCCAGTGCCGGTGTCATTAACTTTACCAGCCCATGTGGCATGCAGGCTGGCAGAAGGTACGGTATAAGTTGTAACAGCCCGGTCACCCGGTGCATGGGCGCTACAGCCTACTACCAGCCGGTTACTACATACCAGTGACTTCTATCGATTAGTTCAATGGGGGTGACCCATTGTCCGATTCAAAGTTCAGGATCGAATCAGTCCAGACTCCACTAGGTAGGTTCAGCCACCCGGTCGACCGGCGCGCCTTGCGCCAAGCCCATGGCTTGTCATTTGCGACTCTGGTGTCCGAACCTCTATAGGTATTCTGCTACCGTATTTAGAATCTAGATTCTAGATTCTAGAACTTTCACAGTGGACAGGTTTAACCGAGAACTTTAACCAGGAAAGACCGGGGCCCCGGGCATCATCCTCGGGTCACAATTGAACGGTTGCGCAGACTTGCAATGACGTCACAGTCATCCATGAACTCGTTGATGACGTTTGCAAGGCGCTCTCAAGAACGTCAAGACTCAAAGACTCAAGAGTCAAGCTGAGCCGCTAGTTCGGCCGGGCCGCACATTGGAGCTGCGCCGACGGGCTGCCGCCAGCCTGCCGCCATGGCATGCATGCAAAAGAGCTCAAAAGATCATCGAAATGCAATCATCGAATTTGAAAAGAGACCATCATCCCCACGCTTGCAATTAGATAAATCAAAGCATAGACCACAATGTCATTCCAGAAGAGCAAAGGTAGTCCACGAGGTAGGCAATGAAAGAAGGGTTGTCAACTTCGTTCACTACCAATCCACCTGAACCTAGAAGTATAGAAGCATAGAAGCTTCTCTGCTGTCTTGTTATAAGATACACATGACCTATCCACTATGGCTTTTTATTGAGGACAGGAAGGCAAACCGGAACATCTCATGCCGTATAAATTGAGAAGACTCATATGCTTGCATGTAGATTGGCATGCTTGTCATATGAATCTAGCTTTTGCTGCTTCATACTATCTGCTCGGTCGTTGCGAAGCCGCTTGGCACGGCAATAGGGAATCTGCTTGATTCACTCGTTCGCACGTTTCTTCTCAGAGCTGCCTCTATGCGCAAGTCTCGCATGAAACGGGCTCCTACTCCTACCTAATGAGTCGCTCGCTTTGTGATGCTCGTGCTCAAGTCGCTAACCTCTTCCGAGTTCGCTCTGTTTTCAGGGTCCGTGACTTAGGTTGGTCCGTCCTCGCATGAGTCTGACCTAGTAGCCCATCGAGCCCATCGACCTTCAGCAATTTTTCCGAGAAGATAGCCCTAGCATATGCCCTTGCTCGGAGCGTGAAAGCCGGACACTTTCTAACTTTCACTCCGAATTAGATAGGCCTTACGATTTATAGGACTCCCGCACTTGGCTTCGCTCGGAGCGTGAAACCCCTGCCAGAATTTTACTCCGATTTGATGTTTGCCTGCCTCTGTCACATGGTATGTGTATATTACATGTGTATCGCGTGCCATTACCTTTTTCCCCTTCAAATGAAAAGATACCCAAAGCTATGAAGTACGGGGCAGGGGTTTTCTAACGGCCGGCATGCTGCATGTGTGTACCGATGCACCGCATCTGCTTTTGTGCCTTTCTGCGGTCGACAACCTTAATTTGAAGATCGCCGCCGGCGCGGCTTTCCGCTAGTTAGTACTAATCCTAGATTCAATAGTCTTCTAGCCTATATCCCCGGAAAGCGTAGTTGTTTCGCTAGCGCATGCATTAGCCAGTAGGAGACGTTGACAAACTAGGTATGTACTAATTTAGCACACCAAGATTTGGGAGGGTAGCTAGGCGTTCAGAACTCAAACCATTTATTCCCATGTATGCCATGGAAGCTTATGGCCCATGTGGCTACGGCGTCTGATAAAGAGAACATCATTGGGGGCTCATGGGCCATGGCATATTATAGGTTTGTCAAATCGCGCCTTGACAGCGGAAGTAGAACCCCTGTATCAGGCCGTATCTTCATTCGATCACTTGTTTGCGGCTGATTTGCAAATGATGTCGCGTTGGAGCTTGCAATTTAGACGAAAGCTGATTTCTTTAGGACGTCAGACTTAGCCCGCCTGCAAACATGGGTGCAGGACCTGGCACAGAGATGTTGTTCCAAACATTTGTTGCGCCTAGCATTGGTTTCTTTGATTGTTGACGCGTTCAGCTCGAAGGTCGTCAAGCACGAACGAACTTGGCAATTCAGGAGCCTATTTGCACAAATCCTTCATTCCATGCTTAGAGGGATTGAAACCTCAGAGGCTCTAGCTGGGGCGCTCAATAAATCCTCGAGTAGTAATCTATCACCCCTCTTTTGGTGACCAAGAGAGGATGAATGTACTCTGTCATTCGCCAGCAGATGGCACGCATCACCAATCTACTTGCTTACACACGCCTAGGCAGGCTGTTGTCTTGACCTCGGAAATTCGTCTCGAGACTCGTGCGTACTCGCTCGATTATCGCCTGCCCGCAAAGAAGTTTGAAATCCATCCGAGGACCCTTTCTACGACCTGGTGCAACAAGGAACGATGATGTCAGGTCTGGCATCAGCACAAACACTCAGTCACTGTCCTTTCTCACGGCTCACTTGAGCGAGGTGATTTTCATCTAATTCAGAAAAATCCAGTTTGACAGGAGGGGCAAAAGAAACAAGGCAACAAGAACCTGAAGCAGATCATGTCTAATCGCTCGTAGATTTGAAACATGCTCCCAGGCCACTTTACAAATCCTGGAAACCTCGAGACCTGGTTGCGTTCCTTTGTAAGCCGATGCTGATAGTCTTATGAAAGAACTAGGCGCCCTGCCGTTCATGAATCCTTTGCGCAGGGTTCTCCGAAAGGCCTCTCTTTGGACATGTGGGCCAGCTTCACAAACAAGATGGTCAGACGAGTGTCCTTTCATACCACTTCTTGAGGAAAGCAAAGCAGGGGTGAGGAAAGGCTGAGACCGTATCTCACATTAGCAAAGAGCTAGCAGTGCAGTAGAATACCCCACGCTACCCGTTCAAGCGAGAGCAGGAAAGGATAAGTCGTGTATGAAAAACGAGCGGACAGGCAAAGGACACTGAAAAGAGAAGGTGAAGGATGGAGGGTCAAAGCAGGACCGACAAAACGTAGTGAGGGTGTACTAGAAGGTAGAACGGACCTCATCGCCCTCATCCACCCGTGGGATCTCAGCACCGCCACCGAGCGGCGCAGTGGAGCCGTCCGCCCCCGCGCCCTCATACGCGCGCAGATGTTCCGACGCCACGGCCAGCTTTCGCGATAGCTCCGAATTCGATACCTGGACAAAAGGGGTGGTACTTCAGCACGCTTTCGCTTGGGTGCTCATTGATCTAATAATTGATGCAATTTCGCGATCCAGCTTGCTGCCTGGTGACGTCAGCTGGTCTCGAGGCGCCTGATGCGCTAAGCCTGATGGGCCGGACTGCTTGGCAGTGTATTACATTCGACGACGAGGAAAAATTTAGACAAGCAAAGTAGCTTCTGTCAAAACCGGCAGAGAGGGTTGGTCTGACAGCTTGGCCAGTTTGTTTTGGCGTATGGTGACACAATTTGGAAGATGTTCAGCACCCTGAGCTTTACGGATCAAGCCACTCCATCTTCATAGGCTGGAAGCGAACTTCCAAAATGTTCCCACGAAGTTGACTCTGTCACAGCCGCAGAGGGAAGGAGACGCATAAGGAAACTTCACCGCAATGACACGTAAGGAAGAAGCAAAGCCCAGCCATCAAAATCCTTTTAAGTTGAGGTGATATGTTTCCTCCATTTGAGAAGCGCCGACACTGAATCGCCGACTGCAATTCCTTGATCCTCACCCCAGAAGACTGCAAAACCCCGCATCCAAACCCCATCGAATCTCCGCAAACTGCAAAACGAAAGGCTACACGATATCACGCAACCCAAGTCAACGGCAATCTCCAAACTCATTCTCATCCCAACCAGAACCAGAAGCTTGATATCAATTCGAAGCCCGACTGAAACCTTATGTCTAACCAACCTAAACTAACCCAAGTAAAACCCACCCGCAGCTCCTCGCACGCCTCCGTCTCGGCAGCCAGCGCTGCCGCCATCGCCCTCCGCTCGGCCGCAATCTCGTCCATGAGCCTATTCACATTCTCAATCACACGCACTTGGTCCTCCGGAATTCCGGTGGGCACCGGGAGGGATCCCCCTGCAGCAGCGGACGAAGCGCTACGCCCGAGGCGGGAGGTCGTCGGGGAGTTTTGCACAGCCAGGACTGCGGCGGCCACTGCGGCCGCAACCCGCTCCGCACTGCTGCCGGGGGCCGGTCCGTTTGGGGTCAGGGTTAGGGTTTGCATGTGCCTCGTGGTGTCAACTGTGTCGGTCTGCGAACTAGTGCCGCCTGTAGAATCCGTCCTACCATTGTCTAGCAGTACAATTTGAGAATCGGTGTTTTGATCACGGGCGGTTTGGGGGGCAACTGGGGACTCGGTTCTGCTGGGGCCGGGGAGGTCGTCGGTAGAAGTGGTGGCGTCCGAATGTTGGACAGCGACGGCACCGGCCCGGACCTGGTTCCGGACGTCCTCCAGCGCGTTCTTGTCGCCCAGCAGGCGCAGCCTGGCGACCAAGAGACGCCGCTCTGCAAAGAACGCAGCTTCTCAGCATCGTTCGGGCGTAGGGCTAATGATCTCTCGAATGCGCTACTTTTGAGTTCCGAGGGCCACTTTTCGACTCTAAAGAAACTAGACTATTGGCCTTTCAAACGCTTTACGTTTGTCTGGTCCATCTCCTCATGCAAAACAACCAAGTCTGGGATCAAGTTACCGTCCCAGAGCCATAACAGCAGAGGGCGAATTGGATGCCGGAGTAGTCGACATTCTGAGATTGGGACGGATTTCGTGAGGCACAATGGTCCAAAACCGTAAGCTAAAGAAGCAATTGAAGGAGCCACCAATAGGTGCCATAGGGAATGATTTACGAGACGATACCCCGGACTTACGAGAGGGAGGAGACGCGACGATTTAGTAGCCCGTCCACAAAATCGATTTACCAGAATCCTCCTTTTCCCACAAATTTCAATCATGCGCAAAACTGAATCAACCGTTTTTGCATACGTGGAACGGCCACCTTGAGATTCATTGGGCACTGTTCAAACGGGGTACCAGTGGAAACGCAAGGCAGCAGGATGTGGAATGTCTATCATGCAGTGCAGTCCATCCGCGAACTCGAAGGTTCTCGAATCAGGACTCTTCAAAGTCACACATTTATGCCCCGTGATAGGACTAAAGGCACCCTTCTCGGCACTGATGAGTCAGCAATGCCACACTCTTTTGCCGTGATAGAATCGGAGCCACCCTACTCGCAAAGTTTTCAAGCTTTTTATGTTGCTACCCCCGCTGTTGCCAGCGCCTCTCACCTTCTTGTAGCGCATCCATCATCTGCCGCAGTGCCGCTCGGTCCGCCGAGAGCGTGGTCAGCTGCCGCCGTGCCGCGTCGTAGCCGCTTTGCGTCCCCTCTAGTTCCTTCCGCAGCTTCAACTCCGAGGACCGCAGCTTGAGGACCTGAGCATGCACATACGGAGCTTTGAGTTTCTAGGAAATAGAAGAGACACGCTGAGACACACTGACTGGGTCGAGTCTCGCCGGTTTTGTCGTGCATTTAAAAAGTCGCTTTACATGTGGTGAGTCCTTACATGCTCCACGAGGAGCGGACGGACGCCGACTGTAGGCGCCTTCCTTGGGGGTGTCAGTGTTCTAGCGGTGCTTTGCGAAGCTAGCTTTAAGGACAGCATTCCGCAACATCGTGTGCAGTACTTGCTGGAAGTTTTTGACAGACTGCTGCTTGACTACCCAGTGGCTTACAACACAAAAAGGGTGTTCGTAACACAGGATCTTCGCAGCACGCATAAGGAATAGGGATGAAGTATGCGGCGCTTTTGGTTTCGAGTACATTCCCCCGCGGATGTGCATCCAACTGATCTAGCAGCACCAAACAAGAGTGCAAAATAGTGCCCAATACTGCTCCTCCTCCAAATCTGCACCTTCGGCGCTGATCAGATTGTCATGAATTATTTTCACTGCCTTCGGCCGAACCGAGCGTTCTGCCCGACATCACTTTTCGATCATCATGTTCCCGATTCGGAATCCCTTGTAATATTACTTCTTCTTCTGATTCAAGGCAATACGGGCTACGGACACGATAGCCAGACAGTTGACAACGACAAGGACGAGGCCGACCTGCTCTGAGAAGTGCACCCAAGAAAGGAACAGTGCGACATTAACACCAAACGAATGTGCAGAAACGTGTAAATGAAAAGGATAGAGGTAAGCCTAACCTGCTCCTCCAGGTGCACCACCTCGCGCCCCATAACCGCTGCCTGCTCTCGTACACTAAGCAGAACAAGACGGGGCTATCCGCAACCAGAAAAGGTGCAACAGATTGTGAAATAAAAAGACAAGAAATGGGCGACGAAAGAGGTTTAGCCTGACCTGCTCCTCCAGATGCACCACCTCACGCCCCATGACCGCCGCCTGCTCCAGCGCGCCCGCGTTCTCGCGCTGCAGCCGCTCGCGCTCCTCTGCCATTGCCTCTGCCACCAGCTGTATGGACAAGCATGTTCCAGAGTCTCGAAATTCTGCTTCTGGAAGATATCTTTCGAAGCTGCCTCTTCACTGTCTGAGGGTCAGAACATCTGTTGAGCCGAAACCTCCTTGAAAATTGCGCGCCTCCCTGATCGCGCTCCTCTGCCTCCGCCCTCAACTGTGCAGACGACTGTGGTTCAAATTCCTAAAGATTTGCTTTTTAGCCTCCGTTTAACTCTCCGAGTCGGCAGCCCCAATGCCCAATTCTGTCAATATTTGTTGAGCATGAACTCGCAGATGGGCAAATTGGACGGTCTACTGTTCACTTCTTCCCAACTTTGTGGTGGCTCAGACCATGCTCCGTTTAAGGCAGTGCAGAAGCTCTTCTGCCCTGCCTTATTAGTGGTTCACTCCTCGAACGCAAAGGGGTTCAATCACACATCCGTAAAAGGACGGCACGGGAGTGGTGAGGAAACAAGAGAGCACCCAAATCACGCAGACCTCAATCTGCTCGCGATCTGGCGAAGTCCGGTGCATACAATATGCCTTTAAGCTCCATCAGGGCCTCGAGAGTTTCCTTCATCCGAAGAACTGCCAAGCCCTTCAGCAATCTGCAATCTCATCCAAGTAGGTCAAACCCACTACCGCTGAATCCAGCTATTCGACAACTGCAAGATTGTCACAACACGATCTGGCGTGGCCAAGGAGTCTCGTTTTAGCGGAAAGGATGGTTTCGAGGGCCCTTCGCATGAGCTCTTGGCCACAGCTTTGGAGTCTGAGCCCGCACCTGTTGGGCTGTGATCTCCGCCTGCTGCCTCTCCAGCTCTGCCTTGAGCGTCTGCACTGCCTGTGCCTGCCGGTTAAAGTCCTCCGTCAGCTGCGAGTTCTCCTCCTCGAGAGAAGCCGCAAGCGAGCGCGCCGCTTCGGCACCCCGTTGCAGCGCAAACTTCTCCTGGGTCAGGTCTTCAATGTGCTGCAGTTGACAGGAAGAACAAAGTCAAGCTTTTTCGGAGAAGGGGCAGGGGGAACAGTATACAGACTGATGTCGTCGAAAGCTGTGCCACCTGTGACAAAGCGCGCCCTGACCAGCTTATTTGTCTTCATATTCCTACATTGGCACAGTGCACGTTAGCGAAAGCCGGGGAAGATTTGTAGATTGTTTGGTGCGTGAGTAGAGGATCTTCAAGCAAAAGACGGGGAGACTGGGAGCGTGAGCTTATAAGGGCGCCAATGTCATGGGCGCTGCAACATGCACGTCGCAGGTACCTTCGAAGGTCGATTCTGGAGGCAACATACTTTTACCTCAAGACTTCCCCTGTAGGCAACTGAAGTCGGTGCACGAAGCTGAAGTACAGAGTCGGCCCAGCAACCAAAGTTTGAGAAAAGGCGACTTCGCTGACCTGCTCCAGGGACGCAAAGTCGCTCCCGTCAGTCCGCTCCTGCCCAGGCGAGGGGACCGCCTCGTCCACCGTCGGCATCGACGGCAGCCGCAACAGTCGACTGGTTCCGTTTTCCGCCCTGGGCGACCGGGCGGATCTGGGCACAAACGGAATGAACGAACTAGAAGGTGCCGCCGCTGCCGATGAAAACGATCTCCGCGAGGGCGGGGTCTCGTCTGACTCGCGCGCAGGGCCGTCCGAATCGGGCGCGCTCGGGAAGGAGCTTCGGAAGGGTTTGGGAGGCGCCAGCGCTGACTGGAGGAGCGACCGCTTGGGCGCAGGTTTCGCCAGGCTCGGTTCGGGAGCTGACGTGGCAGGTTCTTTCTCCGTGTCATTCGACTCTTTTGAAACGTTCCCGTTCTGTGGAGGCTTGCTGGGGCCGTCCTCGACGCGCGCCGGCTTCTCGTCTCCAGTTGAATCCACCGAGCTACCCGAACTCCTTCGCCTCGGATCCACGATGGAGGGTGATCCCCCTGGATGCGTCGAAATCGGCCGTAGAGGTGGGGGGCTGCTGACCGATACTGAGGGAGTTGGGGACCGCGGCCGGCGCCGGGGGGACAGCGCCTGGCTTCTCCGAGGGCCAACCACCACCCCCTCTTCGTCTGCCGCAAGCGGCGGTGTCCGTGATCGGGGGGAGAGGGGGGGCGATCGGAAGGCGGGAGCGGGGGCATGGAGTGTCCCGTTTTGTTGGAATGGCGCGTTCTCTGACTGAGACGGAGCCTGGGGTGGAGGTTTTCTCGATTGGGAGGACGCTGGCGGGGCCGGAGAGGACGGGAAGGTAAAGGACTGCGTGGCGGGAGCAGCAGGGTTGAGATCGATTGCCGGACCCAATGGCCTGGGCCGCGACCAGATTGGGGGGCTTGCGGGTTTCTCCACCGCTCCGGGCTTCGTTTCTTGGTTCGCATTCTTGAGCTTCAGCGTCGCTGCGGACGCAAAAGGTTCAGGCTTGGCAGTCTTGACATAGGGAGCAGTGAAGGGTTCGGCTGGGTTGGCGGTGACCGGAACAAACGGGCTTCGCGGGTAACGCGAAGTTGTGCTGACTGTGGGGACCGTCGAAACTACGGTTGTGAGTGGCTGCACGGAGGTCGGCGGTCTGAACAAAATTGGGGGCGGTAAGGGGGGCTGTAAAGTAGCCGTACTGGCTGCTTGCATGATCGGAGGGCCGTTTTCCTCGCCACTCGTCGCTTCTCGAGCAATCCCGTCTGAGCCTATTCCCCCGTTTTGCGGCTCTCCGGCTCTTGAAGGTTGCGGTACCTCCTCGTGCGGGGGCCTCGGAAACTGCGTCACGGGGCGCATGGAGGGGGCGAACAAGTTGGCGAGTGAGGAGCGGAAAGACGACGCGGTTTGCGCTAACCCAGTGGAGGTTGCTTGAGGTGTGCCCAGATCCGGGGTCCGCGAGCGCTGCGGGGCCGGTAGAGGTTCCGGATCGTTGGAGACATAGTCCTTGAAAGAGGGCTGGGATTGTACCCGGGGCACCCGGGGGTCGATGGGATCGTGTGGACCTGAAAAGAATGCACTTCAGTTTGTCCTTTTACTCAGATATCATGAAGATCATGTTTGGTCGTCTGCACAGTCAGACCAGGACGTCTGCATCTCGCTGTCTCTTTTGAAAGAATCAAGCGGAGGCAGTCTGTTTTGATGTTCTGATTGCAAACAGAAGAATCAACAGCATCTTTACAATCCCTTCTCAAGTGGCAGAAAGCGAATTGCAGTATATGGTGTCACACTCAATGACCTTAACTACGAATATCTTGTTTTCAGGTTTAGGCCCAACACTAGTCACGAAGTTTAGAAAGGCAGGTCAGCTGACCCCTTCTTGTCTGATAGTAGAGCTGGAAAACACTTCGGAATGGAGGTTCTTCGTCTACAGCTGCTTTCCAAACCGACTTACCTATCCCAGCTCCTTCTGATGCTCCCTCCGCGGCAAACACGTCGTCCAGCCTCCTCCGCGCAGAGGCAATCTGCGGTGCATCCCCTGCCGCACTCAGCCGCGCACTCACTGGGCCCGCAGGCCCATCTCTGCCCCTGCCGGCACTGCTCAGTGTCATGGGGGTGCCTTCCCCCGGTTCCCCTGACAGAGACCGCCCCGTATTCCTGCTGAACGCCGACGTGGCCTGCTCTTCTACTGCACTTGCTGGATTCGACGACCTGGGTGGTTCCTCTTGCCTTGCAGTCGGAGGTCTACTCGGCTGAGAGTCCGATCTGTTCTCTGAAGCTGTCCTCTCACCGCAAGTCGTAGCAGAAGCGAAGTTTGTTTGAGCCAAGTTGACCGCCGGTCTTAAGGTTTCAGGGACAGCCTGAGAGCCAGGACGAGACGACGTTGCGGCCCCGTTGAACACTGCCTCCGGCGGGGGTGCCACAGTGTGTGATACCTCTCTACCCTGGTATGAACTAGAAGGGGCGCCAGCAGCAGGAGGTGCCGTCTCGGGGGGGCGTCGTGCGGGTGTCGGTAGCCACGGCAAGGAAGCGGGGGCTGGTGTATATGTCACAGAGACAGGTTGATCCCGAGCAAGCGGTGAGTTACGCTGGGGAGAGGGACTGCGTTGGGGGGAGGGGGAGGGGGAGGGAATGGATGGCGACAGCAAGGGGATCGCTGATGAAAGAGGCGGTTCTTTGCGCGGGGGATCAGGCGACGACGCTACAGAAGAGGAGGAGGCGCCCCCGTCAGAACTGTTGGCCCGCTGGAACTGGCCAGGGCGAGTTGTGCCAGATGCGGGCCTCGTTTCCCTGCCACCTCCAGGAAGATCGTTTTCGCCTCCGGAACTTGCTCTCACGCCTGCCGGGGCCTGCTCTCCAAGCGCTGCTTGACTGGAGGTCTCCCTCTTGCCCTCCTCCAAAGCATTGGTTCCGGTCACTTTGTGTCCTTGTTCCCCTCCAACCTGAGGAGCCACAGTCTGTGCAGGTTTGGAAGCTCCAACGCCTGCTGGCAACTTTTCCCCTTGCCTGCCACGCCTAGTTGATTCCAAGCCAGCACTCACAGCTCCAGGTGCTCGCTCGCCAGCACGAGCAGGAGTCCCCGCCGATTCAACACGCCGAGAAGACTGAGAGGCAGCTTTAGTTCCTTCTGACCGATTGGATTGTTCCCCCTGAGCTGAATGCCCATTGCTCATACCCGCTGTGAGGTCGCTATTGTCGAGAGGACGACTAGCAGTCCTTACGGTGCTCTGCGCACCTGTGCTTGATACACCCAGTCCAGGAATTGTGGCCGTCTCTATTCGGTCCCCTTTCTGCTCATTTCTAGTGGAACTGACTTGACTTGCTGCCCCGTTGGCTGTGGGAAAGGGCGCTACGGACGTTCTCTTATCGGTCGATGCTTCTGACAATGCAGATGTTCCACCAGGAAGCCCATCTTCCTTAGCGGCACCTGCCTCGCCCTGAGCTGTAGGCACCTTTTCAGTCTTAGGTGGCGGAGTGCTTCCATCAGCGGTTGAGCGGTCCTTGGATCCACTTGTTTTAGAGCCGGTGCCTGCCTTTCCCTTTCCTTTGGCAGCCGCGGCCTCCGCCTTCTTTCTTCTGAAGTCCTCTAGCTGCAGATGAGAAGTTTACTAATCAGATCCTTGATATTGTTTCCATCCAATGTGAGCTCATGGGTGTATAATGAGCTACATGTTGTTTTTTAAGCATCCTGACACAGCTCTCGCATTGTGCAGAAGCTGAGGCGTTCGATATAACATCGAAGGACAGAAGAACCTTTTTGCACAGTAGCTCTAAGGCTGGTCTCTCAACGGCGACGAGAGAAAATAGGCAGTTTATTGTGCACTTTCGGCTTCCCTGTTCCAATTCAGCTGTACATTATAAATAACATCACAGCTTCATACCAACGTCAAAATGTTCCACAAGTCTAAGTGTTGCTTCTTTTTCTAAGCAACCTGCCACTCAACCTGTCTAGAGACATCATGTAGCCAATGTGCCTCGATGAAGGACAGGAGACTCTACAAAGAGCCGACTGGATCTGCTCCAGCAAACATGAGGGGCACATTTCAGTGAAGCTGAAAATAAGCAAGGGTTTGTTTGATCATGAGAGATGCCAGTAACATTGGTGAGAGTTAGCGAGCGGCGCCTGAAAGAAGGATCATTAAGGCAAAGCCCTAGGTCTTACCTTCTTCCTTCCTGCTTGAGCCAGGTCTCCTTTCTTTGAAGCAGGCTCCATTGTTTTTCAGCCGGCAGCTGCAGCAAGAGATTTCACACCAGCTGATCAGCATAACCCCAGCTGCCCCATAAACCAATGACCATGCACCTGATGCTTCTATTTACAACTTCAAGTGGGGACCCCGATTACGGGGCAAAAAGTTTCGCCGCGCCGTCCAGCCAAAATTTGACTTGCGGACGTGCCAAAGACCAGCTACGGACGGTCCACGTGGATAGCATTGTTGACGTCATGCCAGCTTTGGAGTGGCGTTCCGTACGGTACGAAATTTGATACCCCTTGAAATTCAAACCGCCGATCGAAATGTCCGGTCACATCGCACGCTTCAAATCAGCTAAATCAAATCGAGGCGGCCGCGCGGCGGCCGCGCTACTCAGCTCGCCGCGCAGTCGCCTGGCAGTGACCGTGACCGTACGGGGACCGCACTAGCGTACTATGCTACTAGCCTACACTACTTTGGGCATAGAGGAATGGAGGAATAGAGGCATAGACTGAGTCATACTTGTATCATCGAAGGTGCAAACGCTCAAAACCTCAATATTCTGAATATAATATATTTAAGGCTTCGCTTCCCTGCATCGTTTGAAAGAATCGACTTCCACCATGCAGTGACTGACCGGGCACTGACCATTTGACCATGGTCACACAATGGTAAGTGTAACTACAGACCATGTTCGAATGCCTTACCATCTTTGAATCATAGTGCCATTTAACGGTAGTTTTGCTACCATGAAATGATTCGACGGAAGTGGGACCAAAGCCCTCTCACAAATTCCAAGTGACTGGCATTGGACCCGGAAATCGTCGGCCAGACTGAGAGCCGGTTGGTCTGGCACTATTTCTACGAGACCTGCAATATTGAAGCATTCAAACAGCTTGTCAAGGGTTGTTACTAATGCGGACTTGGAAATGTGAGAGTAGAGTTCCATGCACTTGGGTGGACAAGTCACAGTGGCTTGGTGCTAATTACCTGGGTGTTTGGCCCGGCTAACTGGCACTAATCAACCTAGGCGATTTTGCCACGATTCTCTGATTTCCTTTCGGCATTTTGATTGCCACATTGTATAAGCTGCCACTCGAGCACATAGCCAGCCACACGGATCCAAACGTAGGTCCTATGCGGTTTGTCCAAAGCTTCTATGTGGCTTGTGAGGCGTCAAATGCTCCAAAAGTGTCATTTTCGGGCACAAACGATGAAATTCCTCAGCCAAAACTTCAAATTAGGCGCTGAAAGTTTGTGTGGGTCCGGGCCATCGTAGGGACTCATTTTGGTCGCATCGTTTACAGGGTCATGCCCAACGTCAAGCGTTAGCGGTCAAAATTTAGGGTTTTGACGTCTTCAAAGACGCACCCACAAAGCACACGCTCTAGCAGTCGTTTAGTTCGGGTTTCGACCAAACGATGCGACCAGAAACCAAGTTAAGGCCCAAACGAGGGCAGCCCCGAAGAAATCCCAGTCAAATCTCAAAAATGGGCTGTGGAAATGGGGTTCAAAAACAGCAGATATGGGCTTATAGACACGCCGGAAGTCTCAAACGACCGACTCGCACGCGCGACTCGGGCAAATCCGTACGGCGTACGTCAGCAGCCAAAATTCCCGAACTTCTTGGAAAACGCCATTCGGACGCCGAAAAACTTAGCCCATAATCGGGGTCCCCACTTCAAGCTCCTTTGTCGCATGCGACGTGCTGCGCACCAAGCCTCAGGACCTTTCTTTTGCAGACTGTGTTGCAAAATTAGGCAAGGAGAAAATATGTAAAACCCGGATTTCTCGTATGAAAGTGAGATATGGTGCAAAATTCCTTTGGTGGAGCGCAGTTGAGTCCCCCGCGTACCGCGTGAGTGTGAGTGCCTTGTCTAGAGAATCTACCGTACCTAGCGCTTGCAGCACCGGCCGCCGGTATAGCCCGGTAGTTTCCAGCTTTAGCTGAGCAACAGAAGCTCGATTCTCTTCGCTTATACCTACCAATAATTCTACGGCATTTACCCCATCATACAATCAGCTTTTCGAGTGTGTCTGAGTCAGTCTGCAAATCAGAAACTGAGCACGCTGCAATTCAACCAGGGTGGAGCTGGGTGGACCCTCCAGGAGGTGGCAATTGCACAAGTGGACCACTCTTTCTAGACAGAACTCACGCAGAAAATTGTAGCACCCGTTCTCTTTCGCTGGCCTCAAGAAGCTTCAGGGAGCGATGGCTTCGGCACTCGTTTGTCGCCAGTCGGCGGCGCTAGGAAGTGCCCAAAGTTTCAGACAGCGGCGCTCCGTCCCTTCTCCGAATGATGAATGTTGCAACACTTTCTCTTTGCCGAAGGTTCGGACACCTTGCTCCCGCCCAGGCCGGCTTATGAGAACGATGGCTCGGGCGGCGCAAGATGACGCTCCAGTTTCTTCAGAGTCGGCGGCAGCTGACAAGGTGAATAATTCAGAAGATTCTTTGGCATGCTATTCCACATAGGCACGTTTCCTTTTTCTAGCACAAGTATCAACGAAGCGGCAGTATCGCTTCGTTTTGAGAGGGGGTGTATAGATTCTGTGTAATGCAATTACAGCCAACTTGCAAGACGCCATCGTCAGTGTCAGTGGCTTCCATGTCTGGTAGTTCACTGGGGGGCTCACTTTTGGTCATGATGGCAGAGGTGGTACAGACCTACATGTTAGTCTGTAAGGAAGGATGAAAACTCTATGTATACAGACCATCTTTTTGCTAAGTCTGTTGGTAATCACCCGAAGATGCAGAGGAATTCAGCTGTCAATGTTATTCCTGAGCTTTGCATCCTGAGCTATCTCACGCGCTTGAAGGGAACGTTAGAATCGTATACTAAATTAGTGTCAGCCCTGTTTGGAAAAGCCGGCAGTAATCTGAAGAAGAAAAGTGCTCCCTGGCTACATACTTGGAGGTCGTGTAAATTTGCCTTCCATTGTGTGCCCAGGCTCTGAGGTCTTGGGAGGATTCAAGCGTAAGGCAGGGTTGCTTGGCTTCACTGTAGGGGCGCTTTGGTGCAACATGGTCCAGGTCGATGGTGCTTTCTTCTTTGAGACAGAACGGACTCAGTTTTGACACCTGGGCGAGATACCACCTTCTGTACCACCTTTTGTACCACATTTGTACACTTTTTTACCATCCTCTTAAGTTGAACCTCACGCAAAGTCTGCTCAATCGGCGAGGCCCTCCTTCGGAAACCACTCAGGTGATGACTTTTCTGGAATCGAGGGTGGGACGTTGAGCTCTCAATTGTTGCGCCCCCCAAAACTATAAGTTCTAAAAAACCCGGTAGATTCTTTCTCTTTCTCTATGTCAATCTACAATTGTAGACCCTATCAATCTTGTTTATTCCAGAGACGAGCGGACTACTGGGAGGCTAAGAATGCGGATCCTATTGCAAATAAGGGGGACTTCATCTGGAACGTCAAGTGGAGGGAGCGGTTGGATTTGGAGGAACAAATGAGGAAGGCGGAGGAAGAGCGCAAGAACAAGGAGGTGAGCTTTGCAGACTTGATTGTTGTTGTGTGAAGACTCAGCCTGTCATAAATGGAAGCAGAATCTGTTGAGAAAATAGTGCAACGTGGAATGTACAAACGTTTTTGAGTGGCGGCGAACAAAACAGGTAGAGTCTTCAAGAACGGCGTTCTGCTTTGTGTCCTTCCCTTGCGCAGGCTATGCAACCCTCGATGGTATGTACAAAAACCATAAGTTAGTTCCTGCAAAACTTTGGATGAGGCTTGCCTAAGTACTGTCTTCCTTTTCGTCCTTTAAGGGAATAACCAGATTCTTGCATTTGGCAGGGGGGTAAGATCCTGATGTGCCTGCTTTTAGGGTGGTAAACCGTGGTAACATGTTGACGTTAAATATTTGAATCGACGTTATTTGCAGGAGGAAGGGACCTACGGATTCCTCAGCTTGTCAAGACCACTGATGTTGGACAGGTAGGGCTTTTACTGGAAGAAAGTGTGCTTCTTAGATAGCGTCATCTAGAACGTTCAAAAAAGGGAGGAACCCAAGCTTTCCTCTCCACTATAGGCAGGGGCGATGTCATTGTCAAAAAAGCTACAAGTGGTAACTCAGATGTGATCAGAACGCTTGGTAGGAGGATTTTTGAGAGCAAAACAGATAAAGGCGATTCGATGGGTCCTTCAAGCCTCCCATATAGAAGATTATTGTGGACGACGTTCTTATCAAATGTGAGAACGTTGACCACTGGCATCCCTGTTGAATTCACCGCTGTATTGTTCGAAATCTGTACTATTTTTGCAGCCATCTCGAAATAGCAGGCCTACGTACGTTATTTCCTCCCCTCAAGATTGTCACAGTCGCGAAGCAGAGGCTGCAGTAATGTTTTTGAAACCGGAAAACAGAAGCTTGTTTGATAACCTCCGCTTATCAGTTCCGAGGTCAACCTCAAGGAGGAGCTCCAGCGAGCCACCAGCAAGCAGAAGGCAGAGCAGTACGTTGCAGGATTGACCTAAAATCCGAATCCGAAACTTTTCAGTCCCATTTCTGAAACCCTCCGCTCTCCAGTGTTGACATCGATCTCACGGAGGAGCTCCAGCGAGCCGCCAGCAAGCGGCACGTGGAGCAGGAGGCTGCGGCGGAAACGGCGGAGCGAACACGGTACCGCGCTGCGCCCACGCGCAAGGAGATGAAGGCGTGGGCCAAGGCGGGGAAGAACGCTACGGGGTTGCAAGTAAGGGAGATGTTCCTAGTAAAGCAAGTATTTTTTATCGAGTAATTATTTAGATGTCCTCAAATCACCTAAGAGCTCATATGCTCTCGATCAAGTAAGGGGTTTAGTTGTTCTCTATCAAGCGTTCGCTTCTTATTCTTTTTAAAACGCTTGAACGCATTCAACTTTCCGGCGGTTGTCATCCCAATGTGCTTCTCATTCCAGCTGCGCAGCTCGGCGGTTGGTCCGCTCAGACCATTGCGCTTCCGGGCCCGGGTTTTGGCGAAAACAAGGGCTCTTGCTTGCGTAGTGCGGACGATCAAGTGCCGAATGCATGGCTCCTAGACACGCGCGAAGCGGCTCGTGATTTCAGGACACGAGTATTTGGTTGCTGTAGGATCCCCGGGTTTTTTTGCACACCGACCCTCTCTGAAAGCGACGTACGTGAAGTTGGTGCAAATGTATTTATGATCTTTTGCAGCGCCAATTGCTGGAGGACGCAAAGAAGGCACAGATTATTCGGAAGCTCGACCGAAGGGAGGAGCGGTTGCGATACGAGAAGGTGGGCCTTGGTTACTACACGTTCTCTCGTTCTTCCTCTCTTTTCGGTCTGTTAGTACAATCTGGCGACAGACTCTCTCTATTCCCTTCTCGTTTTCAAGAGGATTGAGATTGAGCTTTTGCAACTACATTAGCGCGCCTGTCATCACAATACGCCTGGGCAGTCTGCCAATCCTTAGGTAACCTACTGCGACCATTGAGGACTGCTTACAAAAGGAGTGCCATTGTTGTACAGGTTTTGCACTTGTTGCAACGTTTCGTTTTCGACCGTTTCCTTCTCAGTGGCTCTGTCGAATCATTTTTTCCTTTCTGTTGCAGTTGAAAGAAGAGCTGCAAGTGTTCACACTGGTCATCGGGTTGTTTTGCCTGGGGGGCACGTATGTAAAGTACGATATGGATACGGCGATCAGCTATGCTGGGGGGTTGATCGGCGCCCTCGTATACCTGCGGATGCTCAGCAGTAGCGTTGACAACCTGGGGCAGAGCGGGGGCAAGGCGGCCGCCAGGTGAGAAGAGTGTGATTTGGGTTTCCGCTTTCTGAAGTCATTGAGCTGTCTTGTTTTCTGCTGCGGTCTGCGCCAGATGCCACGCAGACTCGTAACCCTGTGCCTCTGAGGAAAACTTTGATTACGGATGAAGGGCAATGTAACCTCTTCGGCCTCTTGGGCCTTTCGAAGGGTTCTCCTATGTAACGTTCTACAAGCCCGGGAGCAATTCAGAGGTCTACCCTTGTGCATTCCGACAATCAGGTTCCGTTCTGTGTATACGACCGATCTGAAGCAAAGTGATTGGGAAACGAGGGCACCTGTCATGCTGGCACCTGTAAGTCTGTCTTTGAAATGTCTCCCTCCCAAGGGTTGAAGCGGCTTCACATTTCGTTGGCCATTTTTCACCCGTTCACCGTTTGGCCATGGTCTAGATACTGCTGCAGGATGTCAAGATGCCAGCGCCGCAGGCAGACATTCTGCCACGTGTCACTTTGCTAGTGGCTGACGCTGCATCCATACATGCAGGAGCGCTCTCGGCCAGCCCCGGTTGCTCGTCCCGGTGGTCATGGTCATGGCCTTCAACAGATGGAACGCGTGAGTTTCCGCTCTTTAGTGCTTCGCATTGCCATGGCCTTTGAGTTCTCGGCTTCGGCAATGCTCTTGCGAATGCGTCGTGATAGCCTTTGTCTTTACCCCCTTTTTTGACCGCGGAAACCTGTACTGGTAATTGTGCTGACAGAAAATTGAGCAATTCCGGATAAAAGATTGGTTGCACGAAAGATTCCCCGTCACCTAATCGACACTCTGGTGTTTCCAAGTAGTTCCGCAATAAGCAGTGAGCTTTGGCGGTTCAAAAGACATGCCTCGATTTGGCACAGCGGGTCTGACACGCCCCTTCTTGAAAGGAGGGCGCTTATTGAGCCAAAGCCAACTGTGTGGTTTCCTCTGAAACGTCTGTAGGAGCGTCGTGCCGAAAGGTTTGCAGTTCCCGCTCCAAGCTTTCTAGTATTAAAGACTGGGCCGCGTTTGCTGATGTCTTGCGTGCTTCTATGCTGCCAGCTGTTGGTTGTGCACCCGTTACTGACCGTTGTTAATTCTCGCCCAATAGTTTCGTTTTGCTTTTGTCCAGATCACTACCTCTGCTTGATCGAAAAGTCGAGGCTCATTAGTGTAAGTTTTACGGGTTTGCAGGTTGGCAGCTCCAAACACTGGCGTGGAGTTGCACCTGATTCCAATGCTCGTGGGCTTCTTCACGTACAAGCTTAGCACGTTGCTTCAAACGTTCCGGGAACTTGTGCCTAGCAAGGGCGCGCCATCGGACTCTTCCTGAGCGTGCATGCATGTAGATAATTGTTGAAAGGGAACAAGCAGATAAAACATAGTCAATAAGGTAGTGGTGAATCAGCCTGACCAAGGATGTTATTGTCGCGCGTTGAAAGACATTATGTAATATGTACACTCGATCTTCGAGTCCGCATTGGACATTCGCATATTGGTTACTTGAATTATCTTCGACTGCCTGAGCATCATCCAGGATAATGGCGACAGCTAGACTCACGGCATCCATGGTGTCCCCGCAAGCAGCCCATGTAGATTGGGAATTTATGTTCAGATTGACTATACGTTCAAAAGACTCGGCTGTATAATCATAAAATGCTCTGGAATGCGGATCTTTTGTCATGGACGGTTTCAGACCCGAAATTTGCTCTAACGACATGGTCCAAAAGATAGCTCTAGGACTGGTCCAGCTCGTAATGCTGCCGTTCTCGAAGAAGCTGAGTTTGTTTGCATATGGCCGCGGCACATGCACGCATGGGCAGATGTCATGTTCAATGAATTAGTAATGTTGTCAATGATATACGCACACGTTGCGACGCGATCAATTGTTCTCTATATTGAAAGCGTCAGTGCACACTGATGTACTCAGCTGACGGCGTGACCGCATCACATCATCTGGCGTCGATCATGAATATGTGAGTAGTTATTGCATCAGTGTGCAGATCGTATACACGTAGCGTGAATATATGCGCGCATACGCCGGCAGATTCAATGAACTACCGTAATTGCACTTGTTTATTCGTACACCTCCTATATACAAGAAGGGAACGCCCCATCTGCTTCCACAGCTGCTTAGGAGGCCTTGCCACATGTGTTCCGTAGCAGTGAGGTGTCGTCCACGCTCATTATAGCTCCTACCGATAAGCAATCCACACTGACAACTGAGCATGCATGGCGGCGGCTAGAACTGAGTCAGCCGAGCTTGTCATGAGTGCTGGCCGGCACCAGATTGAGACGGTGCCACGTCCTGTTAATTCGACTGCACAACCCCGAACAAGACCCTAAAGGTAAAGGTCAACCAGTATCCCAACCTGTACTCAAAGGCCAAACCAGGCGCACACAAAGAAAGGTCACTATATCCAATCAACACGCGCTAAATTTGCTGTCCTAACGTCTGGCGGTCGATTTGCTCTCGCCGTCGTGGGTAATTGGGGCCTCTGAAGTTGTAGCTCTACGCTGCGGTCCTACAAATAGTACGTCACTTGGCCCCTACTCAATATTCTAGTCAAGGCGACAATCAATAACACAAGAGATTGGACTCAGCGAGTCGTGCTCCGACTCGCTTCGGCCTTCTGCGGCAAAGACAATATCACGCCCTGTCCCTAAAGAATGGCAAATTCCTACATTCGAAGTACTATACAGAATTCCCCGTCGCAAGCATCATGTAAGCTTTTCTCTTCGTGCAGTCGAATAAGAGCTGCGCGTGTCAGATAACGGCTCCAACGGGGCATACGTACTTAGCATTCTACGACCGGTGCTACTTTCCCCTGACTTTCCAGCACCTCCAGCATCTTCCGCGCGGCGTCGCGGGCTTCCGGCTGCTTGTCCGTCTGCAGCCGCTTCGCGGCCTTCACCAGGCGCTCGGGACCAAATGCAACCATCTCGTCCACGTTCTGCGGGGGCACGGGAATGAGCAACCGTTAGAAGAGGGATAAGAGCTAGATGCATTCCCTAGACTTAGTCTGTAGGGGCAAGGGAATCAGCAACCGTCAGAAGAAGAGAAACGGCACGATGTATGCGGTAGATTGGATTTCTGGGGGCAAGAGATTGAGCGTTAAAAGAGGGAAAAAAGCTAGATAGATTTGGCAGACTAATACGGATGGCAAGCGAGTGTCCGCAAGGATCACGTTGCCTTAGACGAATCTGAATCAATTTATTTTGTTCGCTCTCTAGACTCGCCTTCTGAGATTGATGTGCTGCTTCAGCTCAGACGCTGACCGCAGAACTGAGGAGGATCCCGTCACCGCAGCTCATGTAGAGCATAGAGGTCATTGGCCACGTCATCTAGTGTAGAATCCATGCTTCGAACCAAGAGTCCTGATATTCGAACGCTGGAACAGGGAACCTGCTCAGAGATTTCCGAGAATGAGCCGAAGTAAGAATGACAATCAATGAACTGTGTATTAGAAGCCCTTGGGGATACATCTGGTTGAAACGACTCTGACGCTCACCATACGGATGAGCGAGCTGTAGATTGCGGCGATTGCCTTTGCTCGAACCCGCTGGCTCTTGTGGTTGGTGAACGGGAGGAGTTTCTCGAGCAGCGGTGCAGGAGAGACGCTGGCGACCATGACTCTCAGGGCCTCATCGGCGGTCTCGCAGACAAACTTCTTGTCTTGAGACGCTTTGAGGAACAGCTCGAGCAACTGCGAGAGTCAGGGGGAGCAAGACATGTTCTGACGAAGAAGAAATCTTAAAAAGGGAATCCGAAGTGTTGAATGCATCGGTATGACAGTCGAGAGCCAAAGAGTCTGTTTTTGGCAACGGATAAGCAACCGTTGTTAGTTTGTACAGGATGACGGACAGAAGGAAAGTTGTTCAACAGGGTCTGATTCTGGCAAGGACGTGTCGGTCGTTTTCGATCGTCGCAGCTACGTTCCGTATATCCTTGTTCACGAACACTGTTGTAGACCAACAGAACCCGTGCATCCGTCGTACGAAAGACAAGCTTGCTGATCACCTTTCAATTTCTGATCTCTGATGTCCAACTTATTCCTGCTTTCTATATTTTGACTAGCAATACGCGTTCAAAGCAAAAGGTTTGCAGCTATTCCCGTTCCTGGAACCGAATGTTACAACAAATATCGTGGAGTGCGCGTGTATGAGCCGGCTCACCAGGAGACTGATCCACGGAAGAGTCTTGTCCCCCAGGCTGGAGAAAGCATCCGTGAGTGCCATGATTGCAGTCTTCTGGAGAGCGCTCCGGGGGTTCTTCATGGCTTTGAGGATCTGCGGGGCAACGCTGGGCCTGCGCACAAGCGCAAAGCAAAGGTCAGAGATCGTAGATGGTCATATTTTTGCATCTTTTGTGACATGGACTCTGTCACGAATTCGACCCAGATATAGGCACACATCTGTGACAAGAGGTGACGTCTAAATCTGCAAGCGTCCAACTCATGTCAACAGCAGGTATCGGTTCTGCGAAACGAGGCACAAAACGGGGCGGGCCAGACCCTACAAACGTCGAACGGGCGTGTCTCGAGCTTCTGGAGGGCAGCCTGGGCTTACATGACACTTTCTGAAGATGCTGCGTGGAAGAAGACGAGAGCTCGAAGGTTGTTCAGAGCATCTGCCACCTCGAGCCAGTCCGAGGAGTCCAATCTTTCGGGAAGGGTCTGCAAGGAGGATGTCCCGAAGCTCAAGCATGAGGTACAACGGATGTGCTCTGGAAGGCATGCTTCGACAAAAGCTGACCGCAGATGCCGTTGAGAACTGCCAGCATCTGGCTGTTCAAAGATCGTCAATTTCTGAATGTTCTGGACAAGTTGCAAACCGGTCTATCCAATCGACTTTGCCGGACTACTGATCGAGTCGGGCAGGAGGGGTTGTGAAGATTCTTAGCAGGTGCAGCAAATCTAGGTATGTCGTGAGACGTAAAAAGTTTCTAAAGGTGAGGACTTGATCTGAATATGAGGAGGCTCACCTTCAACTCATTGACAGGGTCCTTGGGCCCGGACAAGTTCTGCCTTGCTACATATTCCAGCTCAGCAGCTGACGACTTGCCAGCATGCTCATCTTCATCGCTCATCCCATCCAGGGTGCTTGACTGACTCCTCGGACTGAGGCTCCCCATGCTGCGAGGACTGCTGAAAGTGCTATCTGCAGACTCCATCGACCGCTTGGCCAGGGTCTCAGATGCATCAGAGTCAGAAGAGAAGCGCACGTTGCCAGTATCGACCTTCGCTTTCACAGCATGGTAAGAGATTACCCGGTCTCCCACAGCACCAAACTCGCTGGCTCTATTAAACAGAGGAAAGCTGGCCAAGTCTCTGACAGTCGCTACTTGTTCGTCTGGCGTGTCCGCTGTCACTGCCGCCCAGTTCTTCCCTGTCTGAGACTTCTGCAGTGGAGCCACCCTTCCTGATGCCACAACGCCCTGCTGCAGACAGGCCGAGCAACGCCGCTTTGCGTGCCCTTCCTTCGCGCACTGTGCATCTTCAGAGTGGGGCTTGGGAGTTGGCTGTGAGCTCTGTGACTGGGACCCTGGGTGCATTTCTTCCGTAGTGAACCACTTGGCCTGAGCACGAGCAGAGGCCTCCTCTGCAGAGCTAGCTGTGCTGCTTTGGGGGCGGTGCACTGGATGTACCAAGGAGCTGCTAGGGGCAGCATCACTAATCAGCAGTGTTGATGCAGCTGTTGTCTTGGCAGTTGCATCCGCCTGTGCTTCAGCACGTGCAACAGAGGCCCTTGATGTCCGCGACTTTCTCATGACGGTTGTCCACAGTCCTGTGCTGTCACCTGAGATTGTGCCGGACGAGCTCGACCTGCATGAGTACCACAAGCGAGGGTTGCTTGACTGAGTTTATGTGAAAATGTCATGCAAAGGATAGCCTACAAAGAATCGAAATGCTGGACGTTGCGCTCTCTTCTCATGACTGGGCTTCCTCACGACGATATGAAGTAGACAGCCACTGAACCTTCTAATATTTTGTCACCTCAATCACAGCTCAAACCTCCAAGGACTCTGACGCATTGAATCAGCAAACCCTGCACAACAAGGATTACTCCCCGATTACTCACGTATCAACCAACAATCAGGTATGAGGTGCTTACGGCATATCTGTCATCTCCAAAGGCGCTTCCTGCTCAGACCTTAGCTGGAGCTCCGGCTGCTGTGTTTCTCCCCTCGCTTCTAATTCATCATCTCCATTTTCAACATTGGTAGGTTGCGACGACCGTTTTGACCTCTTCCGCGTCTTTTTGGCTTTCAACTTTGCAACCTCAGGCACCGTTTGAGAAAGTTTCTTGTCAACTGCATCCCTTTCTAGAGGAGCCTTCGGCCTGTGCCTACGCCGCAGAGCGAGAGAGCCTGCTGCAAGCACGAGAATTGCCACAGGCGGCAGAGCCGCAGCAAAAGCGTACATTGCTGCTGATGCAGAAACTTAAAGGTGCCTGCCTGTTAAGCTCAAGTAAAGCTACCTCCCTACACTTCTTTGACGCATTTGTCCCTGGTAGCTACGGACGCCCTGTACTTCATGTGTTGGGCGTATAATACCTGCAAGGTTTCAAAGTGATTCTCCTGAACGAGATCCTATTTTGTAGTCGTAGTCTGTTTCGCGGCAAATCACGACCTGGAACGGGCCCGAAACTGCTGAGAAAACAAAATCCGATCAGCTAAAAGAAGCGAGTGAAATCTGCAGGATTCAGCTTCCTTCCTAAGACTCTCCACTCTGTTTCTACTGCCGTGTGTGCACTGTCTACGGTCTACTTTGATACAGGTACCTGTAAGATTACATACTTTTACACTGTGGTCAGGCTGTCTTGAGTGGTGGGCTGCAGATACTGTACCGGTACACTGTGTCTGATCGTGCTGCTCTTCGATCGCCCATCTGCAGAGTACGTTTCCTGCCTGTCTTTCTCCCAATGTTGCATCGGTGATGGGCAGAAGTTCAAGACACAACAGTTTCCTCTTTCATTCGGATGGCGTGATATGATATCCACGGCTCATGACCGCAACTGCTGCATCGGAAGGTTCACAATCGTTAACGATCCCCGGCAGATTTGCATCGCGGTGATCATTCGCATCTTATTAATGGTGATTGCGGTCCATGCAAAATGCCAGAGCCGCCGCCTTAAGTTTAACGCCTGAGCTTTGGAAAGGCAGATTGCATGACTCAATGGACGAGAACTCCAGCAAAATAGAAAAGCGGAGGCGATGCGGATTAAGGGCGATTGCAAGCTTCTGCCTGACGTCTGCTGGCAGGCCTCCATGAGCTCAGCGCACGCTGAATGTAGAATACAGCCACCATGGCTCAGACTGCAGAAGCTGCCCGTCTTGGCATCGTTGAGCCCGAGCGACATACGAATGAAGCCTCTCCTCCGGTCCCAGTAATATCCGACCCCGACCTGCCCAGCTCAATCCATGCGAAAGATGCTGACGTCAGCAGCATGGCTTCGAAAGGGACTGGAGAAGAAGGCTTGGGCGCAAAAGATGGGGTGTTGCCAAGCCCACAAGCATCGGTGGCCACCCCTGACAGGACTGCTGAAAGCAGTACGGCGGAGAAGAGGGGCAGTGGAGGAGAAGATATCAGCGGTGGCCCAAAAAGCGAGGCGGCAACCTGCAGGCATGCGCAAAAAGGCGCGCTACCTAATGCCATCAAGGCAAAGGTGGCCAAGTTGAAAGCGCCGTACTCCTGCGATGAGTGCGAAAAGGCGAGGGTGGTGCGTCCAAAAGGAGGAAAGAAGGGGGCGGGGAAAGGGGGTGGGAAGGGAAAAGGTGAGCCAAACCCTAATGGTGGTGGTCTTTGAAATGTTTCATTGTTTTTACGTGATAGAAATGGGCTGAAAATTATCTGCACCTGTAGATGTATGAGATTCTGGGGTTTTATGCACACGAAAGACCACATCAAGCTGGCGACTTTTAAAACTATCAATTTGCGAATCTACTCCTTTATTGCCACCACCTTCAGCAGCTTACTGAGCACTTTTGTGACTAATGCAATTTTAAACTGCAATGGAAGCGTTGGCAAGGAGAAGGAGGGCTGGCTTCTGTTGTCCTGACAAAAAAGTTCTCTGCAAGGTTAGAGATCTGGGGATGCATATTAAAAAATCCAGCACTTGTGGATATACGGGCACATCGTCCAGCAATCAATGAATATACGGGCACATTTTCATGTTTATTCTCTGGGATGCAGGAGCGCCAGCAACTCCTGAACGCACGACCAAGTCCCCCCCCGCCAAGGAGCTGTGGCTCTGTCTCGCCTGTGCCGCTGTCTGTTGCTCCTCTTCCGAGGGGGTAACCAAGGCCACCGGGAAGGCCCCCCCCAAACCAGGCACCGCAGCGCCCCCCCCACTGCTCAGCCACGTGAAGAACCACGCCCAGCACAAGCAGCACGCACTCTTCCTGAACCTTGGAACCCTGGATTGCTGGTGCACAAAATGTGGCAAGGGGGGCGCGTTTGTAGACTACAGCAGGACAGACGAGGGTGTGGGGTCCGAGGGCGATGCGGCGGGGGAGAGCGTCTTGGGGGTCAGTGTGCATGCGGACGCTGACGTCAGCGACGCCGTCAGCCAGCACCGCTGCATCGCGGAGTGCGCCGCTCTGGTGCGGGAGAGCCAGGGAGGCCCTGTTTTGCGCGCGTCCGGCAGCGGCAAGGGGGGCAGCACGTTGAGCGATCTTTCCGGCAAGGCCTCCTTTGCGGCTGACGCAGAAAGTGGGGAGGAAGACGCTGGGGGGCAGGACAATCTGTCGGCCGGGGAAAGGAGAGTCGTCGGGTTTTCAAACCTTGGCAACACCTGTTTCTTCAACTCGGTGCTTCAGAACCTGGTTGCCGTGCGGCCGCTCCAGGACTTTTTTCAGGGAGGCGGGAGCGATGGCGAAAGCAACCCCCGCTTGGAGGGGCCGCTGACAACCGCCCTGCGAGGCCTGTACACCGACCTCGGGAGACTCTCCTCAGCCGGGGGGGCAGCTTCAGGGGGTGTTGCATCCCCCGAGAAAGGATTCAAGGGGAAAAAAGTGCTCGGGAAGAAAGGAACGCGTGGAAAGGGGGGCCCCCGGCCGGCAGCATACAGCCCCTCGAGGCTGTTCCAGGCGGTTTGCGCGAAGGCGTCGAGGTTTAAGGGGTTTGAGCAGCAGGATGCGCACGAGCTGCTGCGCTACCTGCTGGATGGATTGGACGGGGAGGAGCTGATCGCTCGAAAGCGGACGGCGAAAACGAAACGGGGGGGTGAAGAGGGCAGCGCGAAGGGGGGCCTGGTTGTGATCCGAAAAGCGCGGGGCCAAGGAATCTCTGTAGAGGAGGGCAGCGGAGACTTGAAGACTTTGAGCGAAAGCGGGGATGCTGAGGGGAGTGAAAAGAGGGTTTTGGAGAAGCAGGAGAAAGCGAATGCTTTAGACGGGAATATTGAAACTAATGGGTCCTCCCAAGGAGCTTCGCCTGCGGAAGGAAACGGCAGGGGGGGTGAGAATGACAGTGCAAATCGGCCGGAGCCGGAATGGGGCAATGGTGCGGCAGCGGTGCATTGTTCCGAAAACGGGGGAGGGAGAGGACTGTGGTCAGGAAACAGTCCTGGGGGGGCTGCTGCACGTCTGGAACCAGAAACGGATAACCCCGGCGAAGGAGGGGGGGAGGCCGCAGGCGGGTTGGTGGAAAACGGTAGGGAGAAGCGACCGGAGAGTCACGTGACCTCAGCGCACGGGGACTTGCGAGGCGAGTCTAACGGAGGAAACCCGCCGTCCGCTTTGGCATCGAAAGCCTCCGAGTCTGGAACAGCAGAGGTCTCAACCGTCGCCCGAGAGAAAGACTCCGCTCAAAGCTCTGTTGATGGTCCGTCGCAACCTGCGTTTGAAACCAAGGCAAGCCCCTCCGGGACTCCAAAGACCCCTATTCCGCTCCCGACTTTCGTCCAGCAAACGTTTGGCGGCAAGCTCTCAAGCACGGTCGTGTGCTGCACGTGTGGCCATTCTTCGTCGATGGAGGAGCCGTTCCTCGACCTCTCGCTGCCGTTGCCGTCCCTGGGGGGGTCGAAAACGGCTGGCGCAGCACCCCCCCGGAAGGAGAAGTGGGCGGTTACACAGCGGAAGGGCACCGAGGCAGCCCGCAGGAAGAGCCAGGGAAAGGCGAATAGCGAGGGGGTTAGCGCTAACCTGGGAGGGTCCGAGCACGGAGTAGGAGGAGATGCAGAGAAAGCAGAGGAAGATTTGAACCAGGGAAAGAATGATGAGGGTGTAGGGAGAGAAGAGATAGGTGCAGAAGGAACAGAGGCTAGCGGCAAGCCAGAGACGGAGAGCTCTCATGGGGGGCAGGAAGAGGGGAATGGAGGGGGGGCAGTTGTGCCTGGTGATGTTGGAGGGTTGCCTGCTGGGCTGTCAGAGAGTCGAGTTGCGGGGGCAGAACCAACGGAAGACAGTCGAGCGGGGACGAACGGTGAAACAGAAGTAGAGGGAACGGAAGAGAGTGAGACGTTAGGCCGGGGGCCGGAAGCGGGTGCCGAGGGGGTAGGAAATGGTGCTGTCGTGGGGGGTGGGGAAGTAGCTGGAAAACTAGAGGGGGTGCAAGAGCCGAACGTTGAGGGGGGTGAGGAGGCACTAGTTGAGAGGGAGCGCAAGAGCTCCCTCGCTGAAAGTGCAGGAACTGGAAGCGCAGGGGAGGATCGGAACGATGAAAGCGCAGTGGCAGAAGGTACAGGGCACCAGAAATCGAGCAATACGGAAGTGGCCTCAGAAGGGCAGGCGAAGGTCGAGGCAAAGGGGAGTGCCGGCTCCAATGAGAGGAAAACGAACGACAGTAGCAGGAGGGAAAGCGGAGCGCCGAAAGCAGAACGGGGTGCTTGGGCGGAGTGTGATAGTTTGCCGGCGCCGGCGCTGATGTCGGTGGAGGGGTGCTTGTATAGTTTCACACGAGAGGAGGTTTTGGAGGGGGAGAATGCGGTCACGTGCGAGAACTGCACCAAGCTTGCCAAAGAAGCAGCGACGTTGCGAGGGGAGGGGACGCTGTCGAGTAGCGAGGGGGGGGAAGAGTTGCCAGGGGGTAAGTTAGCGGGTGAGCTTGTGAGGGGGGGACTGTCTCTGAAGATGGAAACGAGCAGCGTGAACGAGGATGGGGTCGAAGATAAAGTGGCGGTAGAAACAACTGTGCAGAGGGACCGTATAAAAGAGCGCGTCGCTGGGGGAGACGCGAACGGGATCGAGTCGAAGGGGCAGAAGAATGAAAGCGGAAGCGGAATGGCGGAAAAACAAGGCGAGCATGCGACGGGAGGTTTGGCAAATGGTGACGCCCTGGCGAGCGAGTTGGCAGCGCTGCGGTTGAACTCAAAGGAACAGGTGGCGGTTGCAAATGAGGGGGTCGAAATGGCAGGGGCTGGGCGGGGGAAGACCGAGCGAGCGGGTGAGGGGTCAAAGTCGGATCGAGAGGGGTGTTCCGAGTTGAGCGGCGAAGAAGCGAAGAAGGGTGATGCAAAGCAGGGCAGCGGGAAAGAGGGCGGTTCGGAAAGTCAAAAGAGGATGGGAAATGAGGAAACGAGAGAACGGGAAGACCAGGCAGAAAAGAACACGGAGGGGCGAAGTCCGGTGACGGATGCAGCCGAGGCGGACACGTGTCATCCGGAGGGCGCGAGCTGGGTAACGCCAGGCGGGCGAAGCCGCAGCGCGGGGAAGCCTAAAGAGTCTCGCGCGAAGCCCAGCAAGCAGCCTGCTCTCGCGAACGGCTACGCGTCCCTGGCAGACGCCGGCAGCGGTTCGGATGCGGAGAGCAGTCCGACGGCGTCTGAGGGGCAGAACGGAAACGGAAGACGGAAAACGGAAACGGAAAAAGCGCCCGAGAGCAGGGATGTTCGGAGGACGTCGATTAAACGGTTCCTTGTGGCGGAGGCGCCGCCCATTCTTACCGTGCACCTGAAGCGGTTCCGGCAGGATGTGAAGGGGCGCCTGAGTAAGATTGGAGGACACGTGGCGTTCGGGGAGTGGCTGGACCTGGGGCCGTATTTGGACGGACGGAAGAGGGGCGCCAGGTGAGGGTCTTTGTCGAACGAAGCTTTGTGGATGCAAAGTTGGTATGGATCCGTTGTTGTCAAAAAATCCTTCCTAAACGCATCGCTTTTGGCGGAACTCCAGAGCGCCTTCAATGGTGCTTCAGATTCCGAGAACTCGTGACAAGCTGTCAGACTTTTGACAAAGGACTGCCAATCCGAAGTGCTCGGTCTTGCCTTCGCACCTTCCCTCGATATCGAGCTACAGTCATTTTGTACTGGATCCGAAAAGCTGAAATCGGTAAGAGAAGTTGGGACCCCATCGCAGTTGCAACTTTTTGAAACTAAAAACCACTGTAGAAGAAGAAGCTCATCCCATGTTAAAAGGTCTTCTTGCTTTCCGCTTACCAGTGCGGGAACGTCGCTGGAGACGCCCACAGCTCAACAGGAAGTCCTTCCAGTGACACCTCACCTGACACCTGTTGATCGCCCACTCGCCGCCGAACACGGAATCTCGTCAGCAAACCCAGCCTTGTCTGCAAATGGTGACCGAAAAGTTGAGGCACGGTATCGTTTGATAGGCTGCGTTGAGCACAGTGGAAGCATGCGGGGGGGTCACTACGTTGCTTACGTCAGAGGGACCGATCGAGACGGCCTCTCGGCGGGTGAGCACGAAGGGGAAAGCGACACGTGGTGGCACATCAGCGATGCCCACGTGCGGAAGTTGAGCCTGGCCGCAGTGCTAAAGTGCGAAGCGTACCTGCTGTTTTACGAGAGGATAGCCTGACAGCTGTGCCTTCAAGCGTTGAATTGGTTGCGAACGGCTCCCATCCGCGGTACTTCGGTCGCGAAATGGATGCATGCTTCGTTTTCCTTATTCCAACCCTCGTTCAAACGTACCTTTCCAAATAAGATACGTTGGTAGGCGCACTCACAAATTGTGATCTTGCGAATTGATCCCTTATGCAAAGAAACTCAGCACATGCTCGAATTTGACAATAGCTGGCTAGCCGGTCCGTATACGGATCTGACGTGCAGTAAAGGTGACTCGCGGGCTTGCAAGTGCAAGTGCAAGCGGGCTTGCACGCGCGCTTTGATTCACACGCTTGGATGTATGATGGGATATGCGATCGTCGACCGACTTACAAACGCGACCATGGTCGTTGCATCTGCAGAAATGCTCGAAGGAGCTGTTTCGATCTAGCTCCGGCCAGATCTCGTCGATTAAACAGTACATATATGACTCGAGTCTGTTAATGATCGACGGACACTTCCCTTCTTGTGCAAATCAAAGGCCACGTGCATCCTTAAGGGGACGTACATCACTGAGCAACTGTAACACCCATGCAGAGGCGCTGGCCGGCCAGTACATGATTGATAAGTTCGGCTCTCCTCAATGTATATAATGACTGGCGGCTAGCACCACACATGCAGCTTAAACTACATTGCATGCTAGCCTGGTCACTCGAGTCCGAACATGAAAGTTTTACGACGAGACTTTCTCTGCCGCAATGAATTCCAAAGTGTCACACGGCGCGTGCAAGACAATGACATGTCCCGGGCCCGCAAATCACAATGACACACGCGAGAAGCATCTGGCCGGCATGATCCGTTGGCCTGACCGTCAATCTTTGCGTCATGGTGAAACCGCCTCACGATATGATGCAACCGGGATGGTCTATGAACCGTCGACCACGAAGAGGATTATTTGAAGCATGCTGAATGATTCGCCACAGATTTTAAGGCAGTACTTTGTACAAGTGTCGTTGCGACCCCACGGAAACCAGTGGCGGCGAAACCGCCGGCTGGCTACTCTCCCCTCGCACAGGAAATAAACAGCCGTCCCCCTTCGGCGGCCGTAGCCTCGGTAACAGCCAGACGCACCACCAAAACGGCCCCTGTACGTCTAAGGTGTTTTTAAAGTTTCTGATTGGACCGAGGTTAAACTCATTGCTCCAAACCTGCCCCGCCTTCCGCGCGTCGGCCCGCCGTTGCCTGTTCACGTGGAACTCCACCGTTGTCTGCATATGGGAATTGTGGGTTCAGCTGAATGGTGGTCTCTCGGAGCTGGAAAGCTCAACTTTGACCCAGATCGAACGGTAGAAATTGTGCACCTAACGGCGGTACTACACAATCAGGCTGAGATATGGACAGCTTCGGATCGCGTGGGCCTAAACCGTCGACTGTGGTCCCCCCAGTAGACCCGCACCTCGACGTGCAGTATGATCTAGCTTTGAAGGACGCAGATTTGGTTCCGGTGTATGCAGAGGAGACTGCGTCCCTCAGATCCTGGCTGGCAAACTTCTGGCGGATCCAGAACGCAGTATATGGTGTGAGAACAACCGAGATCCTCCAAGCCTCGCAATCCTTAGACAGCCCTCCGAAGCGTCCTCACATAGACACCTCGATGCCAAAAACGAAATCTTTTAGAAGGTCTGCAAGTAACACTCGGCTAGAGTAGTTTGAGTCTTGACACAAAAGCGGCCCACACGACTCGGTACAGGTGCGTAGACTCGAGAAACAGTGCCAACAACAAACCTCGTCCCTCACCTGAGCCGTCAAGATCAGGAACAAGTGCCACGCCAAAAGGCACCCCAACGCGATTGCTACTGCGAAGCAGAGGGTGAATGCGAAGACCACGGTAGACAGCGGCTTCTCCTGCAACGAAAACGTAGGGCTTTCAGAACCAAGAGATTCGCAGGAGCTAAGCTCCGAATTTGTTAGAGCTGGCCGTTCGTTCAGTTGAAGCTTTTGGCAGGACTTGGGCCGTTCGATGCTAGTATCTGATTCATCGAACGGCGAAATTTCCGTAAGCAAAGATGCGATTTTGTACAGGCTGCCAGGTTAGACGAGAAGTGCAGTACGCCGGACCTTTAAGCAGTGAGCAAAGACATTCGTCGGCTGACTGAACAACATGCCGAGCGGAAAATGTAGACAAGCAGCTTAATGGCCGTGAGCAGGAATCTGACTTCGTTCAGATCGCCTCAGTAGTGCTTCACTCTTTCTAAGGACGCAGGTTGGCAGCTGCAACCCTAGTAACATCGATCCACATTCCAATCTTCGTCGACCACATGTTAACCAGATGAGATTGATCGAGCGGACAGTCGGCGTCTGCCTACAGGTGTGGCTCCGGTTGAGGAGATCAAGAGCACAAACACAAAGCCATTTTTGCCAAAATATAGTCAGGGGCTAAATCTCGGGTTCAAGCAATCCTCTTGCACAACAGGCGCAAGACTTAAAGGTTCTGGTCTGAAAAAACGAAGGAGCTTACCGGATCTTCTGCCCTGAAGAGCGGTTGGATCGTCATGAGCAGGACGTAGATGCAGCCGAGCCACAGGTACGTGATGAATAGAAGGAAGTAGCGATAGTTGAAAAAGCCGACGCAGTTGTCGAGCCAGGGACAGTGATGGTCCTGAGGGGAGAAACGGAGGGAGGAGTCAGAAAGGGCGCGTTTTTCCAAAAACTAAAACCAGATGAGCGGTTGAGAATATCTGCATCAAGCTAGGGCCGATCCGAAGTGCGATAACTTGGAGACACCAATCACCAAGAAAGGGCACCACACACAATCCATCGACTTAAAAACTGATTTGGAGGCTTACAGGTGATTTCACGAAGCTGGAGAGCCTTTGAAAGCAAGGCAGGGCTCTGCGTTATGGAGGTGCTTGTTGCCTCAAGTGCTTATCCAGTCAATCTGTAACGTCGTGCTGTTTGACTGGCATTCAAGCAGCTCGGGAGGACCTCTCAATTCCTCATGCTTGAGGCCCAGGTTCAAGCCTTTTCTCCGCAAAGTCACGACAACACCAGGATAGCCGACTTCTTACCATCTTCAGGATGCATTTCCTGCAAACGAGAAAGAGCAGCCAGCTTTAGAAACCGTCTGAGAGATTGTATGAAGTTGTTTCATAACCAGATATCTGACTTAACCGTCAATTGAAGATTTACAGTGCTGTACAAAAAACTCTCTCCTTCTTTTGAAAAAAGTCAGCACTCCAGAAGGACAACGACCACAAATCTCTAATCGGACTTGTCTCGAGATTGACCACCTCCACCGCTTCAGAAAGGCCACCAAAATCTCCCTTGGACTAGAAGCTTCTTTAAAGTCACCCTTGGCATCAAAGAACAAGGTCATGAGCAGCCACGTAGGTCTTGGTTTGGCCAGAGTATAGAAGCGTCATTTCAAAACACTAGGACCCGAACCAGGAAAACCATGACTGAAGAAGCAATGACAGACCGGGACAAATAGAGTAACTTCAAGATTGACTTACCCGCACACATGGCAGTGATGAGTCAGCGCCGGCTTTGCCCTACGACACCGGCGGCACCACCGCGTTTGCCCCGGCGCATATTCCCCTTCATCGTCAGAGTCCGCTGACTCATTCTGACCCTCAATGTCTGACGCAGAGCCCGAGGTGCGATCCAAAGATGGAGGATGCCCTGGGGGCGTGATGACACAGTAGGCGTAGTTGAAAACAAGGTTGAACAAGAGGGAAAGGCCAAGAGCCACATGTGCCAGGGCCTTAAAACTATGAAAGGGAGTGCCGACGTTGGCGAAGAGGAGTACGCTGAAGTAGATGTACACGACCGCACTGCAAGAAACACCGGGGGCTCCCTTGTTCAGAGAAGGCAACAAAGAGTTTGGCGAAGGTCGAGTTGCAGGATAGCGGCAGTGGCTGGGGCTGATTACACAGAGAGTTGTCTTTGTTCAACAACTTGCAGACTTGCTTTCAGCAACTTGCAGAGTTGTTCACGGTGACAGCCCCGCTTGTCAAAAGCAACCAACTGCGGATGGAGGGGGCCGTCGACGGTGGTGGTCGAGAATAGCCATCAGTTTAAGGATACAACGAACCCAAAGTTTCTGAACATGACATAGTCTTGTCCAAAAGGTTTCAACAAAAGGTTTCAAGCTTACTAAGTTAGACAAGCCGACTTCTCTCAGGACAGCACGAATCTTTCAGCGGTGCGCATTCCTGATGCTGAACTGATTTGCAACAACCACCGCGTTCTAAAGCATGGCATCAAATGGTCCGTACCCTCACCTGATCAAAACTGCGGCCAAAGCAATCAGCACTGGCCCTGCAACCCTGAGGGCCTTGTCCAGAAAGAACTCGCACAGCTCTATTGAGCGGAGCGCAGTGATGTTCAATCGCCTCCTAAAAAGTACCTGAAGCAAAGACATGCTGGGGACTCCACTTTACATCCCGAATTCTACTGAGAAACTCCTGCTGATCCTATACAATGATCAATTGCGGACTACCGATGTAACCACCACCAACGTGTGATCTACTTTTTTGTCGCCCCCTTCTAATAGCCGCAACATTACCCTGGTTGGGAGTGGTGCTAGGCTGCTAGCAATTCTCTAGCTTTTCTGGAGCGGAACAAAATTTTGCCATCTCTTGGTGCTGGTTGCCGGTGCTTTATTCTTTGAATGTTGGGGCTGGAATGGCTCAAAATTTTGTCTCTAGTTTCTCGGCCGTCAATTTTTTCTGTTAGCCCATCGGAACCGTTCAATGTTGGCTTGTACAGTTTGAACGGGAAGTGGGGGGCGGCAAGCACGTTGGCCAACGTCAGACTGGGTCTGCAGATTGCCCCTAGGACTTCGCTACGCTGGGCCCTGCTGGCACCAGCAGTGTGCTGGCTTCTTCTTTGAGTCTCAGCAGCTTGGAAGATGAATGACATCAGAATGAGCTTTCAACTTTCAACCTTGAGGGCGCCAAAGTTCGCTCAAAGTCCTGCCAATCCAAGCGAACCAAGGCTTATCGCCGACTGAGGCCTAAAAACCTGACCTTGAACGCTTGAAAGTCCAGAGCAATACTTTATTGAGCATGCAATCAGAAAGTGTCCATCTTGTGCCCACTGTTTCCTTCATCCCCGTTCTTGTTAGCTTTAGTTGATGGCAGCTTGGCCCTTTGACACCCTCGGCAAGATGACAAGCTGGGTACGGAGCCCCAGTAGCGAGCCCTCAGAATTCGGGATTGGAGACGCGCCTTCACCTGGGAGTAGACACGAACCTGCACAAGAAGAAGCAGGCACAGGAGCTGGAACCAGCAAAAAGCTGTACCCTGAGGTGTTCGGAAGCCCGTCGTCCAGTGAAAGCCCTGGTCATTTTGCATCTCTGTCCAGGAACCTCCCGCCAAGCTCCTTTGGGAAGGAGCTAGACAGGGGTTCCGGAAAGCAGGCCGAGGCTCCACGGAGACCGAAGGCAGATCTGGTGGCGGATGCAGGACAACAGCAAGGGAAAAGCGCTGGAGGGGTGAAGGTTGACGGCAATTGGTTCTATGCACCCTCAGCACCACCGTTTTTGCATGGGGAGACTTCTCAGGTGGGGGGCCCTTCTGGACAATCAGAGAACGCTGGTGGTAGTGACCTTGGCACCGGGGGTGGGTTTGTCCAGTGGAGGGAAACGGCTGGGAAGGCCGAAACGACGAGGGCTTTCAAGTTTGAATCTTCAGGGGGGCGAGGCAGTCAATACCACTCAAGACCACTCCTTGGGGCTGGAAGTGGAGAGAAGAGCGGGGTGTCTCGCACGCCGGAAGGGCCGGCTACGAGGCGTGAGGAGCATGAGAAATTGAGGACGCACTATCGGGAGGAGTTGGCGAGACGAGAACAAGAGGAGATGCTGACGGAGCGTCAGAAGGTAAGGCGTGCATTACTTCAGTTCTGCAGATGAGGACACCACGTTCATTCTGTTCTGCCATCAACATGTCCTGACATCTTCGATTGACAGTGCAGCAAGTAGATGTCAAATGGCGCCTTGGATTCGAGTCTTTCAGCAGCGCTTTCATCAGGTAGCCATGTAGCCAAAAGTATTGATCAGTTTGATGTGACTGCTGGAAGCTGGCAGCATGCTCCTGTACTTGACTCCTATTTGTAGCTGGCGAATATTCCCTTGACCTGTGAACAACAGGCCTTGCCAAAATGCCTACGAAGGGTAACCTGGTTTTGAATGGGGTCACTGAATACAGACTAGTATAACAAGGCATGGCAGCCGTCTGTGGCCTATTCTGTTGCTGTTCTGACTTTATCTCAGGGGATTTAGCTTCAGATATAAAGACGAGGCTTACCGCTTGTTTGCAGCAGCTCATGCGAAAACGGCCACCTGCGCCAGCCGCCGAGGAAGACGACGAGTCAGAAGAAAATGCACTGGATACATTACTTGAACGGGTGAAGATCCAGTGGTATCCCAAGGAAGTTTGGGCCAAACTGCGGTTTGAGGACGACTATGAGAATCTGGTGAGTGCTCGATGGAGAGGTTCTTTTCTCAAACGACTCTCAGAGATTTGCGTCTCAAAGATCTTCACTCAAGTCTGCCAGCATTTGAGCTTTTCAGAATCTGACGTACGATTTCTAAAGTTTGCCATGGTTCCACAAGGTCTCCCTAAGCGCGCTAGGGCTGATTCAACAAGCTACGAGTTTTCTGTGACGAGATTGTCAAGAAAAGCATTCTGTAAGGAATCTGACGAGTCTCGGCATTGCTCCCACATTACAATATTTTGAGGTCGTATTGCAGTTCTTTGAAAAGGCCAACCATCAAACTTTTGCACCAAGAGGGACTTTCAGGTCTAAGACATTGACTATCACACTTCGGAAGAGTTTATGGATTGCTCTTCGTTCTTGTAAAAGGAGAGTAACAAGAGTCGACGCGCTCTTTGACAGCGGCTTCAACTTCGACGTATCTAACGAGTGCACCAAGCTTTATGAAGCGACTACAAGGTTTGTTCAAAAAGAGAGGACTAGATTGACGACCAGACAGGAGAGGCCGAGGGACTAACACACCTTTTAAGTCAGTCTGCTATCAACTTCGGACCGCAGTGTGGAGGTCTGTGAAGCACCACAACCTTTTCTAGGCGTAACTCCGACAAGACGATAAGAGGCTTTCTGCTGTCGAACCCTTCGACCCCTTTTCTCAAGGGGCCTTCAAATCTGATCTCGTGAACCGCAGCTCCAAGCGTCTTGAGATGTCCAAAGGAAAAATGCGATTAGCTCCTAGAGGGAAGGCGTTAATTCTGCAGTGAAGGTTTTCTGTTTCCTTCCCCTCTAGTGGGGCTTTGAACTTGAAATTGTAGGTGGCTGTCGAGCTGTCTCACTTATCTACACCGTTCCCTAAACTTTTTGAACTTTCTAAACGGCGATCTAAACGTTCCTCTTCCTCGCCTCTCAGTGGGGCTTCAACTTCGACGTCGTGAACCGGAGCGCTAAGCTGACGCTGCGCAAGGCACGCAAGTCGTGGTGGCGCGCCAGCTACAGCGTACAAGACATGAACCTGGTCGTCCTTACCAAGAAGCTACCGATCCCGTTCCTGGGAGCGAAGATGGGAAAGCACGTGCCGCCAGCGATGCAGCCGCATCTTCAGGTGAGACGGGACGAGGGGTGTGCGGCTTGTTGGCTTTCGAAAACGCTCACAGTTGGACATTGATACCGCAAGCGAGATTCTTCTGTCGGGTGTATTGTCAGCACGCTTGAATGTTGAGCGTCGGGTTCTCTTAAGCGCTCGCAAAGAAGATTAGGTTTAACTTAGAGATGCAATATGCAAAGTGGATCCAGTCGAATTGGAGAACGGCGCAGTGAGTATATGTCCCTTTGGGAAGATGGTCCGCAGTCAGCGGTCGTTTTTAATTATCTTCTACTACATCTGCGTTCCTTACGCTGCACCTTCTCTGAACCAGGTTGCACCAGTTTGCAACCGTAGACCTTATAGTACCAGCGGCACTCCCACCAGCAAAGGCTGCGTTACTTGTTCCTTTTTACCACGAACTTACTCTCCGCCACTGCTAAAGCAGTCGTTGGACCAAAAGATCAATCTCTGAGAACAGAACGCGAACCAGTAGCAAGTCAAGTTCACTGACAGGCAGACGCCTTTTCTTGACGCAGTTCGGCTTCGGGTACGACTTCTCAAATCACACGAAAGGGTTCCGCTGGGCGCTGACGACTCCGATGCAAGCGGCTGAGGGGCGGCGAGGCAACAAAGAAAAGTGGAACGTTCTCAACTCACCCCTGGACGTGGGCCTCAAGTGGTCGGCTGACGTCAGCCTGCCCGAGTTGTCAGGGTACGTGACATTCAGACACTACTTGTCTTCTTCTTGATCCCGTTCTCTATACTGCCCACAGCAAGTCCCAGTCAATGGAGTTAAATATGCTCTCGGCTCAAGAAGCATCCTCAGACGGCAGTGCTTAAACTTTTGAGTCACTCGTTCTATGCTCCAAGGCAATATACTAGTGTCACTCGCTTTGCAGCCGAATACCCGGACTGTGAGCCTTCCAGGGTGCGGTAGATCTTGAAAGTCAAGGCCAGTGTTTGTAACCACGTGCAAGAGTCGCTCGCTGGAACCGGTACAAGTTGTTGGCGAAGGACCCGCCACTCTGCAAAACATCGAGCGTAGTGCTGCGGTTCTGTTCAATCTCGCTGACTGATTCCTATCTACGTCTCATGTACAGAGCCATGGGAACAGCAGAACCCCGCATCTCCTCCGACATCGGAAACTACTTTTTCTCAATCGACAAGGCCTTCTGCACTTTCACGAAGAGAGTTTGATCACTGTCCATAGCAGGAGGAGAAGTAGGTCTGTCTAAGTTACGGCATCAGCTCGGGTTGACGTGCGGAGCTCTGCACGTGGTCCTCTGCTTTTGCGCAGGACACGATTCGGACCGCGACGATGAACATAGTGACTTTGCAGCGCAACTTGTGTCTCGAATCCGATCGAACATGCAGGCACGCATAAGGCCTCTTGTATGGGCCAGCTTTTATGATATTTGAGGGCGAACTAGTGTCCTGTTCAGGAAGATTCAAATGTGCCAGGAGGTATACGCCTCTCAGTGTGTGTTACAACCGTCAATGTGGCAAGCTCATTTCGCAAAGGGGCCTCTAGACGAGATCATCTCGTGGAAATTGAGATGAAAGGAAGTGCCTCTGAATATCTAGCGTCTGCAAGTGGATAACCCGGAGAGACGCGTGCCAGTATCCTTCAAACTGACCCTGTACATGACACGGAAGTGACCGCCGAGTAACATGTCTGGACATGCAAATTACTGTGCGGCCAATTTGCCGCCGCTCAAATTGCTGATCGAGTATATTAAACGCTGGCAGTTAAGATCGAACGATAATGACCATGAGAGGCCAGCGGATCGTCACATGTGCACTGCATATATTGGTCATGAGGTGCACTCCTTCATGTGCCGGCCGGATGCACCGGAATCGAGTACTAATTATGCGCAACCAAAGAACCAACCATAATTCATCGCATGCGCAATGTCAGACGCTGCTTTTGCTCGGCCACCCTCAAAATTGGATGCACGTATATACAAGCCTTTCAACACATTATTGCTTGTCTCCATCAGATCCATGGGTGCTTGGCACAGATTTAGACTATAGCCTGTAGCAAAAGATACATCGAGCCGGCTTAGACATGCAATTAAGCTGCAACGTATATTGCATGTCAGAAACGAGCACGTTAGGCGAGCCCGTAATCAAGGAGGAGTTTGAGGAAGGCTCAGCTAGAAAAGGCGTGTCCTTTTCAAACGAAGCATACTCGGTTATGGTGCATCAGACATGTCGGTCTGTTCCTCCAGAATTGGGCCAAAGTTGTCTGACTCTCTGTGCTTAATTAAACTTACTGAGTACTCTGAAACTACGCAAAGGCCGGCCGGTAGCCATCGTCAAAGCCTGTAAGCAGGGGCATGCAACCTTGCATGTCGGTGTGCGCGCTTGCAGCATTCATGCGGCCGCCGGCCGTCACGGCTGCTTGCATCCGGGAGAGCGGCTCGTCCGCGCGCGCCGAGTTCGCGGCCGCTCGCGATCGTCCTTGGGCCATGCAGCGCGCGAACGGAAACCCCTTTCATTTTGGAGTTTAGAATTTCAGGATAAGACTACAGAATTCCCGCTCAACAAGCTAGGGGACTGAGTTGCAGCCTACATCAGCTGCAAAATGTGAAGGCGAAGGCTGGAAGAAGGCTGGCACGGTGTTATGTCTCCGTTCTTTTTGTGATCGTCCTGAAACGCGAGATCAACCTCCTTCGCTGAGGGATCGAGGTAGCGCTACATTGTAAGGTGTATTGCAGACTTGCTTTTGTGATCACCGATTGGCGCTGAGCGCATTAGAGTGGACGCAGGTTAGACGAGGTGTTCTTTGTCTAGAGAGGGAAACGGAAGGAGAACCTGCAGCTCTGGAAATTGTGGAGAGCAGCTTGACACAGCTGCCTTTGATGGCACGAGAAGATGAAAGCAGACCGTTAAACGGTCAGCCACAAGATGATGCAGGTGAAGATGCTGGCAGAAGGGAAGATGAAGAAGAGAATGCAAGCGAGGAAAACAAGACCCTGGGAAGAAGCGACGGGGAGGACGTGACCATGGCCGACTACCGTTTTGACGTTAACAGCCTTTTCCAGAGTAAGCTCGAAGAGATCAGTATTTTGGAAGTGTTCTGCATCCAGAATGTCTTATGATTCCGACAGCGTGATACACCACTGTCTCTCAGGAGGGGGCCTTTCGAATTTTTGAGAAGAGCATTGCATGGAGTGTGGTTGTGTCTGAAATCCTGGAATGAGCAGAACTCGCATGAATCGAAGAGATAAGTTGACATCGTCAGTAGCTGGGAACGATCATCCCCGTTGTAAGACCTCAAATTTACAATGAGTGCAGATGTTCTTCAACAAATCAGCACAGGTTTGGAAGAGTTCTCCAACACGAACGTCAAGGACATTGAAGCATCTGCAACCGACCTGACGGAGACCATCAGGTCTACACAGGACCACGCGCTGGAGCGAAAACGAAAGCTTGAAGCTGTAAGGTTCAAACGTTTGACCTAGTATGCTTGTTCAAGCATCCTGAAGAACATGACCTTCGGCCTTTGGAAATCAATGTGGTCAGCACTGCATGTGGAGTCTTCAACTGAGGGTTGCAAGGTTCCAACTGCATACTTCCGTTTACGCAGGATATGATAGAATATCAACATGCTGCACAGAAGGTGCTCAGAGTACTCGAACTCGGGGCTAGCTCTCTTCATGAAGTGAGTAACCTGTCCATCCTCAACGTTTTCGCTTCGAATTTGGCTCGATAGATTGAATCAGTTTTATTATATGACTCACGATTGTTGCATCATTTGGAGCATCAGAAGATTGTAGGAAGTTTCCGGCGAGCATGCACTTTGTTCCTCTAGCACGAGTGAATAGCTGTAGCGTACAAACAAGAAGATTCATTTCTAGACTGAAGCCGATGAAAAATATGAGGAGGGTTTCCACAGACGCTTCTGAAAGTAATTTGCACTTGTTCTACTTGGCAGATTGGATTTCTGGAAAGTGGGGAGCAGGAGGAATGATCTGGAATCCAGCAATGCTTATGACATCAACCTGAAGATTCTGTCTAAGCTGAGTTTAGGAGGCTTCCAGAGCAAAAGATTCACAGATTGCCACAAATAAGACCCACTTAACTCAAATAGGGAATGCTTAAATATGTTGATCACTGAACAGCGTAAATGATAAGATGGGATAGACTAAAAAATCTAAGACGAGTCAGACCCACGTGCGAGTTCTACTGTGGAATATGAACCAGATATCAACTGCACGCGGTCAAATATCATATGCTGCCGAGCGCAGCTACTTTGCATGATCTAGACAAAGCGCGAAGCTCGATAGAACGAGAAAGTTTTTGCATCTTACTAAGCAAACCCTAGTGTGAATGCCGGCACAGTACGCGTGCTCAAGTTGGGCTGATACATGATCACGCTACTCGTCGTTGAGTAAGATATTGCAATTGACCAGAATACAGAAGGTGGTGGATGATGTGATGATACGGTTCTCATGTAACTGCATAATTTCAACGAAGCTTTGCACGTCTGAAGAAAGATGGTGTAAAAACTTGAATGCTCCCAATCATCGGCCGGATAGTGCACAAACAACTTAGGTCACCGTGGCATGGAATGGAGTTACGTCTGTTCTGGATTCCATCGCAACGTAAATTAGATTGAAAATGATACAATCCAAGCTGCGAGCAAGAACAGAACCGCATCGACCGCCGCGCAAGTTGATAAACCTAGACTCGACAAAGCCATCCAAAGACCTCTATCATTACACCACGCTTCGCGGTGTCAAGGCATGAGTGAACGAACTCCCTCTCGAATACCCCCCGCCATCAAGGTGCACGCCCCTGGCTCGACTGACCCTCCGCTCAAGAAGCTCTTTGACCGGAGAACTACCTGTAGAACCTGCCTCGATCGCCCCCTGACTCACCAGCCTATCGTACTCTTTCGACTTCGCAAGCAGCTGTTCGTTCATTCGCATGAGCCGCGCGTTCATCTGTCGCAGCTGGAAGATCTCCGCCGCTTCTTTCTTGGGCGAAATGAACGTTCCCGTCCGCAACGGTACGGACCGGGTGTTCGAACCGGTCCGAGACCCGCCGTCCGATAAGGCGATCTCATTCCTCAGCAGCAAGTCAGGCGCCGCCCGGGAAACACTACCGATCAGCGCATCTCTAGAATTTTCTCCCGGGATCGCGTCGCGGAAGCGGGACGGCACGTGCGGCGGACTCCCGAGCGCTTCGCTGCTCGTCGGGCTTAGCGTCCCGACCGCAACTTTCTCCTCTCTCCCACTTTTCGCAGCAGCTTCTTTCGCCGCTACTTGTGGCTTCTTCGCCGTTCTCGTCGAGGCGACCCAGTTCCGGCCGGAATCCGCCCGGTTGCTTTCGATAGCTCCCGGAGCGCTCTTCACCGGGCTTAAGGCCAGGGGCGCTTGCCGCCTGGCTTCCCGTGCCCCGTTTCCACCCGGAGCGTACTTTTTCCCTTTTCGCCCGGGCGGCATCTCGTCGTCGAGACTGGAGAACACGGCTTCCTGCGAATGGAAACCAACTCAGATCACCTCGACCGAGCGAGTGCTCAAAGACTACTTGTCTTTAACAGGAAACGGAACGGAACGTCCTTTGTAAGATTTTCTTGATCTAGCGAGGATGCGACCGTGAAGAAGGTATACTTCGAGACAAAAAATCTCGACGGGCAACTCAGTACTTGCTCTCTTTGCAACACAGGAAGTTCTGCCTTTCCTTGTGTGCGAGAAACAATAAGACGGCTCGTGCCTTTCCGCCTGGTCTCCTGGGGTCTCACTTCAAGTTCGAGTTTTTGTTGTTTGCTATCCAGCACGACTTGCATCGTTCGAAAACAGAACCTTTCCTCCTCTGAGTAAAGGATGCTCTATGAAGCTTCTGCAAGCAAGAACACGGAACGGAAAGGAACCTCTCCTGAAGCTATAGACGATCACTCTCTCTGCTAATTCTGACTTTATCTGCTTCTCCTTTCATTGCACCTAATCGCTCCGGACTTTCGAGCGAGTATGATCATGTGCGGATAACCCCACTCACCAGATCTTCCAGCTTTGCGGACAGCGACTGGTTGTCTGAAAGCAGCGTTCGGTGGTTCAGCTCCATTTCCCTCTGCCCGTCTTGCAGGTCCCGGATCTGGGCTTGCAGCGCATCCTTCTCCTCCTGGTGGCTTGCGACGACGCTCTGGAAAAAGGTACAGAAATCGATTAAGTCAGCAGAGAAGACGACTTCTTTATTCCGCTACTGGTCACTCCAAACACCCGGGGCAACATTTCAGCGCGCACTTGTCACAAGAAGTGCGAGAACTCTCGAGACTGAAAAGGATAACAAGATTCCGTAGAATACATGCAGCGACATCACAACCGCAAATCCGTAAAGCACGGGCTTCGGCCCCGTACAAATCCTAATGAACCATTTGATCTCAACCATTTCGTGCTCATTTTCTGGGACTGTGGCCTCATCTTGACAAACTCAACCCTGTTTACATTACGTGACGGTGGAAGGAGCACACGCGCAGTAGAACTGTACAAATAGCTACTTCAAGCAACGATGCCCCACAGAAAGCCTGCGTGAGCACTTCAAAAGAGCTTCCCGTCTCGGTAAGCAGCAAAAGCCTCCTTCTCCGAAGACGTGCATTAAATTCCCCTGGGCATATCATGTAGCCTTCTTCACTAAAATCCAAACCGTCCCGACCTGTGCTTCTAGTAGACGTCGAACGAGCTCCTCTCTATTGACCCCTGCCAGCTCCTTCGATGAGAACGCCTTCAGATACCCCGTGGATGACCACGTTCCGCTCGGCGTCCGCCGGACAATGGGCGGGAAATGGACCCCGTCGTTCTCTCCCCTGGAATTTGCAAGATTTGGTTATGTTGCACTATATGAGAGATGCTGTGGTGTGATCTGGCCCAATCTGTTCGAGAAAGACGGCAAGACGCTTACTCTATCGGAAGGTTTGGCTAGCCAGACGTCACAGGATCTTAACATGATAAAAATCCGTGACAAGCGTACGTGGCCGACTACCCATACTCTTCGACCTTGCTCAACATGTTAATCAAGCATGCGAAGCCTCTCTTGACTGGCATTCGCCTGTTCTTTTCCTCATGATTCTGTTAGGTAGTAGGCCGCAAACTGAACAAGATAAGAGACTGCTTGAAAGCCTTACCGTCCGCTGGTGGAGGGGGTTGCGGGGTTTTGGTCGTGCGACGCGGCCGCGGTGCCCTCGCGGCTGTGGTTGAGCGAGGGATACTTGCCGAGGTCGCCCCCCGACAGGCCCAGCTTTTGACGCAAGTACAGATTCTCCTCTTTCAGTAGCGCGATCTCGCGCTTGAGAGCAGAGATGGTCTGCAGAAATACAGCGTAGTTAAGGTCAGGTCAACTGGTGGACTGTTGGTACGAGTCAGGTCTCCGTTTTCAGCAGTGCGATCTCACGCTCAAAGGCGGAGTGTTCCGCGATAAAGCATGCTTGGATCTGAGGTGAATTCACCGCTGTTCTTCGGCACATGTCTCACCTTGTCTTACGTCTCCGCATTTGCGGTCGACCTGTTAACAGGACTCCTTAGGGGCGCAGCACAGTCGAGCGGAACAGCAGATCCCGAAGAACGGCACCAGAGGAGAACGTGTCGAAAGCAGAAACGTAACCTTTCAGAACCATCCCACCTTGTCCAATGAAACCTTTCAGAACCATCCCGCTTTATCCAATATAACCTTATAGAACCATCCAACCATTCCCATGACATTTATTTTAAATCATCCCAACTTGTCGAACATCATCTTTTAAAACCGTCCCACCTTGTCCTGCGTGTCCGCATTCGCAGTTGGTGTGTTGACGATGTTCTTCGCCCGCGTGGCGTAATTTAGAGTGGAGAGCGTCTCCTCGACTGACGTCAGCGCAGGGGAGCAGCACGCAACCATGAGCGCCATGGACGAGCCGCCCAAACTATCCATCAGCAGCTTCGTCAGCTTGGAGTCCCTGTAGAATTGGGTTAGGTTAGAAAGTGGTTACCATATTTCCGGATAGCTGCATCGAGAAATTGAGTAAACGCCATGGACGAGCCGCCCAGGCTGTCCATCAGTAGCTTCGTCAGCTTGGAGTCCCTGCGAATTGGGGTTAGGTCAAAAAGTGGTTACCACATTCCTGGTTAGCTGCATCGAGAGAATGATTGAACGCCATGGACGAGCCGCCCAGGCTGTCCACCAGCAGCTTCGTCAGCTTGGAGTCCCTGTAGAATTGGGTTAGATAGTGGTTGAGTACCAATTCTGCACGTTTGTTGCTGCGCGTTCGGTCCTTCTTTTATCAGGTTCATCTGAGAGAAGAATGTAAACGCCATCGATGAGCCGCTGAATTTGTCCATCAGTAGCTTGTCGGCTTGGAGTCCCTGCGAAATCAGTAGTCCCTGCGAATCAGTAGCTTGTCAGCTGGGAGTCCCTGCGGAATCTGGTTAGAGTGTGGGTTCTGATGTTTAGTAGGAAACTTTGCGCTGGGTTGTTTCGTGGTTGGTTGCACTCGAAAGATAGTGAGCGCTGCAGCAAAGTGCTTCAGTTGCAGCTCAACAGCTTTCTCTGCTTGCATTTCCGTGGACGGCCGGTTGAATCAAGGAATGGTAGAGGCCTAGAAAGGGTTAGCGCCTCAAAAATGCTTTCGATTCATTGTCGTTAAGGGAATCCTGAGCGCCGCACAGAGTCGCTTAGCCTGTTCATCAGCGCCCCGATCAGCTCAGTATATAACCAATCTATTGATATTATATAAATAATAATGAGAGTTTACTATCAAAATATATTATGAGCGCACTGAACACGATTCGACTTGGTATTTGACAAATAGAAAGAAGCACTTCTACCCGGCTGTTACACCACCTCAATAAGTACCTGATTGGCAGCACACATTCGAGGGATCTGGGACCCTACCTGGATTCGGCCGCACTTTGTTATGAACGCTTTTGAGTTTGAACACAAAGAATGACTGCTGTAAGACCGGCATGTCTATCTGGGCTGAATGCTTCGTAACACTCCTTGTGTGCCGCTTAGTAGCGATAACTTTCCGAACCGGAATTACGAGGAACATGCAGCGGAAAACGCTTCTCTTGGACGGAACCCTCGGGCTTACCGGTATGGCACGAAGGTATCTTTCTTGCTCCGCCCCTCCCCTAGCGCGCTGATCACCTTGCCCAGCGCGAACAGGCTGCGGTTGATGCTGCCCGTCTCCTTCACCATCTCCCTGCGTCAGCATCACGCAACTTCGACGTCAGCAAGCAGTCAGTCTTTACCTACCGGCAATCTCAAAGGGGTTTGCCGGCACCCAACTCCGTTCGAATCATGGCTCAATCTAAGATAATAATCAAACAACGTCAGGGAACGGAACACCGAAACTTGCTACATGAGACCCTGCGATGTCGACAAGCACGAAGTGCACTTAGGAAGGACCGCGAAGGACAGACACAAGCGGACGAGAAGCAAATCGACACCAGTGGCAGGTACCCCTACCCTAAATTCGTTGTTCTGGGAATCTGAAGAGACTCGTATCTTACGGACAAGGGGAAGCTTCAGCAAGGATTTCTCGTTAAGCAGGCGTTGTTTTCTGCCAAAGACACTTTCGCTCTGCTGTTCTGTGACGATTGTGAAGGAGGTCTCGAGCTTGAAAGCAAGAGAAAGATAGAAAGAAACATGTCGAGCTTTTTTATCGTTATGGATTCCACGCTATACAGACCACCAGCCTCTCTTACACTCGAACATGAACAGATTCACGGCGGACAACCACCGTGGCCCTCACCCGGAGCTTTTGCTGATCTTGAGCCGCTCGCTCCCCGCCAGGTCGACAAACGTCACTTTGCCGAATCGTTTATTGGGGCCGTCGGAGTTGGACTCGAGATACACGGTCATCATGCTGTGGCTGCGACTACTGTCCTTGTTCAGCGCGTGAGAGCCCACCTGGTTAGAGGGAACTCTAGGGGTTTGTATTCCTAACTCTGGGGTTTGTGAAGTTCAAAAATGGAATGCTTTACTTGGTTAAGGATTGTAGACGTTCAGCGCGTGAGATCCCAGCTGGTCAGAGCGAAAAATCCTAGGGTTTTACTCCTTACCTGGGCGTTTATAGGGTTCACGAATTTGAGCTTTTCTTGGTAAATATTGTAAATGTTCAGCGTGAGAGCCCTCCTAGACAGTGGAAGACTCCAGGGTTTTCAAATGCGAAAGTTGGGGTGCTTAAGACTCCAAGACTGTAGGAGTTTTTGAGCTGGAAGGGATCGAAAGTCAGCGCGGTAGAGGAAATCTGATCAGTGGGAAAAATCTACAGTATTATGTGATTTTGAAATATGTGGTTTTGAAATTTCCAGATTGAGAATCTTCTGGGCTCAGGGGTATAGAAGGCAGCGCTTAAAGGGCACCAAGTAGCGGTGGTGTCAAGTTTCTCATTGGCGTTAGGGTGTCCGGGCTATAGGAGATGTTGCAATCAGAAGCTGTTTCGCCTAATAAAGAAGCCATCTGCTCAAAAGAGAATTGAAGTATTGAGGGCTTCAGGAACTTTGAAGATCGTGAACGAAGGAGACGAAGACACCGGTCAAGGCGTCCACTGGACGAGCTGGGGAGTTGCAAGTTTTCGAGGGCGCGGGGCCTCGACCAACTGGAAGATAGTTTAAACTTACCCGTCCCGGTCGGCCTGAATTTCTTTGCGACAGCAAGTCAGCCAACCACACGATTATAACTCAACGAACCTGCCTTCCGACAGGTTAACCCACCTTGCGGTTGCGCGCCCCCTCCGACATGACGGAGCACACGTCATCCCGCGTCTCGCAGTCCACGATGAGCAGGCCCTCCGCGTAGAACCCCTCCCGGTCGCTCCACTTGACCTCCACGCGCTGTTCGGGGCCCTCCCGCAACAGATCATTCACCTGTGCCAAATACGAATCTTCGTGAAAAGATCCACCTGCTATGATCTTTCGGGGAGCGTTCTTGCCATTTGACCTACACCCGCTGTTCGGGGCCCTCCCGCAACTGATCATTCCACTGTGCCGAACAAAGTGTTCAGAATATGACGCTCCCAACACAACTGCGGTGAAACCTTCTGTGGGGATTTCTCACTTGACCTCCACCCCTGCTCGGGGCCCTTTCGCACTAGATCGTTCACCTGGATAGTCAAGAATCAGAGTCAGGATAACCCTCCTTGAAAAGTGTAGGCCGTGATTGGTTACTGGTGCAATGTACTGGGCACTCGACCCTTACGCATGACGATTGTGAGTTCTTTTTCTGCCCTGTGCTAGAATTGGGACGGCACGGCACTTGACGGCTCCAGACCCGTCAGGCAAACGGCATTCCTCCAGCAGTTTCCTGACTGCAGTCGTGCGTCATGAGCAGAGTCAGCAGTCAGCAGTCTGTAGCAGTCTGCAGCAGCAGTTTTGAACTCACAGTCCCTACTTTCGAATTTGGCTCTTGAGAAAACGAACGTCGATGAAGTTCAGGAGACTTGGACGTGGCCAGTTTGGTGATCCAAGCAAAGCTACATTCCATCTATCACTTGGTGTTCGAAGTAGTCCACAACAGATCCTTCCACTGGGTAGCGGGTCCATATCAGAAACGTGAAGCAGGTGAACCGCAATGAGACTTATTCGGGTTGACGCTTGCCTTACTCCGTGGGAAGGAAAGCGATGAAATCTGCGGCTTTTTTCCTTTATCGTACTGAAATGCGAACGTTGCACTTTGAAAGTCCCGCTTCGTTTTAAGCTGACAGGAGCGGTCAGAATGCAGAGTTCAAGGTATCCTGGTTGCGAAAGTGAGTCAGGGACTCACGCAATCGGTGTCTTTATGTCAACAGATGCCACGTGGCAGTCGCTCACCTGCTCGTTGTAGATCTCCAGATAGGAGGCCTTCATGAGGAAGCCCTTTTGGCCGGACGCCCGAAAGCCGTCCAAACAATCGAAGAGGTAGTTCATGGAGCGGGAAATGAGGCCATCTTCCTCGTGCCCATCGTAGCTGATGCGCTCTACCACCTGGGGGGGGAAGGGTGCAAGCGAACGATTGGCTTCGGTTTACCCCCCTACTTATTCATTCCGCACAAGAATTTCCAGTTATTGATGTTGGGCTGCACTTCCTCGCGTAAATGAGCCGTGAGGGATTCGAATCGCTTGCTTCTTTCTCCAAACAAGAAGATTGTCAGTTTCGACTGCGCCGCTGCACGTACTTTGTAAGTGTCGTCTCAAACGCGAAACATGTGTCCCGCCAGAGACACCCAATGACCTGCCACACGTACAACCGAAGGAGCAGTGGGCTCAACGCCACTGGGGCACATGCGCGCAATCTTGCGCCGCACACAAGGGTTTTCAAATCAGGGTCAAATGCTTCTGGAACACAGTGTTGCCTTAAGTTCGATCCCCCACGCTATTCACCACGTGCTAGAGCCCTTTTTACCCAGAATGCTCGATTATAGACACCCAACTGGACCTCATTATTGCCACCACTTAAAGCGAAACAAAAAAGCAGGAACAGTAGAGAAGCGTACCTCCTCCTTGCCAGACATTGTATACGACTTGCCGCTCCCCGTCTGGCCGTATGCAAAAATGGTGCAGTTGTAGCCCTGAAGCGCGGAGTCGAGGAGCCTTCTCACACCGCACTGCTGGAACACGTCCTGCTGGCGTGCGCCCGGCCCCAGACAAGCGTTGAACTGAAGAGGTAGAGCAAGGAAAGAAGAAACGATTGATGTTGGAAGGTAGTGGTGGCGTCTTATAATAAAAGTCTGCGCAAACGGGAAACCGCTAGGGTCTCACCCTCAAGCTGCGAGCCAGATACACGCATGCACACCTCTGCTCCAGCTAGTGGGGCACCAGGTGTGATCGACGTGCTAGAATTACTCAGTCACTGTACAGAGTATAATTGGAATCTCACTTTGGGATCGACCCACATCTAGAATTGGTGCTTTCAATGATAGATTTCCGGCTTAGGTCAAAGTGGCTGCTGTCTTAAAAAGGTGTGGCTGCCGAAGACAGTAAGTGGAAGGATGGGATCTGGCCCCAGGTGCGGCATGTTTATCCAGTACCTCTACTTGAAATACAAGGACGGTATGATTCACCCTTTAATGTCAGTCTTTTGCGAGCTCTGTACTGTTCAAGCACTAATTACTACGGACGGAACACCAACCGTCCGAAGGGCAGGTCCTCTTGTACCCCTTGTATCAACGCCTTCGGGGCAAACCGCTGCCCTTGAACTTCTTCAGCTGTGGTAAAAGCGCACCTGAAAGTTCCTGATCATGTTGTGCCCCCCAAGCCCCGGTTCGACCACAGACATGGCCCGGCCATCCTCCCCCACGCGCACTGTATTCGTCTCGCCCTGCAAGATCTCGTCCTGGGAAAGTGGTCGCACCCGCACCGCCACCACGATGTTGTCGCTTGCCAGCCTTGCATCCTGGCCTTCTGAGAAGAGCTCCATTCTTATTGCTCAGATTGACCACTGGAGCTCTCGGCTTTTGGTGGTGATTTGATGCAAGCTAGGAGCTCAGTGATAGTGATTTATGACCGTTCTTGATGGCTCATGCCAAAATAGCGCCATTGGCAACAGGGCACTTAAAGCCATCTGGCTGATGCTGGTGAAATTGACGCATTGCGGAGCAGGATCCGAGCTATCTGCGTTGCCTGAAGATGGAGGTCACTTGTGTGGCCTTGTTGCTTGTCTGTGATGAACCTCTTTGCGGCCCCTTACAGCAGGCTACCGAGCTGCCACAAATTCAAGATAATTTTTCCAGAGCTGAGCTAGTTGTGTTTTGAGGTCCACCGTATTGTGCCCCGCTTCAAGGCAGCCAAATGCGCTTGTATAGCTCAATAAACAAAAACCACTTGAAAAGTGTACAGTTAGCTGCTTCGTTTCTGTGTCGCAGCTTCGTTTTGAATCTTCTCTGGCAGTCATGGGGAATTCGGTCCTGGCTACAAGCTCTCAACTGTAGAACCGACCAAGATTGATATGAGTATGAAATAAATCGTAAATCTGCGATGGTCTATGCAGGGTATCTGGATAGGACCATAGCTGGCCAGCAGTTCTTTATTGGTTAGTCGACGACGTGGTCGACATGTGTGCATTTCTTGCGTTCAAGAAGCTGGCAATCCACCTCTATATATCTGTCCTCGTGATCGGAATCAAAAAGGGAGCAAAAAGGACAACTACGCAGCTCTGACGGCGTTCCTACTGCGGTTCCACCTGCTCTAGCTCCAGCTCTACCTGCGCTTGTAGATTCAAGAATACGGCAAGTCAGATTCAGAGCCTGGGGGAAGAAGGAGCCTGTATCGAGCTGCGAGCTTTGTTAGGATACTGTCGTAGCCTAATAGGTAGGTAGGAATTCCTAGGGGAATTTGGTGAGCCCTGTCGATCAGAGTTTTGCAGCATGATGTTGTGCGCGCGTGACAACTGTAGCGAATTTTATGGAAGTCCAGCCGTCCATTAGACCTGAAAAGTGGATATTGCCGTTCATCCAGCGGTTGGCAATGCAGATGTTGGTGATCTTTGATTGGCTGCCACGATCGACCGTGAAAACGGAAGCTCCGGCTCTAGATCTGCTCTTGAGCTCTCTGCACAGGAGTCACGTACCGCTGAATGAATCCCAATCTGCCCAGCAAGCTGCAAGGAACCTTCTTGTGCGAGGAGGTGGAGCAGCCTGTCACCATCAAATGGAAGCGTTTTAAGGGCGTGCACCGTTGGAAAGGTGTTGGGAGGACTCAGGAGGGGATGCTCTTTGTATGCAAGGTCTTGAGGGCCTCATGTGTGGATACAGTGGTGTTTAAAGCTGCATTTGAGCTCAGACTGTTCGGCATTTGGTAAGCAGCAAGAGAGAGAACTGCCGCAGCTTGGCAGTGAGATTAGTCTGACAAAGCCTGTGCAGTCGCAGTGTACACTTACGCAGTATGGCGGCAGCAATCGGAGCCGTGTCCAAGACTCCCAGCGTATCTTGCTGCCATTCCATCCGTGCAACGCAGTCCTCTTTGTCACAAAGCAATGACGCAACATTCTCTGTCTCATATGACTTGGGACTTCCAAGACGCAAGTCTTACCTGTCAGGAGTGAACAGCAGAACCAGGTTCGGCCAGAGACGTGCTTCTGGCAGCATTCAGGTCAATGCACGGGAATCTCGGGTAAGGTGGCTGGCCTGACAAAAGCGGCTGAGGGTCTGATTAATCAAATGCCGCATGCACCGAGTTAGGTGCTTCCAACCTCATCTCCAGTGCATATATGAGTGCATCCTGGATGCACAGGAACTGCTACAGCAATGCTGACAGTCTGTCAACTCAGACCTTTAAGTGCCTCCTGCTCTTTAGCGAGGGGACAAAACTTGACATATGGTTGTACGGGACAGCGTTCACTGCGATATTCCGGACCTTAACGTGCTTACAATCTGTAGGCATTGGTAAGATAGCTGGCAGCTCATGGAATGGTATGCGGGAAGACTTTGTTATTTCAACTGGTGTTCCAATGCTTGACGAAAACACTATCTTCCTTCTAAAGCATTCAGTCTCTGCATTCCACCATAGTAGCCAACTACGCTTGATATTTTGCATGCGATAACACCAAATGCTTATGGTAGAACTGTTATTTCTGCTTCAATCCCTTGAATCCATCTTAGATGGCTGTACTGGAAGAAGACATGATGTCCATGCGGTCTTTGAGGAACCCCACAAATGATAGATGCCCCTTGTTTCCTTTGGCAGTAGATTCGTGCAGATTCACTGCTGGTGCATTCCATAATGCAAAAAGGGTTAGGCACAGGTTTCACCTTGTTGACGGTGTTCCGGATGAATTACCAACATTAAGTAGACGGAAAGTCACACCTTAATCCTTGCTTTACCTCAGTCCTTCAAGTTAGAGCTCTTTTTGTTGGCCAGGAAAAGCCACATTTGCCAAAGGACACCACAAACTGTGTGAAAATCTGTCCTCATTCTTCAAGTTAGCTGCACTCATTCGAGTTGAGCAAGTTGTTACCACGCAAAGCAGCCTAATGAATTTTCGAGGGCGACGGGCTAGGCAAGTGCCTTCGTCCACCATACAACAATACCATTCATTTCATGTGGTAGATGTTTCAGCAAAAGGTAGGCTTTGCAAACCAGGAAGTATTTGTCTTGCCTCAGCCAGCCCTTACTATGGATTCTGCAGGAGAGTGTGCGCTTCCAGGCAGTGCAGCGCTTCTCCCCTAACGGTCACATCCTTCTTGAGAGGACCGGCCATGGGTTCCAAGAGAGCACCCCCCCCTTTGCAACTGTGTCCGTTGTGGCAAGGCGGGCGGGCCTGCCGCCTCCAACTGCATCGGAGGGCCTGATAACCGAAGCGGGTAAGCACTCCCCCTCTCATGAACAGGGTAAGATGTCTTTGTCACTACACGATTTGACAAGATAGTAGCAGGAGTTTCCTTTGGCATAGGTGCGTTGAGGGGTCTGCACAGGTCTGCGCTTGCTGGCCCTGTCGCACAAGCTGGACTCTCCGATGAATTGTTGTGAATGACTGCCGGGCTTCAAGGGGTATGGACGGGCCACGTTATCAAATCGGCTTCATGAAGCGTTCAACAATGGTTGAGGTATCAAATAGTTACGGGTCTGCTTGAGCGTTCCTGGTCTACTGTGGCTTCCGTTTACGTTTCACTATGCATGGAGTCCACGATGATATCTGTCACAAGGGCTTCTGTATTGCTAGCTTAAAACCATCAAGGTGCTGTTTATTGACTCTGGCTGTAGTGTTTTGCGGGTACACTACTTGCACGCCCTACTGTCAGGCGCTGCAAATGTCACAGGTTCTCAGTGGGCTTCAAGTGCTACATTGGTCAGCAACAAAGGATGAATGTCAAGCGCCTGACACTCCTAACTACAAACTCTGCGGACCTACTTCTTGGTCTGATGTCAAGAACTTCAAATGCCTAACCTGCACGCTGCATCTATTCAGGCCCCGTCGGCATCCTCGAGCCCGAGGAGATGGAATTATGGCTCTCCGAGGTCGAGTGGGTGGATCCCCGTGTCGACATCGACCCCATCAGCATCTCCCGCGCGGCGCGCCTCCAGATGAAAGCCGACGCCGCGGCGTCCACCGAATCCGCTCCCCGCAGAGTCGTGACCAGTGTGCGGAAGGCCCTGCCCCCGAGTGTCGGCGGCTCTCCTCAGAGGTTCACCGCATTCGCCGCGGCTGTCCTGCTGGTTCTCGCGCTCCTGTGGGCCCTTTTCAGGAAGAAGGCGCCGCAGACTGGGGCGGTGAACAGTGCGTACGGGAACAGTCCGCCGGGGACAGGGCCCAGCGGCGTGGCGAAGAGCGGGGGGCAGTACTCGGCGCTGAAGAGCGCGAGGGCGGACGCGAGTTACAAAGTGAGGCAGGCGGGGAGCGTAGCAACGGATGCGAATGACGAGGCCAAGAAGAGGGCGCAGGAGTCGCTGGCGGACCTGCGGAAGAGAGTGGAGAACGTGAAGCGGGCAGACGACAAGTTTGCGCAGGTCAAGAAGGAGGCCAAGGAAGAACCAGACGCGGGGAAGAAGACGATCAAGGGCCTGGTCAAGGAGGCGGAGAAGCGGGTGGAAGGGAGCACCGGGCGGAATGGCACAGGGGACAGCCTGAAGTCTTCTGGGGGGGTCAAAACGCAGCCTGCAAACGGGGGGGCGCGGGAGGACGGGAGCTCCGGGCGCAGTGGCTCGGGGGACAGCCTCAAGGCCGGGGTCAGCAAGACGGTTATCAGCGGGGTTAAGGGTGCCCCGACTAAGGGGAACGAGCAGCTTGTCAAGAGCGCTGTGGGCGATCCTAAAGCCAAACTGAGCGCAAAACCTCTTCCTGAGAAGAACGAGACTCCGGCGCCGAGTACCGGGGGGGGATGGCAGTGGCCCAAGAAGCAGGAGACAGTCGCAAGCGGTGTCGAGGGTGCCGACCCTAAGAAACTGGAGAGCTTGGTCACGGAGTCGGTGGGCAACCCGAGCGAGACGGAACAGGGGGCAGCAGGGTCGAAGCCAGCAGCCGGCAGCGTCTCCCCCCTGAAAGCAAACTCTGCGGATGCAGTCCTGAGGGGCGTAACGCAGAAGCCAGAGAACGGCGCGAGCGTTACGGCGCCCAAGACGCCGCTCCAAGTGAACTCTGCCGACTCTGTCCTGTCAGGGGCACAGAAGTCGCCGAACTTTGGGAGGGGCTCGGGCGAGCTTTCGTCTGAGATTGAGGGGCTGTCCAAGCTTCTGAAGCAGGGAGAGAAGCCCCGGGCGGATCAGGCGTCGGGGAGGGGGCCCTCACGGGGAAGTGATGATGTGGCGAGTCTGATGTCTGAGCTCTCCAGCGTCATGCAAGCGAGCAAGAAGAGTGTGGCTGCCAGCCGCGAGGTAAGCGTGTCAGTCTTCCTTACATGTGCAATCTCAAACGTTCCTTCTGGAATACGTATTCCGACAATGAGGTCCCGGTGTGTTTACGGAGGATGTATTTGTAATGGAAATGGTAAACGTTTTGCCGTTTTTGCTTGAAGCTCCGTCGAATCCTTTGAGCCTCGACATCCCCAAGTTTCTGCATCAAAGCAGGATGGCTGAGCACCTTTAAGATGTGGAAAGCTGCGCACGTATTCGGGTCAAACAGATTCGAAGGACGTGGGTAGAGCTCCCAGAAACGGTACAGATTACAAAAAGCTCATGTTAGAAATGAGCAGTTGTCGTCTCATAAAAGCTTGAATGAAGTTCCGCTCTCTGCTCGTCCTAATGCATCGAACCAACATTATCTCCTCCATTGGCAGAGAAACGGCTCCAGCGCATCTGCTGACGTCATCTCCAGCACTCCCACCACCCCCCAGGACGGCCCCGGCGCCAAGATGCTCGCCGCGAGCAGCACCAAGAGTGACGCCGTCTCCAAAACCCCGGCGCAGCCGCTGGGGGGATCCCCGCAGATGCTGACCGCAAAGGCGGGCGGGTCTGACGCCATCAGCAAGACCCCCACGAAACCGGTCGCGAACGCTGCCGCGCAAGCGCCAAATGCGGCGCAGGCGACAAAACCGGTGCAAGCATCGAAGCCCGTGGAAACCTCGAAGCCCGCCGCAACCCCAAACCCCAGCGATAATAACAACTTCTTCAATGCCCTTCCCTGGATACGGGGCGGAGGTAACGCTGGCGTCCTTTCCCAGACACCGACCAAGCCGCTCGACGGGTCCGACACGCCGGCCATCCCTGCTGCTTCTGGGAGCGTTGACGTCACCAGTCGAACCCCGACGTCCTCCGCGACTGGTTCGGTTAACGCCAAACCCTCGTCGGTTAACCCTTCCCCAGCAACGACTCAGTCCTCGGGGGTTCTCTCCCAAACCCCGACCGGTTCCATTGGCAGCGGCCTGGGCCAGCAAACCGGGGGCAAAGCCTCTGACGTCAACTCTCAGACTCCGACGACCCCGGCAGAGTCCGCAAAGCCGCCCGAAGGCGATGCTAAAAGCGGACGACCTTTCAGCTGGTTCAGGGGCAAGAACGACCAACCGCCTGGCGCCTCGGTCCCCGCGGTTGCTGAGGAGCAGGTTACGCTTCCAGTGGTTAGGGAGACGCCTCTGCCTCCGGTTGTGAGCGAGAGGGCGCCTCTTTCGGTGGCCAGACCGACGCCGCCGCTGCCGGTTTTCAAGAGCTCGGCAGCGCCGCCGGCCGTGAGCGAGGCGACCAAGACTGCGGAAACTGGTGACTGCTTACTCAGTCATGTATGAGCTATCTGAGAGCTTGTTAACATGGAACTTGAACTCAGTTATCTCGTTGTGCACGAGTTAGGAAATCCCATGTTCCTCCATGTAATCCTAATGCTATGAGCAGGTTTGGCTTCACATTGGCGTCGATACAACTGTGGCTCGGGGCCGGGTCAATATCAATGACAAATATTCAGGACTACTTTTCATGAACTTGCGGTTCTTAATCCCCGCCAAAGAAGTCGTTCCCTGGGCGTTTATTCCGCTTGTTTGTACGTGCTTGAGTAGAATCCGCTTGTTTGAAAGGCTCCCCGTTTCAAGATGGCGTTTGACGACTTCTCTCTGGTCTGCTTCAAGCAGGATAGGAGATCAAGCTATCCCTAGTTGCTTCACATTGCTGAAGTACGGTAACAGGTAGCAGAGGGCACACAAGAGTCTGCGTCAGCAACTTGCGTCAACCTCTGCAGATCTAGGTTCTCTCTCCGTTGATACAGCCTTTAGAACGATTTTCACTTCGCGCAGCTTCTATAGAATCAGAAGGGACTCTCCTTTGTCTAACGAACAAAAATGTAGAGTCTCGATGTAATTTACAGGCATGGCGCGCATGTTTCTCCTGCAACTCTTTGGTTCTGAGCGTCGCATTGTGTGTTGCAGATGACGATGCGAAGCGTCGGAGCGACCTCAAGGAGGCGCAGGACATCCTGCGAAAGATCCTGGTGGAGGACCTGCCCCTGCCCAAGCCGAAAAAGGTGAGAAGTCTATCGATATCGATTCTATGTCGATATCGCTTCTATTTCCTTAAATCTATAAATAAGAATAGGGTATAGGGTTTCTAAATCGATGTCGGTACAATCCTAGGATAGATAGGATTTCTGTATATCGGTTCGATCCTGGGATCCTATCCTACATCCTATCTAGAAATCCTATATCGATATATAAGGTGAAAACTCTTTAATATCGGTTCCAATGTCCTGTTTGCGGAGCTTTGGACGCGTTTCTTCGATGCAAAGACGTTCGAATCGAGGCGGGCCTTTGCCCATGATTTTGGATCGTTCAGCTGGTCTCTGTGGATGAGTAAGAGCGCCCTCGCAACGGGTGTGACAGGAGCAGAGACCTTTCCTCCTGCTTGTCGATTTTTTTTTACCATGCGTGTGTCAGGTGCTTTGGATTCTGGCGCACCGAACGTTTCCGGGATTGTCCTGTCCACTAAATCAAGAAGCTGCTAAGGATGTACTGGAATTCCGCATTCCTCTTTGGTTCGGCAGCTAGTGGACAGAAGGCGAAACGCTGAGCTGCGGACCTGTGATGTCAGATGCCCCATATTTTGAGCCAACCGCAGACTTGCACATTTCTGGAGCATAAGATCTATCAAAACGTACTGAGATTGCGTTCCGCTCTGGGACCCCGTTCCGCTTTCCAACTTCCATTCCGTCCTCTTTCCGCAGGAGCGCGCGCAGCTCGTCGCCAAGATCCAGAACGTGCTGCCCGCTGTGGCCATGAGCGTCGGGGCCGCTGGAGCGTTTACTACTGGACGTAAGCTCGTGCCTTCGCAGTTGATACTTTCAGATTTACTGTTGGCTTTCACGTCCGCGTTTCTAAACCGCGAGATCTCTCTTGACCCGATCCAGTTCTCTTAGGTCGCTTGGAAAGTAAATTCTTGCAATATACCGGGCCGTCATAATTTTCGCTCAACAAGAGGGCGCTTGCCATAACTACTATACGAGTATCGGTCTGGAGCGAATAGAAAGTGCTGTTGGCATCCAATTCCCACTGCCGTCTCTCTGAAAATGCAAGCTGTACTTCACCGTCTATGAGTAAAAAGAAGATACCGACATGAATCTGGTCAATGTTCCAGAACCAGGGAACGTTCAAACTGACAGTACAATCTGCCCAGGAATGAGGGGGGTGTCATCCTTCGGAGACGCCTCAAAACCTCCGCACAGAACTCCCGTTCTAGACGGAATTCCTTTCCAACAGGTGCACACTCGACAAAAGAACCCACATCGTTACTGCAGACCTCTGTTAGCGATCTTGTTTTCGTTCCTGCAGTCGACGGCGCTTTGGAGACGGTCGGCTTCGCTGCGCTGGCGTCATTTAGTTATTCCACGCTGCTGTGGGCCAGCAATCGGTGAGTCCGCCTCCCCGCCCGTGTGTCAAAACGTCACGATGAACGCTGGTAGGATCCATTCACATTTCCAACCGCAAGAAACCATTGACAGATTTCGCAACTGGGGAGTTCAGGACCCCTGGCGCAGAAGTAGTTTGTTTATATCTATTGTCTATTGAGGCGCAAGTTTGGGATTCTTTTTCACGGATTAGAAGCCCTTGTGCCATTTTCGGTGCTTGTGCGTGGCGTTCTTTGCAGGACTGATCATTGGCAGCTTGTTTACGGCTCGTTTCGAGGCTTGCGCACGAGGATATCCAGTTCATGAGAAATCCGGACTCGAACACAATCTGCTCCGCTTGAATGTACAACGTCGAAACAGCGATGCGCACACCTCCAAGTTGCCAAAGTAGACGTGCTGATTCCAGGATCTTGATAAGCATTCGGTTAGGGTTCTAGAGAACAATAGGCCCAAGAAAGATGTCCCTGCTACAAGAGCGATCGCGTGTGCGATGCGTTCCTTTCAGGCTTGTGGATTCATACCAATAGTGCAAGTTGCGCTTTCTTGCAGGGAGGGCTTGAAGAAGGACATCGAGGAGATCAAGAGCAGCAAGGACCTAGCCGAGTTCCTGAAGGAGAAAGACATCACCCCCGAATTGTAAGGACGGCAGCAGGGGACCGAGGCGACCTTATAGAGGTGTCCAGATTTGAGGCGCAATTGTGTTGAGTTTCAATCATGAAGCTGGGTGGTCGAAGGCCACTTTTTGGGCTCGTTTTTGGTCCACTCGCATCGGCTGCATTTGCATGTTTTGCATGCGGCCGGTTGTGTAGGGGGGAGGAAGCTCGTGTAACGTGTGAGGCCACCGCATGACATTGTTTGGGCGTCATTTGTGTTGTTGTAACTAGGCTTAGGTCTCTGTACAATGTTAGAAATGTCCGGAACAGGTCCAGCTTGTCTGGTCTCCAAACACTTCGACGATTCAAAACGCGATCGTTTCCTCTAAAAGCTCACAAACGGCCAGGGAAGAGATACTATGATCAAACTTACCTGTCTCACGTGGCGGTGAAGACCTGATGCGCCAGGATAGCTGCACAGAATGCCGCCATCAAATGCATCTTCGGACTATACAAACTTCAGCTATAGTAAGCCTGGGTAGACTGTGGTGCTGATGTTTGGCAAGGAGTGACGAGCGCTTCATGCGCTTCTTCATATAAACGCCAGTTAATGTAACCCTAGATACAGCTGTAGTGACGTTCTACTTTAATAAGCACGCTCGGCTGTAGGTCCTCACACTCACGTGATATATATACCCGGACTCGGATGATGGACACCAAATGTAGTCAACTGAGTCGCATTGGAATATATAGAAATATACGTAGTGACTTCGATCATCTTTAAAGACGCAGCCGGCACAAGCATGCGCTAAGATCGGAAACAATTCGATGATGTTCAAGTACCATACGCACGCTCGCGGCCACAATCTGCATGCATGCCGCCAGCCAGGCAGGCTGGTCTTTATATCTGTCGGCATGGCCCGCCCCGCAAACAAGGCCCTCCAGACTGCATGGAAATGACGGTATAACGAACCGCATGATAGATGGAACGCTAGATCTAAGAGCAGAAATCCTCAAACTCATGGCAGGCCTCGAGTCATGGCCTACGGATTGCCGTTGAACAAACGCAACCCACTTTGCACGATCACGTACTAGGTTCAGATCACGTAATAAGTTAGGTGCATCGTCAATGCAATGTGGACGGCTGCACTTTCGTAGTAATTTCTACTTTATCAACGCCGGGCCTTGCAGCCGCCATGGCCGTGGAGCAGTCTCGGCAAAGCGAGGCCGGATCCGTTCATTTTGGCTTGCTAAGGCTTCATTGAACCATCATGAGGCAACTTCTGGCAAACAACCGTATTCTTGCATGCAAGCAGACACTTTGAACGGACGCGCGGATGAAGTTGTCACTCTGTCACAGTAAATCCTTTCGTTTCAAAAGTTTGCAGATATTATTGCATGTACAACTAGATTTTTCCATGCTGTGGGTTCCAGAACATCCTGAATTACATGCATGTATGATTCCAAACTTCCAAGGAAAACAAATTGATAGCGGACAGCGAAGCAATTCACATGATGTAATAAAGCAGTATTAGATCTGATCTGTGTCGGAGGCCTAGACGTTGTTCTCGTAGCGCATGCGATTGGGTACATGCATGTTACCAAGGTCAATCGACGAGTTGACTCATGGAACATGCGGACGTACTTCACAAAAAGTGGCCAAAATTTAATTTTGTCCTTGACCCTCGACAGGGCCTGTCATGACGGTCCCATCCCATCTCGCTTATCAGAGCACAACAAAATTGCTATGAACCGTCGCAGGCTTGACCCTTCAGCTTTCTTTTGTCTCCTACTTCTCGACTCCTTCCAGTTATTCCACTCTCCTTTTGACTTTATCAAGACTCCCTGGCTTCCATTTTCCATTCCACTCCGCGTTCCTCTCGTTCCGTCGCCACACCATTCCGTTACCGGTCAACGTCCCTACGCCCCGGCTTTGCGCTTCTTGTTACCGTTATTCTCCAGCAGTCCCATGGGCAGCTTTTCGGGCATCACACCGACCAGTCCCTCCATTGGGTGGTTCACCCAGTGGGTCAGGCACGCGCCGCCGTCCAGCACGATCTCCGTTCCGGTGGCGCCCTCCTGCGAACGGAACGAGCACGGTGTATCTTGAGTGATTGATATCTCCCCGAAAGCGGTACCAAATTTATTTGGAAAAGGATGCGATGTATAATAAAAGCTTTGCAATGGCCATTGCATTCCTGTTGCGACCTTCCAATCCACCCTGTCATGTCAGAAAGTACTACTTGCCTTCTCTGCAGATGCAGTCAGTAAAAACTCATCCACCCGTTGAGGAAGACTTTTCCGCTTTCAAGCAGGAAATCGGAGTTTTAACATGAAAACCTGCTTCCAGAGAAGCCAAAACGAGTATCCAACTCTCGGCGTTCCCGCTTCATCGGCAATGCAGATGTGCCGATCCCAGAAGTTTGAACGGACTCAAAGGGCACCCTGCAAAGAATCTTTCCAGAACTTGTTTTACGTGGGTGAAGTTACACGTACCTGTGTTGCGATGTAAAAGACGGCGGCGGCGATCTCCTGTGGGGTGCCCAAGCGCTTCAAGAGCGTCCCGTTGGCCGCCGTCTCCATAAGCGCCTTCTCCTTTGACTTGTCGTGTCCGGCCAACTGGGCCAAGACCTGCGAAGTCGCCGATAAAACTTTTAACTTCCGCCACTTCAACCTGAAGTACGTTCGCTTCTCTCAACCATTTTCCTCATGAGTGCAACGGCCCGATTAGGATCACGTAACAGCGAACCGGAGATTGGACAGGTGACTCGGTTGTTCGCTGGAAAGCTGGAACTGGACGGAACCCCGGAAACCGAAAGTCCGACGGAACCGGACGCCATCCAGGCGCGCTCACCGGGTCGAGCTCGAAGGGCCCGAAGAGGACCCTTCTTCTGGTTCAGCGGAACTGGCCGAAATGGAATTACTAACGGAACCAGACGGTGTTGAAATGCTCGACGGCCAGAACACACTCCACATTACGGCGCACCGAACTTAGTGGACACTGGATGAAATGATGTGACATCTGAATTTCGGGACTGGGCTCCCGCATTTGACGAAATCTCCGTTTTAACAAATTCGGGCGGAATCTGGTCGCGCTCATGGGTCACCTTCGAACGGCGAAGAGGGCCACGTTGCACCGGACTTTCTGGGACCTGACGGAAAGAAAAGGGGCGGAATTGGGCGGACCCTGAAACAGCAGGAAGCGTCGGAATCCGGGCACGCCAAACGGAACCCGGACTCACCGGGTCGCCCTCAAAGGGCCCGAAGAGGACCACATTGCAGCGGACTTTGGGCGCGAACTGGAGCGCGTGGTTCCTGGTCAGTGTGGCGACGCCGCACTTTGCGACGCCATAATCGAGAAGGGCGCCCGGCATCTTGAGCTTGCTGCCCAGTGCGCCGCCGACGTTCACGATGTTCCCAATCTGCAAATAAAAGCATGTTATAAGGTTTCAAAAAGGAGCTCAACGCAAATCTGCATAGATTAATGTTGTGGAGAACTTGGGGGCGAGCACAAGAGTCAGTTTCTCCTACTCTTTTCACGGGTGCCCACAGCTCTACCCGAAATAAGAATGTACGCATAAGCTCAACGAAGGGAAGAGATGTTGATGGGGAAACATTTCAGACAGACTGCTCCATGCTTTGGCTTAAAGATGTCTACAACGGAGGGACGGAAAGTCGGAAAAACGTTCACGATGTTGCCAGTCTGTGAAGGGATGCGAACATTGGTTTGATGTCGCAAAGTATCAGGCATGAGCGGCACTATGAGAGACGATTACGAGCCAGAATGCAAAGTTTGATCCGCTTCGAGCGTTTTTGATCGAGCGATAGAAACGTGAACGATCGAGCGCTGGAACAATTTTCGATTTTCTGGCAATTCACAAAACAATCTCCCCACCATATCAGGCTCAGGCGTTGGCGTGTTGAGATGACGTAGCAAAAGCAACGAGTTTACGTTTGATCAAGGGCATGACAGCTCTGGAAGGCAAATAACGCAGCATTGGAAAAGTCATACAAGGGCAAGACCGGAGTTACAGATGCATTCTGAACAAGGACGCACAGCCTTACCTCCGACTTTGCTAGCTCGGGCGCAAGCAGTTCTGAGCACATCTGTGCGGAGATCAAGTTCTGCTGCGCGATCTTGGGCATCTCAGAGTACCCCATGCCCTGTGAGATGCCGCCCGCGGCATTCACCTGTACATATTTGCACGCAATTCTGTGGGGACATGTGCACAAGATTATTCAGGAATCATATCCCTAGTCTGCGTACTGCGCTCTTGTTGTTCTAACAGTAAATTTCAAGCCATTCGTCAATCCAGATGGGTTTGAACGCGAAAACAATACTTGCACAAGCATGACGTTCACCCAATTTATAAAGAGAAAGGAATCGAGCACCTCGTTGAGCTTCTTGTATGCAAGCCAAATGATCCGCTCAATACAGCACATAACGTTTTCGACTAGCATAGGCAACGAAACATAGTTGAAGCTTGCACTCCAAAATTTTTAAGCGGTTACTCAAAAAGAATTTGAAGGAAAGGACATTTTACCAGGACGTCGATCTGACCGCCGAGCACTTCGAGAGCCTGCTTGCAGCCGTCCTTGGTATCCTCCAGGTCCATGTAGTCTGCAAAGCAGAATGAAAAGTTCTTACTTTCAAAATTGGAAGGCAAAATTTCTCGTTGGAAGCCCCCAGAACCTGTGAACCACGAAGCTGGTTGATAAGCAAGAATAAGGCCCTCCTTCACAGTGCAGTTCTCTTTCTTACTGTCGAGTTGACCCTAAAACGCTCAGGTAAAGCCATGTTCTCGATCACTCATGCCAGTACATTTCCGCTATCTGACCAAGTTCCAAGCCAACCAGCCCAATCGCACCCGGCATTCATAAGCTCAATCTAACGAAACTTCACACTGACCTTTGATGATCACATCGCACGAGGCCTCCTCTGTACCGATGGCGCAAACTTTCCCTCCCGCCAAGCGGAACTCCTCAGCAATCGCCTGGCCCAGCAGGGAGTCGCCACCCACTACAGCGACCTGCACGATCCATGAAGGCAAAGAGTCCAGACTCCATTATAATATGCTCATACTTTTTCCACCACGTTTCCTTTCTCCCCCAAGTAGCCCCGTTTTGACAAGCTTCTACTTGTGGCAAAAGCTTGGGCTTTTGTCAAAACAGAATTCCTTATACACCATTCGGAACAATATCTACACTGGACGAAAGCTAGACACCCTGCCAGAAGCACTCGGAAACCGTCCTTGTTAATTGCTGGGTAAGCACACTGAGTACCAAAGTTCTTGTCTGTTGGAAGAAGATTCCATGAACTTAGGTTGGAAATGTATATGGGCGATGGTTGCTGGCAAGCTGGTAGAAACGGAGGAGCCTCAAGCAGAACACTCTCTCCACCTTTGCACCACAACTTATATTTACAAGCTTATCAGATTTGACCTCCTTTAGAAATCTCCAGAGTACTTCAGACACACTTGACAAAATTGCAACAGCCCTTTGGGCAGGATCTTATGCCGGTAAGAGGAGCCCAAAGCTCATCTTTTGAGTTCACTGTCAAAGAAGAGCTTTCCTTTCCGATATCGGAAGTGCATGCAACTCAAGGACTGGCATGCTCAACCATCTGAGATAGCTTCCGCCTACCACATTTCTGTGTGTCCAACATCCCAAGCTTCACTGTCTTCGCCCCTTTGGACACTCAACATAAAACCATGCAGCCTAGCTAAGCTCAGAAGTTCATGCTATTTCATTGCAGCAGAGACTAGCTGAGGAAGATACTGATCCACATTTTCCTACAAACAGTCTGCTCAAGGGCCGAGCATGGTCGTTCAGCACGGCTTGGAAATCATGTTTCAGGCCAGTCGCAATCTAGAAGCACACGCGAATGGTGCATGCATGCTTGCATCTCTTGAGCCTACCTTCTTCTCCTTGAAGTTCTCCCTGGACGCAATGCTTCCGACTGGTTCGGGCGCCATTATGGACAAACTTTTTGAATCAAACAACGAGGATCGCTTCGCTGCTGCAAAGTCTTAACCTTCAGCTCTAGGTTCCAAAGATGAGCTTCGTCTCACTTCGTTGCGCAACTCTTCGTCTTAGAGCTGGCGGCTTCAAGATTACTGGTCTGACAATTAGCACTCCGCCTGATTCCAGACACTAGCTCTGCAACTCGCAACTACCGTAACTCTAGCTCGTATAGTAGGTAGCTTTGCCTCGTGAATCGTGACAATTCGTCATGCATGGGAATCAAGTCGGTGACAAGGTGGGGCTAAAGCATCCACGGATGGAGCTGGCGTCAGGAATTCAGCGCGCCTTCTCTTCTGTGCTCCGCTCTCCAAAACGTACGCATGCAGACCAGGGATCGTCATCACTCCGCCTTCCAAACCGGGCACAATTCTCTGGGAATTTCCTGTAGGGCGGTTGGCACCGGCTGAAAAATCCTCGGCCAATCATTGCCCGAGCACCATGCATGCAAATCTATTTAATGCGGAGGCCTACTTGTGACGTCACTTTATCCACTTTGACGGTCTTCTAAAGGTTTCGATTGGTCCAATCGTTCTGATGACGTCAAACTTTTGACCATTTTGCATACGACGCAAAAAGTAGCCCCGGGCGCGCAAAACTTCCGCGCATAAGCTGAGCTTGGTGCATGGCGGCCAAGTGACCCCGATTGGCAAGTTGAGCGTTTGCTTTGTCAGGCCTGACTTGACAGACACGTAAAGGTCATGCAGACCTCTGACACCAGAATGCAGGGCTTCCCTGCGATAATCGCCATGATGCAACAGACTTCAAGCGGCGACACACCGACGTGACTTGAACATGATGCTGCAGAGTGCCGACAGGAAAAGGTGACAGCTTTTGATCAGCGGAAGCGCTAAGTGGAAGACGATCTCTCTCCCTTGAGGCAAACTGAGCTTAGTCTAGTAGGTTGACAAAGTCAGTTTTGGATCAATTACTGAGGTGCTTACGGTTTCGCGGCAGCTGAAATTTGCCTCGCTGAAGTTTGCGCTTGCTTGCAATCGAGTAAGATCAGAAGAACGATTTTTTTGAAGGGTTTCAAAGCCAACGACGTTACAATGGCCGCTACCAGCCTCGCAGGGATCCTGAAGGACAAGCATGTAAGGATGCTTATGGCACTCGCGGGCTGGCATTGAGGGAAAGGGCTGCCTTTTGGCTACTGCTCGGGTTTTCAGCCTTAGCTGGCTTTGAGTCGAGTGCATGCTTCATTTTAGCATCTTAAGAGTTCCTCCTCTACACTTGGGAGGGCAGCTCGTGTATAAAGCTTGGTGGTTTTCTTGGGATTTGAGCAAATGAAAGATAAGATCGGAGGAAGCTGTTTGAACAATGCATGCATGCAAGAAGAGTGCGTCTTCCAGTTAGAGGCGGTTGTTGAAACGTCTCTTTTATTCAGCTAGCCTTGGGTGGGAACGTGTCCATTATTGCACAATTCTCACTCCTCAGAAAGACGAGCTGGCTGGGCACACTCACTAGAGAGGCTGACTTCACTTTAGCCAATGCAGCGCATCCGTGCTGATAGTGGGCTGGGGCCTTGGGTTTGTTAGATCACAAGACGTTAAACAGATTGACTGAATCAGAGGGTTCCTTGGGATTCGTTCAGACACTGGTGCAGGGCAAGCATGTGGCAACTCGCGGTCCCAAAGGAAGTGTCTGAACTAGGTCTTGTTTAGGTCTTGGTAAAGTGTTATGCACATTCAATCAGCCTTCTGCTTCCTGCTTTGTTTCATTGGCTGATTGAGTGGTCCCAGGACTGTTCTGCGACTGTCATGTAGACCAATCGAAAGCTTGCACTTTTTTTTATGGAATTGCCATCAGTAATTCGTTTCGTTATTTAGCTGTCATGAGCAGCCCACGGCTGCCGGATATAGCTTGAAGTGCTCAACCCAGAGCCTCTTTGCTTCAGGTCATCCTTACCGGATCAGACTCCCCGCTGGGCCAAGCGATTGGTCGTGAGTTCAGCGCTCATGGAGCAAAGTGCTGCGGGATTGGCAGGGACTCCAAGGGAGCCCACGTGACCATTAAAGGTAGGCTTGCATCTGGCCCTGTTACCTTTCACAACAGTTTTAAGTATTGGAGATCCTCTGATTTCTGTCTTCTAATTCGAAGCTCTTTACAGTGGACGGCCAAGCTTTTCCAGGATCATAAAGGGGAATTGTTTGCTTTCAGCACGATGTCAATGAATTTTTCGATTTGATCTTTGAGGAGCGCTAGAATGGTTGCCTGTGGCAGATGTAGTCGATTGTCGCTGCAAACAAGCTGTGGGTAACGAGGGTTCTTGTGGGCTGCAGACTACACCGATCTGCAGGGGACCCAGAAAGCGGTGCAGGAGGCGCTGCAGAAACTGGGCGGCAAGGTCGACATCCTCGTAAGTTGGAAATCTGTCCTGACATTACCACGAGTTGAGGTTCTGGATCCCGGAGCTGGCCCTCAACTCTACTAACGAGGGGTTTTTGAGTTTCGAGCCCCAGAAGGCCGAGACATTTTGACGTCGTAGATTTTGCAGCTCATCTCATCATGCACTTTGTTTCCTTTTCTGCTTCTGACGCAGCGTGTTTCCGGTGTCCCAGCGCTTTCTGAGCGTTTCTACTCCATCTGATAAGTTTGAGCTTCGAAGGGTGGATTCGTGAAAACACCACTTTGAAGCGGGTAGGAAGCGACTGCAATGTGAGGTAGTCGATTTGTTGAATAAAGGTCCGAATGGTCGATCATTTGAACACTTCAGAACAGCCTTCTTTGAACAACCTCCATCTGATGCAAGTCGAGCTTAAGGGGCGTTTAAGCTGGCCGAATAAATTCCAGACAGCATGCAACGGAAGACGAGAAGCTTTTGAATTCTTCTTTGAATTCTTGGGAAAAAGCCATAATTATGCATTTTAATTATGCATTTTGTGGTCTATCAAAGAGCATGCTCTCCCTAGAGTACTGACTGATGTGACTCGGAAGCTGAACCACTGTCCTCAACGGCGAAGCAAGAAAAGCTTTTTGAGCAGGTTCAACGTCGTCTTTTTATCGCTTGTCCAATTTTGATCTCAGTCTCCGATTCAAATTTCGCAGGTGGACTTTGTGGGTGGTCTCGAGAAGAGCCTTCAGAGACGCAAGGACGCAAATCGACGACGAGCAAATCGTCGACGTTTATTCAAACACTGACCGGATTTTCGAAATCAAAACTTGCAGGTGAACTGCGCGGGTGGTCTCGAGAAGAACATGATCGGCTACGACACTATGTCCAAGGTTCTGGAAAGCAACGTGGTTTCCGCCCAGATGTGCTCCGAGGAGCTCTACCCTGAGCTCAAGAAGTCCGAGGTAAACTATCTGACCTCGTTATTGCTGTTTCGTACGGGTTGCTAAAAGGGTAAACTCTGTTGGTTTTTTTTTCAGTCTCTCGTTCCTCGTAACTGGTGTCATATCATTCCGCATAATAAAGCGCGAAGTCGAGTTGCTTCCATACGTCTTGCTCTCTTTTGCATTCAAAAGACAAGGACGGTCGAATTGATTGAAACGGCGATCAGAGCGACTCCGTTTGGCAGCTCTGCAGAGGACAGATTGGCTTATTCTCGGGAAAGGGTTCTAAAGACTTTCTTTGAAAGCCGCGCGCGTCAATCCGTTATGCGATGGGTTCGTACCACTTGATCCGCTTGTCTGTTGTTGCAAGCGTGTGCTTTAGAAAAATACCGCCTTTGAAATTTAGAAAAATACCGCCAGAAGCGAGCGTCAGGAAACGTATGCCTGTGAGCGGCTTGCTTATCTACGTGGATTGCGGAGGCATATTTTTAAGTACTAGATTTTAAAACCTGGTAGCGAAGATAAAGATGTTTGCAAATAGGCAGCAGTGTGTGCGGGTGTGGTGGGTAATCGTGAGGCCTTAGAGTTGCCTTCGATTTCACATTCTGCTGAGGTGTATGCTCGTGAAATCCAATTTTGATTTGGACTTTGGACTCCAGAACCCTTGCCCATGTCGACTACCCCGTCAATTTGTAATATGACGGTTTTCTCAGCCTGCTTCTGACGTCAAGAAGCTTTCCCAAGTTGTCAACGCATTCATTACACAAGTCGGGTCTGAAACCTTCAGCCTTGGCAGGCTAGCGGCATCATGAGTGTCCCATGTGCGGTCGGCAGCCTTTCCAATGCCGAGAGACTTTTTGTGGGACTATCTGGACGGATGTTTCTCAGATATTCTAAAATCCGTCCAGATATTCTAAAGAGTCCATCTGAGTGTACACTTAAAAATTTTCTCCGCACCCAATTCCCCCTCAAACACTCCCAAAAACCATTGGCAGGCTGGCGGCATCATTCAACGTCGCGCGCGCGGTCGGCAGCCTGATCCCGATGCCGAGAGGCTTCCTTTGAGTTTTCGAGTTCATTTTAGCAAAGCCAACCTTTTCTTAAATGAAAGCTGTTCAGCAAGAAGTTTGCACTTACATTCCACACTCCGGCAGGCGGGCGGCATTATTAACGTGGCGTGCGCGGTCGGCAGCCTGATCCCGATGCCGGGCGACCTGATGAACTACGGCGTGGCCAAGGCGGGCGTCATGGAGCTGACCAAGGGCCACGCGCTCCAGTTCGCGCCGCACGTCCGCGTCAACGCCGTCTGCCCGGGGCTTTTCGAGGGCGACGAGGTCGGTTTTTCAGTAACCGCTTCTTTGTTCTGGATTCATATAGATTCTTTCTTTTTCCTTAACTCTTGTCCTTCCTCCTTTTTCCGTTCCTAAGGCCACCTCTTTTATGAGTTCCAAAACCATTGCATAAGTTCGCGCCCCACGTCCGTGTCAACGCCGTCTGCCCGGGGCTTTTCGAGGGCGACGAGGTCGGGTTATCATTAACCAATTCTTTGTTACATTTTGGGTTTGCGTTTTAAGTTCGTCTGCACTTCGCTTCGCGCCGCACGTCCGCATCAACGTCCTCTTTGAGGGCGAAGAGCAGATCATGCATTTTTTTTTTTTGTTAAGTAGGAATCTGTGGGATCTGGGTTTCATATCATGTCTTCCCCTCTCGATTCAGCAGATTTTTGTTAACGCCGTTTGACCTGGGCTCTTCGAGGACGACGAGGTCGGGCTCTCAGTACCCAAGTTTTTTTTTTGTGTGTATTTGGGTTTGCGTTTCAAGTGTTGTGCACTCCAATTCGCGCGCCGCACCGTTCGTGACGTCAACGCCGTCTGCCCGGGGCTCTTCGAGGGCGACGAGGTGCGAAAAGCACATTCTACTAACTTTACGTTACAGCAGTAGGATTTCGGGGAGTCTGGATTTAAATCATGTCTTTCCTTTCCGTTTCAGCAAATTCTGTGAACGCCGCCTGCTGAGGCTTGAGGGCGACGAGGTCCGTTATCAGAAACCGCGTTCCTGTATTTTGGGGTTTGTTCTTTATGTTTCTGTCTAGTCCTCAAAGTGTCCTCTTGGTTCTTGAATTTTGCATCAAACTTGGGTTTCGGAGCGGTGTATGTCGGAATTCTTCAAGGGCGATGAGGTCCGGTTTTGGGTTGCTTTTATAGGGTACTTGCTGCCTTCGAATTGGGAGAGGATTGAATTTTTGGGTCGGGGCTTTCGAGGGCGACAAGCTGTGGAAACATTCTCAGGTTTCGTTTTTCGATTTGAAGTTTTCCGGTTCGTTTTACCTTGCTAGGCTTCTAGGTTTTGGCAGCGGAGGAGGCGCGTCTGCGCTGGCCCAAGAAAGGAGGATTAGTGGACCGACTTCCGTAAAAAATTTTGAGTAAGTTTTGAAAATTTCGTCGGCGTCTGTTCCCAGATAATGACTGTCCTGGCTGGCGGCAACAAGAACAAGGAGAAGGAAATGATGGAGCGCGCAGCCAAAGCGATGCCCCTGGGACGGCTCGGGAAGCCGGAGGGCATCGCGGCCGCGATCCTTTATCTCGCGCACCAGGCAAGTCTGCGGAGAGTTCTCGCTCCGCCTCATCGACTTTTGCGGAAACGCCATCAAGAGCTTGTTCTTCGTCGTTTGTCGTTTGTCGTTGCTTACACAGGCTGATGTTAGTTCTTTCAAGTCGGAGCGTAAAGTACCCGTTTTAGAAAGCACTTCATTGGATCGTGGTCAAGTATTGCATTCTCGCCACGTATCATACATCTGCGAAGACTTGACTGTTTGTGACACGTTTTCATTACGCCATCACGTTACGGAAGCGTTTGCTATATAGTTTTTCTGGAACAGCAGGAGACGGGCTATTGGACCTTCTCCTCAGCTGACGGTGAACTGCTTAGCTTTCGTTACCTTCTTCCAATTAATTGTGTGAAGTCGCTTTCTTCAGCGTCCACGTTCCAAAGTGCTTCTTTCTACGATTGAGGCTCAGGAAGTTTGGCTGCTGACTAGGTTTCCTACCAGACTCGAGTCTCAGGTTAATAAACACGTAACCAGTATGTCATTCTGCCCCATAGCTGGTCGCCTACTTCTAAATACTGGGAGCGTATTCTTGATTAGCTCATACCCATCCATAGTTAACGGCCAAAGTTTCGTGTGCAGTCGTACGGAACTGGCCAATGCTTGGTCCTGGACAGCGGCGCATCTCTCACCAACTGGCTCAACCACCCGACACTCGGGCTTGGGAAGGAGCTGTTCACGGCCGGGGAGAAGAAGCTGAAGGTCTGAATTGATAGAGGGTTCTGAACTAGGTCGGGAACGTAGTCACCCAATTTTGGAAGAACGACGATGCTTTTAAGAAAGCAGAGAAACTGGACTGTAGTGATCACGAATATGAAGTGGATCAGTTTGGATAGACTGAACTGGCGTGTCGATTTCGGGACATGCATAGTAATTGTGAGTGAAAGTGGCGTTTCAACAAGATCAAGCTCGCACGCCAAATGATCATGTTGGACGTATCATATTCGCCCTACTCTTATGCTTCATTTCATCTAGCTGATTTTATAATATCTTTTATGTCCCTCACTACCTTTGTTTGCATGGGTCAGGTAATCTCATTACCGGGTCTTATTACCGTATGTTGTTACGTGACTGATATCTCGATCCAGCGCATACTTAAAGGAATGATCGAGTCTACGATCCGGTTTTGCACCGTAGAGAAATGGTTTGTTTAAGCTAGTCACGCGTGGCCAATGTATTGCCGACAAGATGCAAGAATGTCAGTTGGAGCCGCCAGTGTTATGTAGACTGAAATAGCAGATCTGCTTGCATGCTTAGTAGGGCGACGCGCGGCAAGCACGATTGATTACGTTGCTATAGACCGACATCATTAGTGAATTAACCACATTATGGAGTAAATCGCCAAGCTACAATATGCAGCAACATATAGAAGACAATGCCGAACAGAAGTACTGCTATGCATGCTAGAGCGCGGCAGACCGATCTGCCGCTGAGACTTAAGCTGGGATTAAGGAGTGCATCATGTCATATGGCCGTTTACGAAGGCCGTTGAATATATTCTGATTAGTTTGAGTTGGACGAATTTCAGCGTCTGCTGGACCAATTTAACGTCGTTGAATGCAAGCACTGCACATATTATCTTAGACAGGAGCTCGACGGAACCATCGAGTTCAATTGCCATGATGATCGATGACGATACTAAGTTTGGCCTTTGTGGTCATGAGTCATGACAACGTAGGTAATTGACACTCTAAAAGTGGGTCACGGGAGCCTGTTGGGCGAGAGAATAGTGAGGCCCAGGCTTGCATACAGTGACTTGCACGTAAAATCTGAAGATTGCGCACCAATATAAAATCCGACCTCACGAGCGTCCAGACGAGACATGAGCCTTGTACGGTGCACTTATTTAAAGAACTACCTCTGGTGACATACACGAACGCGTGGCCGAGGGTCGAAAAGTAGGACTCCTTCAAAGAGGGCGTCAGACTTCAAGGTACACTCGTGCATCTGAGTCCGAGGGGAAATTTCATCGGATGGCTCAGATTCCATCTCAAAAAGTGCCTTCGGCGACCCAAATGGCTATGTTGCGAGGCAATTATTTGGTCGCTTGAGGTAGGACCGGTCCTCCGACGCCCTCTTTAAAGACTGCTGTGTGGTATCTAACGTATGACCCTGGTTCAGCTCTAGATGTCACATGCTGGTAGAATCCGACCTGATCTAATAGGGCTCTCGGCGCCCTTAACGCAAGATTCCGGTCCCTCATCTCCGTCAAAGCCCCCCGCTTTGGGCGAACAGGAGACGAGCTCCCCATGCAAATTCTCTCTCTTTCTGCCACTTAATGTATCTATGCTACTTCCAACACAAAAGCATTAGACTTCGCTTCCAGCAACTTGAAACGGGAAGCTTTCCGCCGGAACAACTGCCCTACTTCGACATCTGCCTGCCGGCTAGAGCGAGAGCTTCCCGGTCATTGCCCAACAACCTCAACGCGGTCCCCGCAATCTGGCCGGCCGTCAGTCCCGCTTGTTCCAACTGGGCGGCCGGGGATCCGTGGTCGATGTAAATGTCGGGCAGAATCATTTGACGAATCTGTACGAGATGCAAGAAAATTCAATACGTAAACTTCTTGAGATCTTCATAAACTTCTTGACAAAAAGAACCGGGTTTCTCGCTCGAGACCTGATACCAATGACATTGGCCGCTTCAATGACATACATAAACGAATTAATTCGTAACTCCATCAAGGTCCAGGAACTCTCGTCAGCATGTTTGAGGCTCCTTCCAGATAGATACTTTGCAGTCAGAACCAATCTCAACTAGCCTTTCAGACAGAGCACAATTACACGTGGCCAGTGACTGTCCCCATCGAGTTGAAGGGCTCCTGATTGCCAAGGCCCCCACCTTTTTTGTTGTCCAAAGTCGCGTTTGCGCAATCCGCATTGTGAGGTTCTATACGGCAGAGAGGAAGCATATAGATCGACAAAGAAACAGTAAAGGGAGGTGGGCAAAACATGCAAGGTGGGTAAAATTCCAAGGTGACCAAAACTTTGACCAAAACTCTCACCTTCAGTTTGCCCGAGTCGAGCAGTCCGTCCATTTGCATGAAGAAGGTGACGTGGCTCCCAAAGCCGCCGATGGAGCCCTCCTCAACGGTGATCAGTACACGGTGCTCGCGCGCCAGCCGCCGGATCAGCTCTTGGTCGAGCGGCTTGCAGAACCTGCGGAGGAGCCGTTGTGTTATAGCATGCAGAAACGTCCTTTCGACGTCTAAAGGTCAATAATGATGAAAGGCAAAATCTGCTTCTGAAATTTGCCAAGGGTTTGAGGACTTCAGCTTCCGGTCGAGCGGCTTGCAAAACCTGCGAACAAGAAGCAAAATGTTCCAATGGTCCCGGCTTTCACCGTTTTCCCACAGCTCCTGAACTCGATATGCGGGGCGAGAAACTTCACTGTTCTCTGCACGTTTCCACTGTTCTCTGCACGGAAACGGGCAGTGAATCCGCCGTCGACAATCCCTCCACTCGGAAGTGTAGCTACCTAGCCCTTGTGAGCTAGGAATGCTAGGGCGAGAAAGCCTTTGCTTGGCGTCCACACCCCGTCCACCTCTTGCTAACGAACGAGGCACTCAGTAAGGGCGACACAGGCCAGCGGGCGACACAGGCCAGCGGGCGACACAGGCCAGCGGTGACTCTGCATCCTTTTCAGGCCACAAAACAACGAAGAAATTTTGCCCGAATCCTTGCGGATACCAAACCTTCACCCCGGGTATGCTACACACACCCAGGTCTGAAAAGTAGGTCAGCGGCCATTGGACGATTGTGGGCGGTCAATTGTTGGGCCACAAACGCGACGTCCAAATCTCATGGATGTACACAAAAGCCTGGATTTTGAAATAACAATCCCATACATTCACAGCTCAAACTCTCAGTTTGCCACCGTCAAGGGGCCAGGCACCCCGCTCTTGGACAGCAGGTCTGCTGCCACCAACCAATTTTGGGCGATGGTTCCTTGCGTCAGCATCGCTACGTTCAGACTTGCCAATACTGTCGTAAAAGCCCAGGAAGCGTAAACTGAGATAGATAAAGGTAAGCTGCGGCCCCCGTCGTGTCTCACCTTGCGTCTGCCACGGTCGCAGATACCCCACTATCGGACAGCAGGTCAGAGGCCGCCAGGCAGTTTTGGGCGATGGTTCCGTACGCCAAGAACGCAACATCGGTCCCCTCGCGCAGGATGCGCCCCTTCCCAATGGGTAGTACCATGCCCTTGTTGTTGGCGGGGAGGGGTACGCCGATGCCGTTCCCACGGGGGTACCGGAAGCAACTGGGCTGGTCGTCAATTGCGGCGGCAGTGGCCACCTGGAAGGGTTTTTTACTGGGTTTATTATTTGTTCGAGTGGCTTAGGTGTGGTTACGAGTAGACGACGAGATCGTGTTTGATTGGAAGCAACTGGGCTGGTCATCAATCGCAGCGGCAGTGGCCACCTGCAATATTTCAAGTGAAGAAGCAATGTCTCTTCGTGAAAGTTAGTCTTTGTTGGGATCGACTACAACGTGGAAACGTGTGGGTGGTCGAGATCAAGTTTGTCACAGAACTCGGACTTTTCTCACACAAGTGAAGGTCTGGATACGTGTCTACGTGTCTACAACGACTTCACGTCCTACTGGAAGCAGCTGGGCTGGTCGTCAAATCCCAGCAACATAGCCACCTGGGAATCTGTCTCCTAGCTTGTTGAGTTGGTTTGTCTACGCGCAAAAGGGACCCTGTACGAATGGATTTAAGCGACGATACGTGTGTTACGTGTGTTGAGACGGGATAAGATAAAAGACAAAGAACAGAAACCGGTGCTGCTCCTTTAAAAAATACAGTTGAGATCGGCAAAAAGACCCTGCTGCTGCTGGGAAATAGAATCATTAGAAGGAGCTCCTGCTGTCGGAAGGGCACATCGAGGCTGCTTCAGCAGAAGAGTCGGAACCAAAGAAGGCCTCTGAGGCAACAGAAGGAAAAGTAGGTACCTCAGACAGTAAGGAACAGATATCTGAAACAAGTCCTACGAAAGTTGGCCTTGGAAGGCTCTTGCTTACCATGTGGAAAAGTTCGGCTTCATCAGAGGGGGCCATGACGATCATGTGGGGCAGCGTCGCCCTGCACTCGGAAAAATGAGAGGTCAGCGGAAAATCTTATAATGCTCTGAAGAGTATCTCAATATCCCCTTGTTAGAAGTTACGAACCGGGCGCTGGACATGAATTAGTACAAGGAGGTCTCGACACGGCTGGCATGTCAGCTCTGGATTCGTCAGTGCTTAACACAAGATGGTTCCTCGCTTCAACAAAACTGGAAAACTCAACACTGAGCACCTGTAGATAAACTCTCACCCACTATTTTTGAAGCTCGATGGCATTCCAAACGGTAGCTGAAAGATTTTGTGCAAGAAGGAACATCGACTGCTCACATGTACGTAACGTCAAAGGCGCCCGCGTGCGTCGGGCCATCGGCCCCCACGAGGCCTGCCCTGTCCATTGCAAAGCGGACTGGCAACTTCTGGAGCGAGACGTCGTGGCAGACCTGCAAAGGGACGGGAAGAACATCGGATTACCGAAAACGCCTGAGGACGGTTCACAGAAGAGGAAAGGGCGCTGGGAATTGGAGGCTCTGTCCCTCGAAGGGATTGTCAACATGTGAAGTCAACACGGGTAAGCAGCAGCGGAAAAGCCGCAAAAATGGGAAACGGAGACAGGAGGCTTTTAGGAAGGCGAAATTTCGAAGTGGCTTCAAGAGCTGCAAAGGGCTTAGAATATTGAGTGTGTCCAGAGGTGTCGCTATCGCACTGGCAAATCAACCTCGAACAAAGTACCACAACCCAAATTTGCAAGTGCAGATCGAGTACCTTCTGCAGCACGGTGAAGGCCTCTGCGGCACCCATCCCTGCACTGTGAGCCACTGTTTTCGCAGTCGAGAGACGATGTAGGTAAAGAGGATAGAGTCGATTCCTCACCTGATCATACCCCCTTTGCAGGAACGTCGAGTAGATGGCGCAGAAGGGCTTAAGGCCCTCGGTAGCCAGCCCCGCGGCAAATGTGACCGCGTGCTGCTCCGCGATCCCGACGTCAAAGCAACGCTTGGGGAAGCGCTTCTGGAAGTAGTTCAACCCGGTACCGCCTCCCATCGCAGCGTGGATCGCCACAACGGCAGGGTCTGCTTCCGCTTCGGCAACCAGGGCATCTGGAGAGAAACGTGGAACCAATTTAGTCACGGTGCTTCATTTTGAGGGGTTTTTAGAGAACCGAGTCAAAAGCAAAGCGCTCGAAAAGATTCTGGAAGGTAGTTCAACTCGTATTGCTCCCATCGCAGCGTGGATCGCAACAACGGCAGGGTACGCTTCCGCTTCGGCAAGCAGGGCATCTGGAGAGAAACGTGGAACACATTCGGAACTCCTGTTTAGTGGATGTAAACACATCAGACTGAAAAGCGCTTGACGAAACGATTCTGAAAGACGATGAGCCTGGAAGGGCAGCACAGAATCTGCGATAATCGGATTGACCTCTGCGCTTAAGCTGCCTCACGAGAATCGAGGTTGTAGCATTTCTGGCCTCTGCGCTTGAGATGATAGATCAGGAGGCAACATGTGTTTTGCAAGCTTGTCTTGAAAAGAGAACACTAGAATGGAAATTGCCACTGCAAACTGAACGACTGCACGGGCTCTGTCAGAGTCAACAAGCGATATAGCACTTTTGAGTACTTCAAGACGGCGAGTCTTCTTTCGTCAACGAGGTTGGAAGATGAATGCAAGCGGAAAGACGGCTGACGACAGCGTCAAAAGCCAATTCAAACAACCTCCTTGACCATCTCTGACGTCACTTCCAGCTCCAGCGGGTCTCACCAGCGAAGTACTGCGTGTAGGAGGACGTCTTGCCCTTCTTCTTGTTCTGCTTGCCGGAGACAACGTCGAACGGCACCACCCCGTGGTACTTGTCGGCCGCCTTCTCAGCAAAGTCGTAGCTGCGAACAAGGAGACAGTTTCAGAGTTCGACGTCTGTAGATACGTCCATCAAACTGCAGCTTTTGAGCAGCGGTCCTACCTGGTCTGGCCTGATCAACGTTTCGGTAGGCATATTCGAGAGTAAGACACTCGTTCCTTCTGTTGTTTATCCTAACTCTTGTCGGTTGGCTACCCTTCGAAGGCACTTCAAGGGGACAACTATGCGAACAGGACCCTAGCACACGCATCAGATCAACATCGCCAAGCAGGATCTCAGAAACAGGAGGAGATAGACAGAACTCCCACAAGACTTGACACCTCAGCAGTAAGTCCGTTACCCCCTTACCCTTTGCCCTTCTCCGTAACGGCGTGGATCAGCACCGGACCCGCCGAGTTCGTGCTCTTCACCTCCCTCAGGATCGTCACCAGATCCTCGATACTGTGCCCATCCACCGGCCCAATGTAATACAACCCCAGCTCCTCGAAGAAGGTACTTCCGCTTCCACTGATCATCCCGCGCGCGTACTCGTCGACCTTCGCCGCGACTTCGTGCACGGGCCCACCGATGCTCTTGGTCATGGACTTCGCGACCTCGCGCAGCTCGCGGAGGGGGCGGTTCGCGTTAAGGCGCGCGAGCGCGCTCGAGAGCGCGCCCACGGGGCGTGTGGGGCCGTCCAGGTTGGCGGTGGGGAGGGACACCTACAACAATTTGAAACCAAGTTTGAAATACTGAAGATGATGGGGTTCAGGGTACTTGACACATGGGGTTGCATTTCACTGAGGTCCAGTTGGCGATCAACAAGGGCAAACGTAGCAGCTTCAAAAGCCCTTCCAAAGATTTTGGCCATAGAAAGCAGACAACCAGCATTTCAGGCAGAACTTTCGGAAAACGCCTTACCAACCAAATCTCATTCCCAGCAATGGGGTTGCAAACTGAAAGTTAAATCGACCATTTTGTGAACCGTGGCTACGGCACAAGCTCTGGTTGCCTCTGCCTATTTCTTCAGCAGTTCCCGCTGATCTCCGCTGATCCCCCCACGACAGTGCTTCGCAGCCAAATCTCACCTGCTTGTTGTCGTTCAGGATGACGATCATGTTGGTGTCAAGGTACCCAGCGTTGTTCATGGCCTCGTATGCTTGACCCGCCGTCATCTGGCACACAAGTCATCCAGTCGTCAGCAACCAGAAAGCTTTCTGCAACTTGGTTTGGCAGCAGATACCGTTGCCAGGACCAACGAAAATGGTTGCGGTAGTCTCAAGCTGCAGCTATTGCCATCTATACCTTCAACTTGATTACAGGCTTAGCTTTAAGGCAGCTACTGCAATCTATAATTACCGAGAAGAACTCGTTCAACTGAGAATTTGCCACCTGCTTTTCAACGAAACCATGGGCTATGCAAGTCCCTGCTTAAGGATCATCTGAAGCGCAGTGCAACGCTGAAAGACAACGAAGCAAGAACTTACTGCTCCATCTCCGATAACAGCAATGACGTGATTGTCTCTCTTCTTCAGGTCCCGTCCGACCGCCATGCCTGAGCAAACAGTGGCATGGGTCAGCTCCTTGTCGCCGCTGTCATAAATTCCAGTTAAAGAGGAACACAACATGCAGTCAAAGCTGAGAAAGGTCCTTCAACAACCCTCTCGTGGACATAGCTGCTGTACTGCTTAGACGTACCAACTTGGAAGGTGGACGGGTTTCACAAGTGGAAGAAAGTTGGTAACGATGCATGGGATACGGCGAGGACAAAACTTAGAGCAGCATGCGCTGCCTACAAGCTAAGCCGGATCTTCTCACAAGATTCTCCACAAGCGACCCGACCCCGCTCCCCAAATCGCATGTCACGAACTTGTCAATGTCGGGAATAAGTTTGGCTCGCACCAATTCACAAGTGTTCTGCCCCTTCTTCTTGCACGATTTTCCCTCAGTACTCTGTACACATGGAAGTTGCTGAGAATCTTACCCAGTCCCGCCGAAATAGTAGTGGACGAGTGTCCTGCCCCGAAGCAATCATACTCGCTCTCCGCCCGCTTGGTAAACCCAGAAAGGCCATCTGTTTGTCGGATGGTGTGCATCCGGGATCGCCGCCCTGTCAGGATCTTGTGGGGGTATGCCTGCAGAAGGGAAGGCGGTACTCTTAGGCCGGCCACTCACACAAATATCCAACCAGGATGCTTGCTTTCCTGGTTCCTGAAGTCTGAGTTACTGCACGTTTTGGAACCACATCTGGTGTCTGTGAATCAAACAGGTGCAGCGGGGCTGCATCTAGTCGTACCGATTTTCACACTTCGAGCAAACACGTAGCGGATAGAGTCTGAGCGTCTCCCCAGTTGCTTGCTAAGAAGCGACAGCGCGTTATGGAGGGAACAGATGAATGCTTGGGCTACGCTTTTCAAAGCAGCCAGCAGGCAGAAAGAGCTGAAAACCAAGGCGGCTTTATTCACCACACATGATAAGGTCAACTCTCCCAGACCTATCCATTTCAGGAGAGGAACTGAATGCACTCAGGCCGCCAAATGGAACCGTGTGAAAGGGCATGTGGTCCCATACCTGATGTCCGACGTCCCACAGAATCTTGTCGTCAGGGCAGTCAAACACGTGGTGCAGTGCAACTGTCAGCTCGACAACACCCAGGCTGCTCCCCAGGTGGCCGCCAGTCTTGGACACTGTGTGAATAACCTCTGCGCGCAGCTCCGATGCCAGCTGCTTCAGTTGCTGCAAGGGGGCAAGACTGGGGCCTCAGGGGATGCGAACTCTCCTTAGTGAAGGTGTGCATAGTTGATTTTGAATGCTGTGCAATTTCATTCCCACGACCTTATGAGCCCCTGTGTTGAGTCCCTGGTTCACTCCATCCGCAGCGCAGCGCAGCGCAGCGCAGGGCCACAGGTGCTTACATCCCAATCGTAACTCGTTTACAGTCCCAAGTTGTTGCGGCCACCTCTCACAGCATGGTCACATCTAAGCTCTGGGAATAGGTCGACAATTGCCCTCAACGATTGCACGTCACCAGGGAGGCTTTCCCCGTTACACTGAAGGACAGGAACACTGCATTAGAAATGTGGTACCAAGAAAGCTCCAACTTTTGCCGTTGGGCCTCCAAATGCATTTTCGCCTGACGTTGTTTTAACACTGTGGTTTCTGTCTGACTGCGCAGTCAGACAGAAACGCACGAGCGCAAGCTTGTCACCACAGGAAGACGCAAGCGCATTCTGCATTGGACTGAAGCAAAAGCGCGCGAACTACAATGAACAACACCTCAGCAATACGGCGAAGCATCTCGCAATGAAACAAAGCTGATGTGGGACAGAATCTGCCGATGTCAATCTTACCATCTCCATTAGAGGTTACAAGAGGCTTGCCGTACCTTAGCGGTGAGGTTCTTGAGGTGGATTGGATAGTTGACGGTGTCGAGGATCGGGGTCGGAGGCTTCTCGGGCCCAATACCTTCTACGACAGGAACCACAGTCGCTCGGGTTTGAGCCTGCAGCAAATTGGCCACGAATGATTATACAAGTAGTGTCAAACGGAGATACGGGGCACCATGTAAGATTGTAAACCCATTAAACCTGGTTCAACAAAAATGGGGCACTGCCGACACCAAACAAATATATGGCAAAGTGTGCTGGAAAAAAAGGATACCCGACAGTCTATGAAACCTTTCGCTCAAATTCAGCGAAACATTATCAAGCTGAGAATACCAACAACTTGGAGGGGTAAGAGTATGGGCGCATAACCGGATGATACAGCTTGCTCTAGAAGCAGAAATCAGCAAGAAATTTCTTTTCACTTGTCCGCACCGTTTTCTTCCTCGACCTTTCCACAGGGTCCCAAAAATTTGGCCCCTACTCGACTGAGACAACTCTACTCTGCACCGACGCCCCTTTATGCCGGAGTAAAGCTCAGGAAAAGGGTTCACAAACCAAATGCAATCAGCGACCGTTCCTAGAGTCTGTCCCTCAATAATGGAACCCTCAAGCTAGGGGGGCCTCAAGGCTGCAAGTCTCCAAGAACTTGCAGCAGAATTTGCTCTGATAAGTGTCCAGACACAGCCACACTTTGACCGCAGCTTGACTCTGCTCGCGTCAACGTCCTGTGTGTGTGCAGCCGCATAAGGAGCCAAAGCTGACCGCTGCTTAGCAGCATAGCCAGCATTTTCCAGGGCAACTGACTCTGAGAATGAGGTTCGAGGTCCGCAAACACGATTGTCAGACAGCACTAGCTCACCTTGGAACCCCTTGTCCTGGTCACCTTCTCCTGCTGCTTTGCAGTGACATTCGCGCCCATGAAGTTGCTGGCATTGCTCTGCAGAGCGAACCTGCAGAACCGGAGGGCCCCGGCAATTTGAAGCATGCGCATTACGCCAAAGTTTGCGGCAATATACTGAATCGCCGCGGCTCGGTTGCGGCGGCTCCATTGCGGAAAGTCTTGTCACTGCAATGCACCGGATTCACGCACGGCGGGGCTGTGAAATTTGGAGCATTGAGAGAATATATAAGCTTTTTAATTAAAAGTTCGGAATCATTGTTTATTGGCGCGAAATGGACCCCGCCTGAATCCAGGTGGAACGACATCGAGAATGCCCAAAGGACCTCTTGAAGCGGAGTTATAACAACGGACACCTTAACAAAGGATAATGCAGAGTTGCACATGAAGAAGGGCAGCCGAACAAGGTGCAATCGTAAGCAATATTGAAGGCCGATGTCATGTCAACTCCAACTTCTCAACCCCAGAGCCCTGAAGGCCCTGAGAAGCACTCATTGGCCAGGGGCATGGGATAAAAACATACCAAGGCGAGAACCTCAGCAGACCTTCGCCAGCAACATAAGCAAAGCGAACCCTAAAAAGGTAATGCCTCGCTGCTAAGTACAGACGTGGCGTTGGTGCATCCATAGCGGACAAGGCCCTATGTTTTTGGACGATTGAAGCAGATTCGTGATCCATTTGCGCCACCAGAGCTCCCAGCTCAGGTTTTTCCTCCCCACACTGCAAAGAACTTGTCCACAAGAACGAGTGCCCAATCCAGTTTGCCCATACAGCATTCCTTCCACGGAGGCCGACAAGCAAGGGACTCCAGACTGCCATCATCGCATCCATGCTTACAAGGATTCTCAAATGGCAACAGCCTTCAATGAAAACCTCTGCGGTAAGCAGCTGCTCTGCAAGTCACAGGATATCATACACTCTAGGGGGCTAGTGGCAGCTTTCTCCACTTTGAGAGTGATGTGAGTTATTTTCGACACTAAGACAGAAGGCCAGTGTGCAGAACGTATGTTTCAAAAGACAGCCATTGCAGCTCAAGCAACACAGAGCCAAGCTGGTGAATCGTTTAAATTTGGATTCCAACAGATTCAAACATGAAGCTGGCATTGACAAAGCAGTCCGCACTGTCTCACAACAGCTGCCCCAAGCGGAAGCGACGGCTGACCATGTGTGCCTCATGTGATACATACTGGTCAAGTGCTCTCCCGTAACCCGCCGTTACTCTCTTACCTGTCCACCGCCTGCTGAGGTCCCTTGCGGGGCCCATAAGTGCACTGGCACACCCCACAGTCCTCTGTCCTCTGTGCCCGCTGAGACGATCCAAGCGCCGGTGTCAATCTAGCTGCACCAGCAGAGCCTTGCAGGAGAGAAGATGCCATGACTCTTTCTGAAGCACCTCAGGAGCAAAGATTGTTTGCCAGGCGTCACTTGGCCCTTGGGCAGGTTTTACACATTCTACGCCTCAATTACACTCTTGCGCGGCGACGCCCCTGCCAGTTTTCTTCCAGCAATAGCACTATCTGTTTCCTTCAAAATCTCCACCCTTTGGTGCAGGCAGTCTACAGTCCCCGCGCTCGCTTACGCAGCTTCACAGGAGCTTAGCAGCTGCAAAAGCTGAAATAACGGACAATCAATGCGCTCCCCAAATGTTCTTTACTAAGGCTACGAAGCTCTGGACAGTGAACGCCCACCCTTCTGCAAATCCTCAGCTGATGAGGTGCAGACTGGGCGCCAGACTCAGCCTGAGTGAGGAGAACTTGAGAAGACTGCCTACGTCAGTACTCTCTTCGACCAATCAGAAACCAGCCATTATCTGGTGAAAAGTGTAAAAGCAGGATCCACGTGGATCGGAAAAGTGTCTGATCAGTGATGTTACCGTTCCCAGTCTCATTTGGAGCTTTTTATTGCTCATATTCTGAGTGGAGGGAAAAGGTGTCTGTAGCAGTATGCAGCCCAAAACCGTACGATTTGAGCGTGGACCGTCAAGAAGCCGCCACGCAGAGGATATGTGAAGCTGAACAGATATATGAGCACGCAATCATGTCCTACCAAACGTGACCAGTCGGACCATCCGGTTTGGCACGATAACGACGACCGTCGGTTTGCGTGCAACTTGAATTAACCTACCGTAGTCGTTGGAGAAGCCTCCAAAACAGCTCAAACTAGTTCTTAGGCAGCAAGGCATTCTGGAAGGGAGGATTGGTGCTGCTGCCCTGCTGTTGCAGCCTGCACTGCTGCAGGCTGCAGGATACAGGCGACAGGGTCAGTAGGTTTGCCATTCGGGTAGCGGGACCTTGCATCAAGGTGCCGAGCAAATTGGAGAGAGGAGGTCATGGCGTCCTTGCAGGAATACTTAAAACGGTACACAGAGGGTGGGGCAGGAGACCAGGAGGACAAAAAGAAGAAGAAGAAACGAAAAAAGGGGAAAGAAGAAGCAGTACCTGTTAGAAAGCTGGTGCCTGGGATTATCATTCATGACGAGGACGCGCCGTGGCAAAAGAATATTGAAGAGCCTGTCGAGGAGGAGGAAGGTAAGTTCTTATTTATATTGGACCTTGATTGTAAAGCGTAGCGGCACCAAGTGTTTGTTGGCGCCGCCATTTCTATCCAGGAATGCAACTAAGAAACTGACGGGGGGATTTCTGAGCATCCACAGCGCTATCTTTTGGAGTATTCCTAAAATAGGTAGCCAATTTGGACAGAAATAATCATTCAGTCTGTCTTGTAGTGGTCAAAAGATCAGATTAACTTCAATTTTATTTATTCATGTGCTGGACCTTCTTGTGTTGCTCTGCTTTCGCAGCCAGAGCCTTGTTTTCCCAGCATGTTGTACTGTTCACTTTCGTTGGATTCTCTGAAGCTGCTTGGATGCAACTGGCTCATCCAGTTCTTGGAGCTGTTAGTTGCTTTTATGATCGTATATTTGCTGTCAAATTCGAAGTGTCGCATTGTATTCCACTTTCCTGTGAACAATTACAGGTGCACACTTTCGGTGCAGCTTCTTTCCATTTCGATGCTTTCCATGGTTTCATGTCCGCTCTACGAGCTGAATTCAGCGGTTTCCGCTGGTTCATACTTTGCTCTCAGCTTTTAGGCCCTTAGCAATACAGTGGTGTCGCTCTGTCTTTCAGGTTTTTGCTTGCAAATCAGTCATTAGAATTGACCATGTGTCTCTGTTAATTTGTTGCAGAAGTTGAGGAAGCGCCTGAAGTGGTCGCGGACGCCGACACCCGCATGAAGCTGAGGCTCGACATGCTGCGGGAGATGCAAGCCAAGCAGGGAAGCAACTGGACGGAGGTTGGCACAGCAGACACTTCTGCAAGAAGGGACTTGGAGGCGCGTAATGGCTCTCCCGACATCTCCCCCCCTCGGAAGAGGCGGAACGATTCGCCTGATTTGTCGCCACCTCGGACTGCTCGACACGACTCGCCCGACGTGTCACCCCCCAGTAGAGCGCGGCATGATTCTCCTGATCTGTCGCCTCCTAGAAGGGCACGGCAAAACGCACCTGATTTGTCACCACCTCGGAAGGCGAGGCATGACTCGCCTGATCTTTCGCCCTCAAGAAAAGCGCGACGTGGCTCCCCAGACCTATCACCCCCCCGGAAAGGAAGACCAGCGTCACCTGATCTATCGCCCCCTAGAAAAGCCAGGCATGATTCGCCAGACCTGTCGCCCCCTAGGAAGAGCAGGCGTGATGTCGCCCCAGATCTGTCCCCCCCTAGAAAAGCCAGACAAGCTTCGCCTGATTCGTCCCCACCAAGAAGACGACGGCAGGATTCTCCCGACCTCTCGCCCCCGCGCAGAGCCCGGCACGCCCCCTCACCACATCAGCAGGACCTCTCGCCTCCTAGGAAGCGACACCATGACTCTCCGGATCTGTCTCCCCCGCGCCGGAAAGCGCGCCACGACTCCCCTGAGGGGCCTCCTCCAAGGAACGCTAGCAATCCTTCAGGGGGCGAAAAACCGGCGAGGATGACGGACGGAACGCTTGCGGGGCTACGGACGGGGAAAGATCTGCAGAGAGAGATTGAGGCGAAACGAGCGCAAGACGCGAAGAAATTCTCGGCGCTCGACGCGGCGGTGACGGGGCGCGGCGCGGGGACGGTGTACCGAGACAAGACGGGGCGGCGGGTCACCGCAGAAGAGCTGAAAGCGCAGGCGGAAGCCGAGGCGAAGAAACGGAAGGAGGAGCCCCCGCCCGAGTGGGGAAAGGGCATGGCGCAGAAACGGGCGGCGGAGGACAAGGCGCGGGAGCTGGACGATATGCGGAACAAGCCGTTTGCAAGGACGAGGTAAGGCGTCAGGTTCCGGTTGCTTCTGATTCTCCAACCTCTTGCCAAAATTGGATCCTTTGGGGCGTTACACTGGAAGATGTCTTGGCATCGTTTGAGACCGCGAGAATGTTTCGAGCACGGTGCATGGTAGCTGTCTTCGGCACGGTTGACGGTATCACAATACCTGGACAAACGACGTACCAAAAAGAGCACAGGCCAGTTGCCAGGCAGACTGTGATAGGTTTTATCTGAAACAAACGTGCGCCCCCTACACCGCTCGTTTGAGTTGCTTCTGAATCCAGACAGGTTTGCGTTAGTTGCATAAATTCGCCTGGCCGTTTTGACAAAGGCTTTTGAAGACCGCGATACCGCTTCTCACGGACCGATCCTGCAGCTTGCTCCGGAGTTCGTTCCGTTCCTTTGTCTGCTTGTTTCTGGCTGATTGATTGCTCTGGATGCGCTTTGAGAGCTTGATAGTGGGCTGAAACAAAACGTCGCGACCAGAACAAAGAGAGGTGGCGCGCTGTTTGTTTCAGTGCTGGCTGTCTCTGGCCGTGAGGTGTCTTCATTGTCACCGGTACGAGAAAGCTTTTGTTGAGGATCGCCTTGGTTGTTGGTTGTTGCGCTAGGAATTTAGGCAGAAGGCACGTTTTTCAAATGACAGAGCACACGCTTGGATGCCTGCGTCCTGTCTTGGTTGGACAGGCGAAGGGGAGTTTTGACGCTCTTCAAACCAGAACGTCGTTCGGCAGTTCTGGTTTGTTACCAAAGCGCTTGACGCGAATTCGCCGACAGCTTTGTCTTATCGACGACAAAATGGGCGTCCGCTTCTTTTGAGCGGCCCGAGCCGGCTTCGCAATGTGACATCTTGCTGCAGTACTCTGGATTGACTTTTCTCGAAGCACACCCCTCATCATTTGGGCGAGTCTCCCTGCGTTTAGCTTGACCCCACCTCGCACAGTCCTTCAGCATGTCACCTTTGTATCTTTGTTACCTAACAGTCTGCGTCGAAGATTTCAGACTTCAATGTTTTTTTTTCCTAGGTCTCCGGATTGGAGTTACAGGTTCATTACAGAACGTGATTGGAACTCGGATAGCATTTGACTGCAACTCAGGCCATCCACCAAATTTGTTGACGTCGTTTCTTCCTTCACACAGGGACGACAAAGATCTCGACAACATGCTCAAGAGCCGCTCCCGGTGGGGGGACCCGATGGCGCATCTCGTCAAGAACAAAGGGCCGTCTGAAGCGGACCTTGTCGGCCAACTAGACATGGACGACCTAAAAGCGCAGGGCTTCATCGTGCCCCAGGACATCCCTCCCCACAGCTGGTTAAAGCGGGGGTTAGCCCCGCCGTACAACCGGTTCGGCATCCGGCCTGGCCGGCACTGGGACGGGGTGGATCGGAGCACTGGGTTCGAAAAGGAGTTGGTGAAAGCAAGCAATGCGAAGCAGGCGAGGGCGAACGAGGCGTACTTGTGGTCCGTTGCTGATATGTAGGGCGGTGGCGAGCATGGCTGCGGTGGACAAGCTCGGAAATTTGCGGTGACGTTTTCTTGGACAGATGTTCGGACCCGCTGTCCAAGTGCAAGCGCATACATCGAATTCTGGTCGCAGAGACATCATTTGGTCGGAGCTCCGGTCCTTGTGATCTTGTACAAATGCGAAGTTGCCAAAAAACTAGTATGATCGGATGTTTCCTGGCATAAAGTACTCTGCGCATTCGATTCTGCCCATGGCCATGTCGTGCTGCGTCACTCGCTATCACACTGAGCACCACCTGAGTTCACGTCGCGGCACGCAAAGTCTGTTGCATCGTGGTGCACATATCGTTGCATAATGAAGCTTTACACATACTATATGCGGCCGTTTGCCTGCAAACGTATGCATCACACAAGTATACGTGTTATGAGCAATACTATTCAGAATATGGGCTTGACTACACATACTGTTTGACCATCGGCATCACAATCAATGATTCCTTAGGCGCGCCGCGCCGGTATCGTCGGACAGAACTTGAACTCCGACGGAAGTGACTTAAGAAACCGTGACCGTCCATTACAAGCCGAGCGGCGGCCGGCCGCGCGATCCTGACGCAAGCTAGTTAGTAGTGAGGTCCGGACAGGCACGTGCATGCAGGGGTTCAGGAGCATCGGACCTCAAGCCGTCGGAAACGAGAGTTGCGAGCTCACCCCTCGAACAACTGGAGTCGCCTTTCGACGGGCCGAACCGGGCCCGTTAAAACCGGTCTGCGCAATTTGCATGAGTCCACTTCGGCCCTGGGCGCACTGCACGGTTGCAACTTGCACCACTGCTTCCTGGCTCTGCCAATCATAGTGCAAAAGCGCCCGAGCTGGTCAAAGTTGAAAGAAAGCAGTGAATGAAAAGGTACCTACATAATGCACCACCTCCCACAGTCTCCTATTCAGAGCCGCAAATGTAGAGGTACCTCCAGGCTCTATAAGCAAGCCGGGCCAACAGTCAGAGACGAAAAGCAAACCTGCGCACATCAGCAGCTGGATGGCGCCCGAAAGCATGCATAGCAGGTCAGACGTGGAGCTAGACACCTGCAAGAAAAGTCAAAGGCAGAAAGGCAAGACTTGCAGCAGCTGCGGCATGGTGGTTCTGAGTCCAAGTGGTGCGAGCACCGCAATGCTGCCCCGCCGCCCCTCCTGAGTTGCTTCCATGATCCCAACAAGAGGGCCCGGGGGATCATCCTCCCCAAAGCTAGGGCCATGGCGGCCAAGCGTCGCTTGGTACGTAATGTGCACCCTGTTGGTGCTCAACCTTCTCAACAGCGAGATCGTCACGGGGCCACTCTGGGGGGGGTGTGCAAAGGAGCCTGCCAATGGGGGGGTCGTTGGGGTCCGAGTCACGGGGTCTCAAGGACGGTCACAGACGTTGCATATAAGCCCGGAGCTGGAAAGAGCTTGGGACGAGTATGCGGCGCGTCACCGTGCGAGCCTGGAGGCTCCCCGAGAGCACAAGTTCTTCCTGTACAAGCCGTTCCATTACACAGGGCACGGGAACAAGATTCCCGGCATTGTGACCGCATTCATGGTTGCGCTCCTCTCAAACCGGACGCTTGTGATTGATTACAATGACTGCGCCGGGGGAGTGAACTGCGAAATCTCATGGTCGCGCATGTTTGACCAGCCCCTGGAGATGGACTTTGCTAACTTGGTTAGGGATTACCCTGCGGTCAATGAGACGCTGAAGGGAAAGAGGTTTGAATCCGGCGACGCAAGTCACATCAACTTTTTGGTGGACCACCGAGAGAGGCTTTCCAAGTGGGACGGGTTGCAATGGGTTTGGAGCGACGGCTTGTACGACTGGTCAGGTGAGTCGGCTGGGAGACGCGTCGAGTGCCAGTGTTTTGAGAATGTGGCAAATCTGTAAGACTTGTGAGTGGTGAGCTTCTGATAGGAGAAGCGTCTTACCATTGGAGTATTCAAAAAGAGGGGACCTTGCAGGAAACCTGAGTGGATAGGAAAGGCGGCTTGCGTTGGGGTTTTAAGAAAGTCGAGACCTTGTTGAGACTGAAGTGGTGAACTTCTGATAGGAGAGGCCCCGTCTGACATTGGTGTTTTGAAATGTGGCCAGTATGTAGATTTCCAAGTCGTAAGCTTCTGAGACACATCTTATATTGTGTTTTAAGAAAGTGGTGATCCTGTATCAATCAATCAGTCCGGATTCCAGAAGCAAGTCCAAGGGGAGCAACAACCTGTGCCAGTGGCTCCCCTTAGTTACAAGGCAATCCAAAGAATCAACAGCGCATTGCCCCCGTCACCCGATCTTTGCCCTTTGCTCTCAGCCCACCTATGGCTGGCCAGTCTCGGATTGGAATGTGATGGAGGAACGCAGCCGCAAAATGATGCAAAGAATAACCAGCGCATACCCCAAAGGTCGGATATTTTTTGCCCTTTGCTTTCAGCCCACCTATGGTTGGCCAGTCCCACATTGACAGATATGGAGGATCTTGGCAGCAGACTAATCCAGAAGATGAAATAGTCAGATCGTTGCTTTTAGCCCACCTACGGCTGAAGCCTGTCTGCGATTACCACTCAGTGAAGGATTTGGATCACGGACTGAACCCACCACTGGTCAGCATGGTGTCATTATTAACCAACGATGTAATCTTCGCCCTTTGCATTTCAGCCCACCTATGGCTGGCCAGCCCAATCCACGGCCCCTCGCTGCGGCCCCTCTTCACCCCAGGGCACATTTTCCATGCGCTAGCACACTTCCTAGTGCATCCAACTCTGGAAATTCAGGACGTAGTTGCTGCCGCGCGCGCGCGCTTTCGGAAGCTCACTATTGGGGTACAGATACGGCAGACAAAGGTTGATCATTGGGTGAGTCAGCAAGCAGGGGAGTTTCTCTCCCCACCTTCTGCATCCGAACTCACTTTGTCTGCACTGCGGATCGGACATGTTTGAGAAACGGCTGTTCTGGGTCATATCACATGTGACTAATTTTCTCTTCAGAAAGTCTCAACATATGTGACTTTGTTCTTTTCCGAAGTATGTGCTCAGCAGTACAATGGGCCATTTCTGGATGAATCAGGAGAGACGATCTTTAGTCTCTCTTCCTTCTAAATAACCGGTCGGGCTTACTGCAATCGCCTCAAGGTGGAGATAGGGCAAGAACAGCGCAGGAACAGTTCAAGTGAAGTGGACCCGAAAGGCGTGACCATTCGGCTTCTGCTTGACCTCCTGTTAACACCGCAACCGCTTTGTGCAGGAACCGGGCACCTACACTGACAGGAGCTATTTCGACTTGGCCCGCGTGTTACAGGTAGGCGTCAGTCTGTAATCTGCTGCCATACCTGTGTCGAAATTGTGCAATACATAATCATTTGTTGCAAACTTGACACCGCTCATAAAGCCCTTCGACCGTGACGTCTGTGTGGTTTGGTGAGGTGAATGCTTGATTTCTCTGTCACAGGTAAACAAATGCGGATTGTGCGCAACATCGTGCGTCACAAAACTGGTTCTTGCGAAATTAACGTCGCTTTTGAAGTCCATCGACAGGACGTCTGTTTAGTTTAGTGAGATGGAACCTTGATTCCACTGGAGAAGATTCAAAAGGCGATATTGTGTACCTTACGAGATTGTTCTTTGGGAGACATCGCTCATCAAGCCCTTCGATACGATGTCTCGACACGTGACGTTCCTGAAACCCCGTTGTCTGTTGCCACGTGCAGCTTCGCGAGGGCGTTGCGGACAACGACACGGCAATCTACCTCGCAGCCGACTCGGTGGCGGTCCGAAATGCGTGGGTTAAGCACCTTGAGAACACGTGAGTTACACGTCTCGCATTGAATGTACAAAACCTTTAAGAAACCGACGAAAGCTCGCCCAAACTGCGGGAACCGTGCAAAGCGGAGTCAGTCAGAGGACAGATCCTTTTCGAGGAAGAACGCGCGAAACAAGTAGAATCTGGATCTGCATCTTACTCTGAGCTTTGGCATACACTTAGAAGGCAACCGTTACAAGAAAGTCCAGCCGATTTTCCTTGATGAATAACGTCAGGACTTTGGCCCTGTCGGCTTAAGTAACGCTTCCCAGGTTGCACTTTTCCCACAAGTCAGCGGCCTCGTAGACACACTTTTCTTTCAGCTGCTACAAGATCCTGAGAATCAAGTCGAGATGATGTTGTGAATGTTCCTCGTAGCTTGCTCGATCAGGGTTTCACAGTATCGTTAACGACAGACATGCCGCTTCTTAACAACCTAAAATCCTGTGCCGCTCCATTGCATTCTTGATGTAGCCAGAAGATGCCGTGTTTTCTTATGAAAGCAACAAGGTTAAAGACGGACATTCGCACTCCTAGACGATTTGCTATTCCCTGCAGCTCCATTGCGCTGTTGATGCAACCAGAAGATGCCGTTTCTTTCTTGAAAGTCATCAACGTAAAGACGCCATTCGTTCTCCTAAATGATCTGCTATTCCACGCAGCTCCATTGCGCTGCTGATGCAACCAGAGGATGCCGTATTCGACTCCGGCGGGAAAGAGGGGTTAAACCGGGATAACCTACCGGGGTTAAAGATTGGGGTCGCGGAGCTCTTTCTGCTGAGCCATACGCATCAGCTGATTATTTCTCGGGGCTCGTCGTTTGGGTCAACAGCGGCCGCCCTCGGCGGGTAAGTGAAGTGTTGTCTAGAAAAGGTATAGTAAGCTGAAGTTACAGTAACTGGGACGGGTAGGCTTGGTATGGGGGTTAGGGTGGGTACGGGTGCGGAGCGGGTGATGATTTGGGTTTTTCTTTTTAGTATCAGCTACTTTCGTACTAAAACTTGAGCCTAATATAACTATTCTAGAGAAGTATGGTAAGTTACGAATCCCTAACGGTAAACATGGAACTTAGAGTGGGCGTCGGGGTTTGCCTGACGTCACCCGCTTTCTCCGACGGCGTCACGGATCCAACGGTCTCAATTTCGGACGGCAGTTTCGTGAGGGTCTTGGCACCGTGTGTGCACGGACAAAGCCGATCACACGGTGCCGAGAAGAAGCTGCAACGCTGTTAGGGTAACCACACTGGGACGGGTAGGGTTGGTTTGTGGGTAATAGGGTGGGCAAGGGTGCGGAGCGGGTACCTTTTTGGGTTTGTGTTTTCGTATTATAAGCAGCAGCGTTTATTATCTCGGCTTGTTTTTATTTTGGTAAGGTTTATCAGCAATTCCACGTTGACCAGCTTCGCTCGCTTTGAATCGGGACCTGGGTCTAGATCAATCATAAGACGAGCTTGCGACCGGTTCTGAGTCAAACGTGTTTCTTCGGAAGAGCATGTGCGCTTAAATAGACATTGACCCCGGTTTGAAAAGCAGTATTGACTGCGAATCTGTTTCGCCGGATTGGGGCTGGACTTTATCCTTCCTGCCATTCCTGAAAAGTGGTTACAAACGGCTCTCAAAATACTGATTCAATTTTGAGGCCAGACGGCCGCGCAGACTTCGTGAACTGAGCTGGTGACCGGTTCATCTTACGTGGGCAGTCATCACTCAAGACGGGCTGCTACGATTGGGCATTTCCAACTGGCTGACGTACTCCCTCTATTTGAATTGCAGCCGTGCGTCAGCACCTTGGACGGGTTACTTCGGGGTCAACATTGACCACTTCTTTGACGTCCATCATTTTAGCGTACAGCTTGGGGTCATTACCAAGGCCGGGTTACTACCGGTCCGAATTAACGAACTTTTGACGTCCGTCTTTTCAGGTGTACAGCTTTATGTCATCGCCGAGGACAGGTACTACGGGTTGGCGCTGACCAACATTTTGACGTCCGACTTTTGCAGGATACGGAATTGGGTCATCCCCAAGGACGGGTTACTCAGGGTGCGCGCCATTAACCAACTTTCTGACCTCCGAATCTATAGGTTACGGCCGTGGGTCATTACCAAGGACGGTTACTACGGGTTTACAAATATCCGTTGTTACGGTTTAGTAATAACCATTTTTAACTTACATTTTTCAGGTTATATCCGTGGGTTATCACCCAGGACGGTTACTACGGGTCGGCGATCTCGGACCCGTGCTGCTCCCACACGCGGTGGCTGGAGAAGGTGTTCGGTGCGGACTTCAGTCCCGAGTTTTTCATACAGACGCAGTGCCACGTGGACCCCCTTACCAAGGGCGAGTAATGCCACGTGGCCTGACTCACATAAAGAGAAGGGTGCGAAAACGTTGACCAGTGATTACTTAGAAGAGAATTTGGTGCTACGGGGTTACGGAGACACTAGGGGACGAGTGTGTCCCCAAGCGGCGCAAGTTCTAGAGGTTGCTCTACTCATTCCGAATCAAGTTCTGAAGGCAAACGGAGAAGGGGTTGCAATGCTGGAGGCGCGGCGCGGCAACTCAAAATTTTGGCTATTAAGCAACAGGTTGAGGTTGAACATGCGGGTTGTCATCAGAATCTTCCGTTCAAGAACGAACGGCTGAGGTTCAGAAGGGATTGGGCTAGGCACAAGTTGCCCGCATCTTAGAAAGAGTCTCCACACCGAAATCACGTGCATCTTTGTTGTCCACTAGGAGTCCAGCCACACCAGGCGGGCAGCATGGCCCATTACTGAGTATATGCTTCAATTTGTTTATAGCCGACTCGAAGACGACTCGGTTTGCTCAAGGAGACCTGGACTCGCTTGTGCCGTATTGTGCATGCGCGGCATTCCTTTGGCTATTTTCGTGCGCTTGCATGGTGCTGATCAACGATCGCGGCCCTAGGGCATCTCGAATCGTGTATTTGCCGTATTTGATCGAGACTGAGTCGAAAGACATGGAGAATCAACCGACTCCAAGGCTGCATCATGATGGGGTTCGAAAAAGACAGAGATGATAATTATATAGTACATGGGTGACC